ATATTATTTAGAAAAAAAAATTTTGAACAAGTTACGTAATAAAAATTTTTTTCCAGGGAAAAATCATCAAGAGTTCTTTTGCAATAATAATGAAAAAAGACAGACATCTGAGCTAAGTAAGATAAGCAGAGAAGATATTCATTATCATGTGTCGAATGATTCTTTGAATAAGATAAAAGCTAGTTTTGGAAATGATTGCATTACTGAATATGAAAGGAATTTTCTTCAAAATAAAGACATTACGAATGCCTTCTCTAGAGGTAATGATGTGGAAGTAAACAAAGTAAGTGACAATTTTTACACAGATGGTGGACTTAGAGAAGAAGAGAGAACAAGCATATTCCTCACTAATGAAAGGAATACGAGACAAGGATTACCACTAGGATTAGAAGTAGAAGAAGGCGCAGAAATGGAAAAAATTGGATGTATCCCAAATGTAACAAGTGATAAAGGGAAGGAAAAAAAGGGAACAAAATTTTGTGAACCTATGTACAAACAAATGGGTGATAGTTCAAAGATGAATTTTTATGGAAGTCAAGTAACTCCAAGTGAATCTGGAAAGTACGAGAGTGTGGATCATTTAGATTATGAGTTCCAGGTAAACAACCAAAATGTGTTTCCCAAAGATGATAAAGAGACTGAGAAAGATGTAAAAGATTTGGGAGAATTGGGTAGAGGCAATAGGATATATACATGCGATGTAATTAATTTAGTGGATCAAACAAATGACTACATGGGAAACAGTAGGGAGGTTAGGAATGGGTGGGAATTTATCCACAAAAAAGATCCAGTTATATCACATCTGGAAGGGGAAGAAGGAGGAGGAGGAGAGAGGAGAGCTGTGAACAAAAGTATGAATGTGAAACACGAACGGGGTGGGGAAAAATACGAGAAAAAAAATGACCAGCAGAGAGACCAGAATTATATGTCGAATAGTGATTGTAGGCGTGGCACAGGTGAGAGGTTAAGAGAGAGGTGTATTTCTACACATAGCGATGCTTGTTCATCCTTTGGACATTGTAAAGGATACACTATTAATAATAGTCAAAGGAATATGTACACTAAATATATCTCTGGTGAGATGAGACCTTATGAAAGTAGCTATGATTACTCAGATGAATTTGCTGAAAATCATGAAAGAGACGAAAGGGATGATAAAATGGTCATTTCGAGAGGAGAAAAAGGAAATTCTTTTTTAACAGAAGATACATTGAAAGAAAGAAATTATAGGAACATGAATCAGAATGAAGTAAATAAAAAGACGAAGGAAAATCAAGGCAACATTTTTATAACCCATTGGGGGGGAAATAAAAAAGACACATTACAAAAATTTAACAAAAACTTTCTTGAAAAAAAAAAAAAAAAAAACACCAAAGAGGAAGAGGAGGAGGAAGAGAAAGAGGAAGAAAAAGAGGAAAAAAAAAAAGAAAAAAAAAAAGAAAAAAAAAAAAAGAAAAAAAAAAAAGGAAAAAAAAAAANGAAACATCAATGTTGCAGGACCTCAAACAACCAAAAATCAAAAATGAAAAGAAGTTTAAAACAATATCAGCATAAAATAATATATAAAAAAAGAAAAAATAAATTATGTGTATACATTAATCCAAAACGCATTGCGGCCCTTTTGTTCACTTTTCCTTTTTTTTTTTTTTTTTNGATTCAGTTAAAAAGAAATTCTTTTTTAACAGAAGATACATTGAAAGAAAGAAATTATAGGAACATGAATCAGAATGAAGTAAATAAAAAGACGAAGGAAAATCAAGGCAACATTTTTATAACCCATTGGGGGGGAAATAAAAAAGACACATTACAAAAATTTAACAAAAACTTTCTTGAAAAAAAAAAAAAAAAAAACACCAAAGAGGAAGAGGAGGAGGAAGAGAAAGAGGAAGAAAAAGAGGAAGAAAAAGAGGAAGAAAAAGAGGAAGAAAAAGAGGAAGAAAAATTAAATTATCCCAGCAGTAACCTGTATGACCAAACGGTGGTTAAAAATACAGAAAAGGATTATAATTTTTATAAAGACATTTCCTGTGATATAGAAAGAGACAGTAAAGGACAGCATAATGGATACTCGGGTGTACTCTCACCTGTTGTGAAAAGTGGAAACTGTGAAAGGAGCTTCAATCAAAAAGATTTTTTACATTTGAAAAAAAAAAGAGAAGGAGATTCAAGACTAAACAAATGGTTAAATAAAATAAATGCCAGAGAAAATGAAAAAAAAAAAAAAATTCAAGAAAAAAAAAATGAATCCATGCAAAAAGAATTAGTAAATTGCACCTTCCACCCTAGGGTGAGTACTAGTCAAAGAAGTAAAATTAAAAATTTAATCAGAGAAGAAAAAAAAAATAAAATAATAATAACAGAAACTGATATGTACACAGATAAATGTAACAAATTAGGATCAAATTGTAATAAAAATGATTTGTATGATGAATCAAGTGTTATTCCCTTGGGGAAAGGAAAGTTCCATGTGGATATTGGGAGAAGAACATGTAGTGGATCCAGTACACAGATACATACAGATTGGAGAAACTTTAGCTATGTTAAGACAGATAAATCAATCATCGATAGAGATGTGAACAACACACTTGTGAATGAACATGGCTTAGAATGGACAGAGGAAAAGTTCTATGTAATGAGTCCTCGCAGTGATGTTGTGACAGAAAATGATTTTCATAGCATGGGTACTTACAATTATAAACGAAATATTTATGGGGAAGAAAACAGTAGTGATAGTCCTAGTTATAAGGAAAAAAACAATAATGATAGTCGTAGGTATAAGGGAAAAAACAGAGATGAAGAAGAGTACAGAGAGACACGAACAAAATATAAGAATAGGAATGAGTTACTGTATTGGAAAGCCATGAATCAGAAAAAGGTACTGCAAAAGAAGAAAGAAGCATTTGAAGAAGAGAAGGAAAATAAATTAAAAAGAGAATGCAAATTTTATCCAACAATAAAAGATAATGTCAAGATATATATGTCTGATCTCCCACGTGGGTACAACAAGACAGTGGGAAGAATTAAAAAGGGTGTAGAGGAAAAGAGGCGTATTCATAACTTTTTAGAATATAGAATTCCACTCACGCAAAATGGTGGTAATACAGAAAATAATCATAATAATAAATGCCAACAGATGCAAAACGGAGGAACAACAACAACAACAACAACAACCCTATCACCATTCAGCTTTGATAAAGGATTCTACAAAGTAAAAATAAAACCTGTTTATTTTGAAACAAAAATACGATTGTCAGAAAATAAAATTGCCTCTTTGGCAATTCGAGAGGATGAAGATCCATTATATATTGTTGACATATTTTGTAGAATCCATGCGATCAAGGACCATGACAAACGGGTGCTATATGAATATGTGCAAGACGAATTGAGCAAATTGTCTATGGCTGATTAGTTCTGCATCTTTTAATTCTTTTGAAAAAATGTTTATTATATATGCATGGGAAGGGTCATTTTATATTAGCTTTCCTACTCCAGGAGTATTCATGTTCTATAGGGGTCAACCATAACTCTCAAATTCACTGGTTTTAATGTCATCACTTTTTTTTTTTTTTTTTTTTTTTTTTTTGTATTAATGCGTCTGTGCATGTTAATGGACACATTTGTATATCACCCCCGGATACATATATGTATGTGTATGTATATGTATGTGTATGTGTATGTATATGTATGTGTATGTATGTGTATGTGTATGTATATGTATGTGTATATGTATGTATGCACTACCCCTTACGCATATATGCATCCTCTAAAAGTGTGTTTGTGGAAAAAGGTTGCCTTTAACTTTTTATGCTTCACCTGCCGTATGCAGAAAATAATTCGTCTGTTTATTTTTTTTGTTTTTTTAAATATATATGAATTGGACCTATTTTCCCTTACCAAAATAAATTGTAAACATTTATCCAATCTTTTTAATAAGCCTTTCTGAAAATTAGTGAAGAAAAAATAAGGTATTATTTTATATTTGTAATGGGGTTAAAAATTTATATAGACAAAAGTGGACCTCTTCATTCACACCTTTGATCTTGATTCGAGAGAAGTGCACGTTGCGCGAAGTAGATGTTTTTTTTTTTTTTCTCTCTTATTTTCTCTCCCTTTTTTTCTCTTATTTTTTTCTTCCTTGTGTGTCTAAACACTTTCAAGGCGACATGAGGGATCGCTCAGAAGACGATCCTGAATTTTTTGGAGTCTATTTTCGAAACGGACACGCGATGATACACAATTTTACTGGAAATGAACGAAAATGTTCCCCATTTTATTGACATTTTTCTGAAACGTTTAATGCATTCCATAAGTTCAACTGTGTTCATATTGCATATGCGAGAGGAACCCACTAAATATAATTCATATGACAAACACTTCGTGCAAAAAAAATTGAAAAAAGAAAAGAAAAACTTTCTACAAAAATATAAACACACATTACAAGTGCGCAAGGAAAAGATTATCTCATAAATAAATATAGTCAACATGTACATGTTCATGCATCAAAATGGATAAATCCATCGTTCGGTCCAGCCATTGAAACGTTTAATAGGTGTGATAAACATTTTGCAGATTTCGTTCCGATAAATGCAAAGTAGCAAAGTAAAAATGACACAACATATCCCACCTCTTTGCTCAAAAAAAAAAAAAAAAAAAAAAAAAAAAAAGGAAAATGCACTTCATATTGTAATGGAGAAATGATTTACATTTGTGAGACCCTATATACATAGAGTTCGAAAAAAATTGACAATGACATTAGTAGCATTCATAGGAGTTATATCGAATTATGTTTTCATTCTCTCTTTACCTTATACAATTATATAATTGCTTTAATTAACACTTTCTTTTTTTTCGTAAGATAAATATATACTTATGAAATATTGTTCATTTGAGACTTTTTCTTCTTGTGTGCGCATTTTTGCTTTTATCTACATATTGCATTTGAAGTGATTTTTTTTTTTTTTTTTTTTTTTTTCACAACAGCCGAATAACTGTGCATGAAAATGAAAAACAATGAAGAGTGGGAAAAAGAAAAGATTTATGATCGTCAGCTTAGACTCTGGGGCGTAAAGGCACAAAATCGAATGATGAAATCCAACGTATTAATAGTTGGATTAAGTGGCATTAACATTGAAATATGCAAAAATTTAATCCTAAATGGGATTAATATAACCATAATTGATGACAATATAGTGAATGAAGAAATGATTGAAAATGTATTTTTTCTAAACGAAACGGATTTAAAAAATTATGTATGTCTTGCTATTTTTAAAGAATTAAAAAGTATAAATAAGTTGATAAATATTAAGGCATATATTGGACGAATAGATATTCCAAATGATAATATAATTATTGATAGTGAATTGATACATAGCGATAATGGTGATATAACGAATGCAACAATAGACAAAACGTTTACATTTGATGAGTACATAAATAATTACACGTCTATTTGTATCTCATGCGAAGATTATCCATTATACAAATTAGTGAAGATAAACGAAATTTGTCATGAAAAAAATATAGGCTTCTTCGCAGCAATGTGCAATGGAAAATTTGCATTTTTGTTTTCAGATTTTGGAAATCACGTAATTGAAGAATCTTATTACAAAACGACTGAAAAAAGTAAATGTATCCTTGTGGAGGGAAATTGTGAAAATAAAGATGGGGAGAACAAGAAGATTGACAAATGTATGAAAAAAACAGGGGTAGTGCAAATAGAATATTGTACGTTGTGTCATTTCCTTAAAGTACCATTTGAAAATTTTGATAAAAAAACCAACAAAATTATTTTTCCGATTTTTGCCCTAATACTTTTTGAGCGACATAAACAAATTAGTAAGAACGACAAATATATTGAGGAACAAGAATTTTACACATTTTGTAACAAATTTACCATACTCAACTGTAAAGAAACATTGGGAGAAATAACCAAGACTTATAAGGTTACCTTTTCGCCTGGGTGTTCCATCATGGGAGGAGTAACTGCTCAAGAAATTCGGAAATTTGTGTCAAAGCAACACGAGTCCATACCCAACTTTTGCGTTTTTGACATGAACCAGAACATTGTCTGCACATCGATGATATCATGAAGCCACGATCCATGCACCATGTATTATGTGATTATATGAAAATCCTGTGTGAGTACAGTTGGGATCCTGTATATGCACATTAAACGGTACATACATAAGTGGTCATGTGTATGTACATGCGTATATTCCGTATATATGTGCATATGTATTTGTATGACTGTTCAGACAAAAATGCAAGATCTAGGTAAAAAGAATTTGCACATTCGCTGGGAAGCGGAGCATAGAAAAAAAAAAAAAAAAAAAAGGAACATAAACGTAGGCATACATAAAATGACATCAATATACTGCAGCTCTCTCAGTAAATAAGAAAATGGGGCCCATCCGTGATTATTTTTTTCAGCACATTTTCAATTCCCTGTGTTAAAATTTTATATCTATATTGTGTGATAATTGAAATGTGATGCTTTCGATTAATTCTGTATTTATATATACACGTATGCATGCATGTATATTTTTTGTATGTACACCAATTTTCATGGCTCCCTATTTTTTTATTTTTTTTTTTAAATTTCCTGCACATATTTTAAGTTGTGTGTGCATGTGAAAAATTCAAGTGTGATATACATGGCGTTTTCATGCATACGCTCAATTCATATATAGTTTATGATATCCCCGTCCCCATATTCATAATTTACGGACGTATTAGGGGGTTTATGTTTTATTTCGTTTTATATCGTTTTATTTTGTTTTATTTTGCTTTCTTTCTTTCTTTTTTTTTTTTTTTTTTTTTTTTATTTTTTACTACATCTTTATGAACACTTTTAAATTGCCTTAACAATAGTCAATACGTTAGAAAAAAAAAATATTGCCTGTTCAGGTAAAGTAAATATTTTGCGCGCAAAATGTGTATACAGTATATATATAATATTGGTTTAATATGCTTTATTTTATTTTTCATCATTTGATTTTTTCGCATTTTTTTTCGTTAACATAATAGCTAAATAAAATTTACTTCTCCATTGCCAGTTTTATTCAAAGTCAGAAAATTTGCTTCATTTCGTTTAGTCGAAAAAAAAATTATTCCTGCTGAGCAGTTTTAGGGAGGGAAAAAAAGGCGCGTAGATAAAAAGTACATAATAATACGGATGCACTGCCAAAGGCGCGTATAAAGTTGGGATGTAAAAAATCCCTACAACTTACGTCAGTTTTCTTTGTTTTATTAATGTTGATATATCGCTACAAGGTTATATAAATTTATACACTGTTGTGACGTCTTTAACATGTATTTTATTATGCATACAATGTGCTAACGAATGAATGGATGAAGTATGAAGAATATATGTACGTATTTTTATAAATATGTAATATATCTTATTTATTATTATTTATTCTTTTTTTTTTAACTGTGTTTGAGATTTTTTCCCAAATTTAATCTTGTTATCCCCCTCGTACGTAGAACTCCTTTTTTACATACGTAAAATATATTCAACTTGGTACATTGCAAATAGGTAACATTTTTGTGAGAGACATTTTTTTTTTTTTTTTTTTTTTTTTTGTACATGTTAAATAAGTGCATATGATTCTTTTATTAAGCATACTGTACATCAAACGTGACAAGCACTTGTACCTACATACGCAAGAGAGCAGAAAACTAATAAGTGTTCTTATACTTACTTTTATGTCATTCCATAGAGTTTTTTTTTTATGTCAAACGGGTGGAAATGCGAATGAAAAAAAGGAGGGAGGTTGTGTTCGTACTAGTATAGGGGAAACATTTCTGATGCTAAACTGACCGTGATAATTTATATTTATTCATTTTATTTATTTATTTATTTTATTTTTTTTTTTTTGTGATAAAAAAATTGCTTCTCTTTTTGACCCCATCCTATGTACGTTTTTTCTATTTATATTTTTTTTGAGGTGAAGGTTAAGAAAAGATCAACCGATATTATTTAATGTGTAGGATACCCAAACAAATGGCAACAAAGTGTAAAATACGCTACGTAGGTACACAATACATGCAATTGTTTATAAAATTTTCCATGCACACATAACACATAGCACCCATCCCTGCGTACACATACACACACCTGCACGCACACCTTACTTGGCACGACTGAAAAAAAAAAAAAAAAAAAAAAAAAAAAAAATGCTCGATGGAAAAGAAAATGACGACTCATCAAAAGCGTCGATGAAAAATAAAAATATAAAGATAATAAAAGTACCAAAATTTGTTTCAAATAAATGGCTACAATACAATAATAAAGATATTGTTGGTTTATTTGAGCAAAACAACAACGAAATTTCTACCTTATATGTTCAGAAAGATAATAGTGATAAAGTAAAAAAATTAACATGTAATAAAAATAATACTGTAAATACATATATTTTAAAACAAAATAAAATATCATTAAAGCCTACTAAGGGTTTTAATTGTAGTACTGGCAACAGCAGCATCACAACACCTACGAATTCGAATAATAAAACTAGCGAAAATGCAAATCAAAGTAAAGTTAAAATCAATATTACGAATCCTGTAAAAGATAACACGGAACGGAATAAAGAAATTGATTATGTAATATGTGCAGACGTAATAAAGAACTGTGAACACACATATTCATTTCTACCAACTTTAGATGAAGATTATTCCTTGGTACTAAAAGAGAGACATTATAAAACCAATGTAAAAAAAAATAGATTCACAATTATCGAAACAAGGAATGAAGAAAATATAGATTCCTCCCACACTTTGTTTAAATATTACACTTCTGATGATAATGTTCATAATGCTACCGGCACAGTCAGTGCTTCTAATGATGCTAGTGTGAATAGCATTAGTGTCTTGAACAACAGCAAGGATAACAAATTGGGAAAGAGTAATAAACGAACTCTTCAGGACAGTGATAACCATTTTTCTTCCCCCTCTGCATCTAAACAAAAAGCAAAACAGATTAAGAAAATGCACGTTTTTGATCTCGATAAAGCTAAAATTAGTATGTTCAAAATATTTGAAAAGGAAGGAAAAAAGGGAGTTCCTTTTTCCATTTTTGCTAAAAGTTTTAATATCCCATCCAATTACATAAAAAATGTATTAGAAGAAATAGCAGTAAAAAGAAAAAGAGTAACCGATAAAAAGCCGGTGTACTTTCTAAAGGACTGCATCAATTAATGCATTCATTGGTTCACGTTCGTACGTATATATGTATATGTATATATATATATCAACGTGCACACATACACGCAAACATGCATGCATATGTATATACAAACTTATGTGTATGTTCAATTACGTTCATATGAATATGTACAACGTAATTGTTCACGTGCGCAAACTTTGCTTCTGCTTCACGTGTCGGATGAGGGTTTTTTTTTTTTTTTTTTTGCAGCATTGTATGCGTATAAAATCAGTTTTGTCATATGTTATTTTTAAGAAAATACGTTTGCACACAGAAGAATTATTGAACCTGTAAGAACATTCTTTCTTATTCTGACTCCTTACACCATGCTTTGCTTTTTTTTTTTTTTTTTTTTCCATTATGTTAAGAATTTCTATGTATGATTTTTCGTTTTGGTATAAAAAAATAGATAAAAAAAAAAAAAAAAAAAAAAAGGAGATCACTCAAGGTCAAGGTGTGAAGGTTGCGATGTAGATAATAAATGGTAATTATTTTTGCACTCGTGTTCGAGTTCGTGTTCGAATTGGTATTAGTATTGAAAGTGGCGTTGCTCAAGCAACATTCATCGATGTGTGTGCATATAACTTTGAACTGATGGACATTGGGGAAGAAGGATGAATTGTATTTGTGTCTCTTTTTATTCTGTTTTTTTTTTTTCTCCTATGTGTAGTTTAATTGCTTCTGATATGACTGGTATTTCGATGTAGCTGCAAAAAGGGAAGAGTTTGATCAACATGATGCCAAAGTTGCATGCATATGAATGTGTATTATATGGAAGACGTGTCGAAATGGAGAAAGGTAGTAAACACTTGAGTGATTATTCATATGCATTCACGTATATGTATGTATAGGATGAGGTTTACAATGGAGATTAAAAAAAAAAAAAAAAAAAAAGTGCAAGATCAGGAGTAGGGGGCATTTTACAGTGAGCTTCTTTTTTTTTTTTTTTTTTTTTAATATTCTTTTTCTTACTATCCAAGCAAAGAAGAGAAGAAGGGTATGATTAGTGAACCAAAGTATATGGTCATGGTTGAATATAAAATTGTCAAATTGAAGATATCTGTGTCATTATATGAGTACGGGAAGACTCGGAAATAAAATAAGGCCATTGCATAGCCAAACATGGACAATATCAAGCTCTGTAGAGTGTTGCAAAAGGGTTGTAGTGTCTTTCCATAAGTGGTGATAAGTGTCGATGAGTAATGATAAGTGTCGATGAGTAGTGATAAGTGTCGATGAGTACTGATAAGTGTCGATGAGTAGTGATAAGTGTCGATGAGTAGTGATAAGTGTCGATGAGTAGTGATAAGTGTCGATGAGTAGTGATAAGTGTCGATGAGTAGTGATAAGTGTCGATGAGTAGTGATAAGTGTCGATAAGTGTCTATGCTGGATAATGCATATTAGTTGAGCGATAATGAAAAAGGAACACCATTTGATCCTTATATCCAAGGGTTCACATGAAAGTGTCCCAAATTGCTAAATGTACGATGATATAACGACTGTGTTGATTTGTATTTAATCTATCATACCTGCATATGATGATACCTAATGAAGTAGTGAAACTTGAACTTGTTCTCTTTGACGAAAAGGAAATACAAACCCATAAAAGTTCCAAAAGATAAAAATGGAATGGATGAATAAATTTGATTTATTTTTTCGATTTGGAAGAGGTATCTATAATGGGAAGAGCATTGGGGAAGATGTGAAATAAAAAAAAATGTACACCGAGTGATTAACTCATTTGAATGTAATATATATCTACCCATGAAGAGAGTAATAATCGGACGAGATTATATAACACAATATTTGTATTGTGCAAGGTATTGTTATTTCCACACATTATGCATGGTACCTTTTTTTTTACGTCTTGTAAATTTGACGTGAAAAATAAATAAGCAAATAAATTAATATGTAGATAAGTGTGTAGATAATTGTGTAGATAATTGTGTAGATAATCGTTTAAACGAATAAAATAAATGCAGATATCTTACTTGTGTAGCGAGTGGGGGAGCATATTCACGAGTGGCATGATGAACGCCTGCATTTAGTGGGAAGAAAATTTGAAAGTACTAATTTGTGATTAACACGAGCAAGGTGCAAATGAATACATAAAGGGAAAAAATAAAAAAAAAGGAACTCTTTTGTAGGGGAAGATGAGTGTGTGCATGTGGGTGGGAGGTATGTTGTATTTGCCTTTAAGATAAGGTGAAATCAGCTATATTATGTCACACTAAGGGGTAATGATTATAAAAACTGGAGTGAAATAGTATAGCTTTAGTCCATTGCAGTGCAGTCTAGTATTTTATTTTTATTCTTATTCTTATTCATATTTTTATTTTATTTTTTTTACTTTATTTTGTTTCCACTGAAAGCCCTACCTGAATGGCATCTATAAAGGGGAGAATGTAACTCGTTGATGCCACGAATTTGTCAAACAGTGTTATGTCCCTTTCACCGTGAAATATTAAATTAATGTTTTCTTTTAAAGACATGTTGATGTGACTCTTTCTGATTTTTACGCTGGTATTTGAATTTTTGTTTAGTGAATAAAACAGTTTTCCTGTTGTTGTAGTAATATTTTTCATATTTGCATTTTTTCCATTTGTTAACTTTTTTAAGCTGTTTTTGGACACATGGTATATTTTGATATTATTCCAATTTTGAAAAGATAGCACATTTGTAGTTAATATGAAATGTGCTAAAGTGTAAATAAACAAATGTATAAACATTTCTTGAACTAGTGTAGTGAACCTAAGTGTGTTGATTCGCTTTGCTTCGTTTTTTTTTTTTTCCTCCTTACCATCTCGTAACGTTTAAAATGTTATAATGCATTTGTCACTATTTGTATTCGATTTATCACAAACAGAAAAGAGTAGGTAGAAATGGGTCATGTTGCTTCTCAAAAGAATTGGCACAATGAAAGATTAATAAAAGGAAAAAAAAAAAAAAAAGAACAGATGGTGCTCAAAAAGTAGTTATCAGTTTAATGTATATTAACACATAATGAAATGAGCGAAGAAAGCGTTGAAAAAAAAAAAAAAAAGAAGCTTTTTACGAAAAACGGTCAACAAAAATGATTTTTGTGTGTTCCCTATTCTGAGTGGGTATTCCTGGCCACAATTGCATGCTTCATTTTTCAAAAAATGGTAACACGGTGTGTATGTTTTATTAGTTACAAAAGATTAGTTCAAAGAAAGGAACTCGTTCTTTTTCATTGTGGATTGAAGGGGCAAAATAAAGACGAAACAGTGGTGAGGAAATAAGGGTAAGGGAATAGGGATAAGAAAATGAGGATAAGAAAATAGCGATAAGAAAATGACGGCAAGGGAAAAAATAATGCTGAATGCAACATGAACGGTGTAAAAAAAAAAAAATAAAAAAAAAAAAAGCAAGGGCATCTTACAATGTGGTTTTTTTTTTTTTTTTTTTTTGGCGTAAAATGAAGGCACCCAAAATTTCTCCATTTGGCGTAATTAAGAGGGATAGATATAAAAATGATTTCACCTAAAATTATGGAGACGTAAAATCTCAAATTTAGAATACCACCTTTTAGAAATAAAAATTATTTTAAAAAAAAAAAAAAAAAAAAAAAGACTTAAGATAATTTTGTTTTAACATTTTAGTTTTACCTACCTCTTGTTGTGTCTTTATTTTTTCATTTTTTTTATAATGTATGTCCAATTTGAGGAATGAAAAATGCGTTCCCATGTCGCTCATTGCGTTGATATATATAGAGGCCACTGTAGAATAATTTAAAAAAAAAAAAAAAAAAATATTAGTTTTTTTCTTTTTGAAATATTCCTACTATTGTTATTTTTTTACACCCCATTTTGTCACTTAATTACATTGTGCGTATAAAATTTGTGCGCATGTGTAGTTGATCATATTTGAATCTAGAAACCCGTCTGTAGTAGTTCCTAAATAGTCTTCAAATAGTATAACATTTTTTTGTGTGTTTTTTTCTACCACTGAGATTCCACAACTGTGCACAGTATGTGTGAGATTGATACACAACTAGGAGATCACTTCTATCACTCAGTGGATTGAAAGACATATATATATATATATATATATATATATAACACATGATGCAGACCGGAAATCAGAAGGATGAGGAAAACACCATAAGATCCCTTGGACACAATGCCTTAATTGAATTGTTGAACAATAATAACAATGAAGTGGAAAAAGAAGAAGAGAACGAGAAAGAAAAGCATTTAAGTAAAGGTGGGGAGAAGTGTAATAAAATTGACTTGTTCGATGTAAGTGCTTACAGAGAAGTAAAATTTCCAGAAAGGAATATTATGAAACGGTTGTCAGGTATAAGGTCAAATGAAGAACATACAAATTTTTTAAAGTATCACCATTATAATTCTGATAATTGCAGAAAATCACACGGAGAAAGAAATAAAAGTTGCCTTAGCATGGTAAATAGATATAATGTATTTTTTCCAAATAACAAAATACCTCATTTTACAATTCCCGAAAACGGTAATATCAGGAGAAAAAATTATAGTTGTAATTTTAAACCTTATAATAATATCAGAAAAAAAGAAATTTATGATGATAAAAATATGTACTATATGTTTCCAAAGAATTGTAAAATAAAGGGAGAAATTAAGAACGACCAGGTTTCAATGTGTGTGTCTGATGAAATTTCTCTCCAGGATAAAAAAAAAAATGAAAAAAAAAACACTTCTAATGGTGATGAATATGCAAGTCGACTAAGAGCAAGTCTCATCCAGACTGAGAACAAACCTGCCATAAACACAAAGATAGAAAAAAAAAGAGACAGTTCTACTACCACCATGTTATGTGACATGAAAGGAAAATTGCACACAGAAAAAAGCGATATAAGGAAAAGGTTACCTAAAAAGGAATTACATAAAGAGAGGAGAAGTAGCCCTAATTGGAAAAAAAAAAAAAACACGAAGACTAACGAAACTAAAATTAAGCAATTGCATGTTTCATGCAATGATAAGGCAAATATATGCTCGTTCGAAAAAGCAAAAAACCTTATTTCTCTTCATAAAGAAAATGGGAATTGCAAAAATGATGACAAGGATATGCTGCTTACTGATCAAGTTAATAGCCAAAGGGGGGGAGAAAATATAACAGATTTTCATCAAAGTTGTGCTACTGTTTGTAAAAAAAAATTTTATTCTGATTATGAAAAAAGAAGTAATTCCCGAGGAGCTATTAAAATGGAGGCTAATGATGATTCACTTAATGTGTTAACAGAGTTTGAAAAATGTAATGAAAAAGCGAAAATTTCCGAGATGGATGTACACAGAGAAGGACAACTGCTCTTACCTTCTCTTCAGTATAAGCTAAAAAACAATTCTGAATATTCTGAATATTCTGAATATTCTGAATATTCTGAAGCGACCATTCCCAATACTGAGTATTCCCCAAGCTGTCAGACAAGCACACAAATGGTCTCCTCATTGAACTTTGAGAATTTTATTTTCCTTGACTTTAATCCAGTAGAAGCAGAGTACATCGAAATTAAAAAAACTCTTCAGAGATATAAAAATAAAAGAGAATTACAAACAGAGGGTAAATGTGAAAATATGATTACTGAGGACAATATAAAAGAATATTTTTTAAAAAAGGATAATTTAGATATTGAAAATGCAAAACAGAATGGTAATGAAAATGACGAGAAAGTTTATATTAAAAAAAAGTTTAATCAGTTGAGAGCAAGTATAAGAACAGGAAAACTACGCATAATCAGTTACGACTTTGAACACAATTTGTGTTACATATTGGTGAAATCTGACTCATCATAGTATATTTTTCTGTGTCCCTGCTTAATTGTCTTTCTATGCTCAACGACTAAAGTGTGTGTGTGTGTGTGGGGGGGGCTTAAGTGAAGGTACCCTCCTCAGCGAATGAACAACACGTGCATAAAGTTGAAATTGCACACGCAGTTGAATGCGCAATTGGGAACGGTCGTGGAAAATGAAGATACATTCTCATGCCTAGACAAGACTTTACACCAATTACAAAGAGTGATATATACATATTTTTAAAAAAAATAAAAATAAATAAGAACTAAAACATTTGAAATTATAAAAAAGTTACTTTAGTTTTTGTCATTAATAAATATAGAAGTGTACACATATTAGTAGGTACGTGTGTATGTGTGCGAGTATGAGTGCATAAATGCACAAATGCACGAATGTATGGGATGAAAATGTATGTACACATGTACATAATTGTGGCAGAATGCAAGGGGGGGGGGGGAATTCTTAATATTTTTTTTAAAACGTTTAATATTCCTAATTATAAAAGAATTATTAAAAACTCTTGGGAATATGAAATTCATGTATTACATATAAAAAAAAAAAAAAAAAAAAAAAAAAAGGTGAAAGGGGGGAGTGTTATAATGTTATATATTAAAGTATTAACATATTGATACACAGTAAAAATTTGCAAAAAAAAAAAAAAAAAATAAAATAAAATATATGAATTGGACATACAATTACATTTCACATAAGATCTTAACACATGCATTTATTTAGCATATTTTTCTCATTGGTTGTTGCATTGTTCGATAGTTGTATATCAACAACATTTGCCTCGTTTGAATTGGTATTATCTAGATTTGGTAACTTGGCTGCAATTTTTTTAAACAAAACTTTTATATTATGCCCTGCTTTGGCACTTGTTTCATGAAACATAGTATTGTATTCTTGAGCTTTTTGCATACCTTCTTCATATGTAACTTTCCTTAGATCTCCTAAATCTGTTTTATTCCCCACTAGGGCAATTATAACATCCTTACCTCTTTCATTTAAAATGTCTTGTATCCATTTGGTTGTATTTTCGAATGATTGTCTATTTGTAATATCATACACAACAATAGCTGCAGCCGAGTCTCTAATATAACTTGGTATTAAACTTCTAAATCGTTCCTGACCGGCCGTGTCCCACAGCTGTAGACGTACTGGGCCTTCATCCAGATACAATGTTTTACTGAGAAAATCGATTCCGATTGTAGACTTGTGGGGAAAGGAAGAATATCGCATTTTTATATGTATACAAATGTGTATATGTAATTATTTGTGCATGCATACATGGAAAGAGGAAAAGAGTCAACTTTTGTGTTTTTGTAAAAATATACTAAAATTTTACTACCACACATGTGACACATAGCCATAAGAACATAACTCATCTTTTCTGCATGTTCAGAAAAAAAAAAAAAAAAAAGCTAGCTAAATACTGTTCAATGGTGTAAATAAATAGCTATTTTTTTTTTTTTTTTTTTTTCTGAACATGCAGAAAAGATGAGTTCACACACACATTTGTGTTTTTATTTTGTTTATTTTTACACTCCATATACCTGATAATTATTGTCAAAAGTGTCATACATAAATCGGGTAATTATTGATGTTTTTCCAACCGCTTGCTAAAAAAAAAGACAGGGAAGAGGGCAAACTAAATGAATGAAAGAATGAGAAAAAGGTAAAAATAGTAAAAGTAATAAAGAGGTAAACAGTTGATTACAAAATAATGTTTATTCTTTTTTATTTTATTATTTTTTCTCTTTTCCATTATTGGTTTTTACTTCTCCTAAAAAAACAAGTTTGTACTTATTTAGCCCTGAATCTAAGAAATAAAACATAGGAGAAAAAAAAATTGTATCATACAGATGAGTAGCCACATGGGAGATAAGATTAAATATGTAGAAACGTTCAGCACGCATAAGTGTAAGAATTATATATTTTTATTCACAATTTCACGCGAATATTTTATCTACACACATTGGTTATTTATATGGAAGTAAAAAATGTTTGTAGCAACTTGGGCATACATAAATGTCAATGGATTTTTTTTTTTTTTTTTTGGGATAGAACTGTTTTCTCTTGTGTTTATGGTATTAATAAATGCACACTTTGATTTTTCTTTATATATGTATATATATATATATTCTTACTCTGAAACTCGTCCATTATTGTTACAAGGCAAAAAATTATAATTAACGAATAAATCGTTTCTATAAGTTTTAAAAAGGAACTGTAGTTACAAGCAAAATTTTCCTTAATCCATAATATCCCCCCAATGTAGTTGCTTATTAAATACCCTTTTATCCTTTTTAAAAAAGAAAAAAAAAATGATTAATACTTATTCTTCCTTATCCAAGTAAATATGACATAATATTTACACATATTTACTTGTAACTGTTTTTTTTTTTTTTTTTTTTTTTTTTTTTTTTTTTTTTCTATTTTTTTGGAAAATAAAAATTTTAACAAAGTCGAACGAAAGGGAATGGAAAAAGAATTAACGCGTGAATGTACAATCACGGAAACATAAAAATATATTCATGTATACATAAACATATGATATCATAAAAAAAAAAAAAAAAAAATACACAAAAATGTATGGAAGTGCTAAAGCTTTTTTTTTTTTTTTTTTTTTAAATTGGAGGGATTCACAAAAGTTCAGGGTTGTTCAATTTGAAAAAAAAATAAACCGCTCACAGTTGAATATTATTAACTGTTCAACAGTTCAATGTGTTAACCGTTCAGCGTTTCAACCTTTCAACCTTACAAATACTTCAGCTACTCAACATTTCAACGCTTTTTAACATTTAGCTTTTCCCCCCCGCCCCCATATTATTTTGCTCTTCCGTAATTTTTCCTTTTACCCAGGAAATAATAAAAATTGTGAGAAATTTCATATGATAGCTTAAAATGTTTGGTGTACAAGAAAAATCTGCTGCAGGTGTTTAAAATAATTGTACACTTTTTTAACAAATTAAATTGTTTTGTATATATTGGCACAAATGTAAGAAAAAATGAAAAAACGAACTTTTCGTATAAGTGAAAATAGTGTAATATATACTTGTGTATACACTTGAAAAAAAAATATATATTTTTTTTACATATTAAATAAGTAGCAATGTAAAGAAAAAAAAGAAAAATCATAACTTTTTGGTGTACGTTTTCAAAAGGTTTTTAATTTGAAACTGTAAATTGTTAAGGTTGTGGGCACCTTATATATATCGGCTAAGGAAAACAAAATGGAATTACAACATGTTATCAAAAACAATCTGATATATTTATGTGTGCAAAAGTAAATTCAAATTTTTGAATTTTCCCTCATCCCCACATTGGAGCTTTTTTTTTTTTTTTTATATGTAAGGTATTTTATAGTGCCACAAAGATTTTACTTAGATGTTTGGTTCCATATTTAGTTAGACAGAGAATCAAAAGTAAATTTTTCTCACAGAAAGCGCATAAAAGTGGATTGAAAAACATGTGTATAAGCACGGTTCAACATGCATTCTTTTTTTATGCCACTTTTAGCCAGTTTTAAAAGGAAAATAAAAAATATATTAATGAAAAAAAAGAAAAAAAAAAGAACTCGTACCACATACTAAACGCTGAACATAAAAAATTTGAAAAATACATAATGGAAACTCATGATAGGAAAAATCTTCCATCCATGTGTGACAAGGGTATATATACAAAACTAGTAACAAAAATGAGAACTTTTAAGCAGTTGAGCATATTAAAAAATATAGATTAACTTCAATGCATTATGACCAATTTTTTTTTTTTTTTTTTTTTTTTTTTACTTTTTATATGTTTACAAAATAAGCACAATGTTTATGAGTCACGGATGTCTGTTTAAACTGTAGGTATATGGTTTGATAGTAATGCCACATGTTGATGATATTTTTTTTAAAACGTTCATTTAAAGTTCAAAGTGCTAATTTAGTGTTGAATATCTAGATTCCTTCTGTACATATTCGCCCGATTTAATTTATTCTATTTTTATTGGGATGAATCACCTCTCCCATTCTCACTGTGTTCCGTATTGATTCTCTCCTTTTCGTAATTTCATTCAAAATCATGATGTAATGCAGGTCGAGGTTAAGTGTGGGTGAACAATTCACAGCTTTTGTAAGATAATATGAAATCATATCATCATTTGCAAAAATGTTTTCAAAACCATCACAAAGCTGCTCATGCTTATGTTGTTCATGAGGACTAGGACTTATAACAGAGGTTGTATTTTCATCATGTTTATCATATTTGAACAAATTTTCATTCACCTTTTTTCCATCTTGTATTTTATCTTTTTCCTGTTGATACTCATTATGCTGAGCATGAGAATAATTAAGTGTCGAATTTGATTCACATAAATAGCGACCTACATATCCAGGGATACATAACAAACTAGACACATCAATACACTTCTCATTAGTCGTTTTTTCTCCTCTATTTTTGTATATACTTACAAAATCGTCACTTTCGTATACTACTTTATACGAGTTAACCTTTTCTATGCACTTTTTTTTTTCGATTGATTTCACTCGGGTTCTTTTTGCCAGCGCCTGATGAGGAAAGTGATCAAAATGGCACACATTAAGTATGAAAGATCATGCAGCTAGGAAGTTAAGAAGTTAAGAAGTTATGAAGTAATGAAGTTAAGAAGTTATGAAGTTAAGAAGTTATGAAGTTATGAAGTTAAGAAGTTATGAAGTTAAGAAGTTATGAAGTTAAGAAGTTAAGAAGTTAAGAAGTTAAGAAGTTATGAAGTTATGAAGTTACGAAGTTATGAAATTAAAGAGTCATACAACTTCACCCTTTCATAGTTCTGTAGGATATATGCAGAAAAGACTGGATAGAGAAAAAAAAAAAAAAAAAAAAATACCCCTTGGAGAACCATATCTTGTCTTTCATTCATCAATGAAGATTTACTAAATGATTTAGATATTGCTTGATCGTGACTTTGAAGAGAAGAAGAATTGAAACGATGTATATCTGTTTCATCCACCTTTCGATTAACCATTGATTGACCATGTATTTTGTTTTTTGAAAAATCTCCTTGTGGAAATTGTGTTCCTTTTTTAAATTTATTGTCTGTTAAGTTAGTTACTGTGGTTGAGGATTGAGTTCTCCCTGTGCATTTCATTTCTGCGATTAGGATTTGTAGTTGTGATAAATACATTAATCAATACCAAATAAACAAATGCTTTGTGAATACATTTATGTTCTCTTAAGAAAGAGATTCATAAAGATTACTTTCGCAACATGAAAAAAAAAAAAAAAAAAATGTAAGATTTACTTTTTAACTTGCTTAAGATCATATTTGTAGAATGTTTTAACAACATAGGGGTGACTTGGGGTTTGTTTATATCCTTTTTAGGGATGGTGGTCATATGGGGAGATTGAGATGCTAACGTCCTTTCACTCTGTTGATGGTTTAAAGAAAATACACGAAACAGAATGTAAGGACGCAAGTCGAAGAGAAAATAACTGTCATGAAAAAATATCAGTCGGAGATTCACTTTTTGTAGTGAACGAACAGATAATCATAAGAAATAAATCTTGTCTGGAAGAGGCAAAAAGAGAAGATGGAAGTATATCCGAAAAAGAAAAAATGCAGATTTTTTTAACCGTATTCTATTAAAAATGACAAGTGAAAAAAAAAAAAAGAAAAAAAAAAAGATATATATATATATATATGTACACAAACTGCATCTAAAACAAGGTAGAGAAATATATACCTCTCATTTGGACACTTATTTGTAATAATTTTTTTTTCTTTTTTATCAGAATTACCTGAACGGATTTAAACTTGCCTATGTTATATTGCGTAGGACTCAAATTTGTAGTTTCTCCCCTTGAAGTGCTATACATTTTTTGTGCATTAAAAGAATTTGGAATTTGTGAAATGGATCTTATTTTGTTTTTCATATCGTAAGTAGAAGAATTATAAGTCAAATTGTTACAACTGAAAGTTCTGAAGTTTTGCCCTGTTATGTCACACGACCCGCATGCTGTATCTGAAAAAGGGGTTATGCAAAATGCAAAATGGTGATAAATGGTTTACACATTTCTTATACACACGTGGACACGTGGAGACATTCCTTCATATACATATTTATATGAGGTCTCTTTATCAGTCTTTTACAGTAATTCACTCTAGTTATAACATACTTATCTGGTTGCTGAAGTTCCTGTGAACTGGAAGCTTGATCTTAGAAAAAAATTTGCTGCTATTCTGGAATCTTCTGTTCACCTGGTTGCTAAAAGCGGGGAGGCACAAGAACATAAATCAGAGGAGCAGGTTTACCCATTTATATGGATATACATACATCATTGTGAGCGTGGTGAGAAGTGGGGTGGAGAAGTGAGGTGAATGAATCAACAGAAATGAAATAGTCTTATGTTATGATGTGTGCAAGTATTTTTTAATGAGTCAGAGTTGTGATATCCTCCAATTCCCCTCCTACCCTTTTTTTTGATGGAACTAGATTTTGAAAATTTTCTAATAATGAATCTAAAAATGAAGATGTTTAGCTAAGCAGGTGATAAATATTTCCGCATATTTTAGCTTTATTTTATTTTTATCTTTTTTTTTTTTTTTTTTTTTTTTTTTCCTTATTTCTTGCTACCTGAAAGATGGTTTCCTACTTGTCGACGCTTCTCTACATTTTTTTACGAGATCTAAATTTAATTCAACATTTTGATATACAACAGGGAGGTTGGAAATATTTCCTAAATTCTTATGAGAATTTTCAAAATCGTTTTCGGTTTTGAACACAGATGATAGAAGTGTGTTGTTATTTTTTCTTTCATATGGTATATAATTAGGTAGGATAGTAGCTATGTCTTTAATGTTGATTTGTTCTGTTATCCCGTTTAATCTTTTCACCACGCACGTCATTGGGGTGTTTTTTTTGTTACTGCATTGGTTACTGCCTCTTAAATTTGCACCATTAACATAGTTACTTTTCTGTGGAAGCATACTTGTGGAAGTGCATTTATTTTTTTGTATTTTTTCTTTTTGATGAATATACATATCTTTTTTTTTAATTGTGTTCAATTCAGAACAGGTGTATTTCGAGCAACTATGCGAGGAACTTGTTTTGTTATGGTAGTTGGGTGCTATTGTTAGGGGAACACTCTTTCCACTTTTTATTTCTCGCGAAGATAGCTCATGTGGAGAATGTGTCCGCTTAGATGATTGAGAAGTGAAGTTGTGGATCTGTGTGTCATTTCTATCTAAAGAAACTCTACGCACCATTTCTTGACTATGAGTGCAGTTTTCCCTTTTGAACAAAAAGCCAGAATTTTTTTCGTTTTCCCTATCACAAAACTGTTTCATAATTTTGTATATACGCATGTACGTGTGTATGTATATACGTATGTATGTATATACACACATGTGTGTCATTCAATTTTTTGTGATTACCAGTATTATATTTTTTTAGTTTTTTTCTTTTCGTTACTAGATTGGACTAGCAGCCTGGAGATCTTTTAACATTCTGTTTTTGAAAAAGTATTTTCCTGCATATCATTACATGGATTCATTATTTTAAAAAAACAATAATAAAATAATAAAATGAAATATACTTGTCTTTATCTCTATTTTTGGAAATTTTTTATTTTAATCTACTCGTTGGTAAGCTTCATTTATTTTGGGCTATTGAAAATGGAGATTAATGGGTATTTTATTTTCGCTTTATTTTTGCTTTGTTTTTTTTTTTTTTTTTTTTTTTTTTTGTGAATAACTGAAATATTTCCACTTGAGACACTGAAAGGTTAGGAAAAGAAGAAGCAAGAATGGGTATAGATTTACAAGCAAAAAAAGTTTTAAAAAATTTAAGAATCAATTGCAAGTGCTGGCACTTGCATATCACAACATCAAAATTTGCCTTTTTCATTGCAGTACATGTCGATGTTTCTACTTGTGGAAAATGTGCCATTTTTTTATGATATTCCTTAAATACATTTAATAAAAAAGTGTAAAAGTTTTTAATTCTTCTAGTGTGTCTGCACATGTATGCAGATGGTGTGAATTTTTTTTTTTTTTTTGTATATTTTGTTTTGGGAAGCAAAAAAAAGGCAGTATGCTTGTAGACTACCTTTCAAAAATTCTACAACATTTGTTTTGTACTGCTTTGTTTTTTTCTTAAATAATAAAATTGAAACTAAAAAAAAAAAATGGCTCGCCTGTTTGTGTATCAAGGAAAATTGGAAAGTAATTTAATGGATACATATGCGTGTGTTGGTGTTTATATATGTGCATATGTACATGCATAAATATATGTGTACGTATGTGCATATGCATACATGTGTATATTGCGAATTTTGAACAGAACAGCGTTGTAGGTTACTTATATAAGCAAATTCCATCAATGTTGTAGAAATAAGTGCATATGATAATTTACCTTAGATTTATTGAAAAGAGTATGAAAATATAATAGTTCTGTAACACAAAAATTTTGCATTATTTTGCATTGTTTTGCATTGTTTTACATTGTTTTGCATTGTTTTGCATTGTTTTGCATTGTTTTGCATTGTTTTGCATTGTTTTGCATTATTTTGCCATATTATGCTTTACTTTGCTATAGTGTATATTACCTTATTTTGCTTTATTTTTTCCTCTTCAATGGACAACCATGCCCTAATTGTGACGTGACTGAGAAGGAAAATAATTGCGATTTAAGAATTATTCATTTTCATACACTTTTTAGGACAGACAGAGGGATAACAGCATTTTTCCTTTTTTTTTTTTTAATTTTTTCAACTGCAAAAAATTCTCATTATTTTTCTCTAATTTTATAAGTTTGAGTAAGGTTCATAGAAAATTCGTTCAGGCGCTGCTCCTTGCAAATGGGGAATTCTCAAATGTAAGGGATCAAAGTATGCCTCACAAGGGAGAGCAAAAAATGGAAAAAAAAAATAACAAGGTGAAGAAGGAGAAGAAGGAGAAGAAGTGGGAAAAAAAAAAAAATATACACACACGTAGGCATGCAGAATGAAGGATGCATATCTTCCTAATAAAATGGGAAATGCCAAAGCGGGGTTTTTGGATAGAATGATGAATTTTTACACGAACATATACTTATGTACACATGTGACTTATTTTTACTTGCACAAAGACACTTAAGAATATGAGGTATGGTATTCTCTGGTAATGTGTGTGCAATTTAAAATATAAAAAAAAAAAAAAAAAAAAAAAAGGGAACTGGTAGAGAGAAGGGAGATATGATTAATGAAAAAGACATGGGGTAAAAAAGGAAGAAGTGTTGCATTTGATTAAGTAACATCGTTGAGAGTATGATCTTATGGGGGTTACAAGGACTGAAAAATTTAATCATAAGAGAGAGAGAGAAAAAAAAAAAAAAAGTGCACTAAAAAGAGAAGAAGAAATGAACTGTGTGCATGGTTCATGTGAATATGTATAAGTAAATATATAAGGGGTAAGTAAAAAAAAAAAAAAAAAAAATTACTTCTTGAAAGATGATTGAAATGTTGTTATTATGTCTCACTTTCACTAGAAAAAATGGCCATATCCAAATATCCTGTATAACCGAGTTGTGTTATCACACAGCCGATTAAGAGCTTACTGGCTTAAATATCAATCGGTTTAGTAGGCCAGTGGACTAATGGATAAAACTCCAATTTACAACGAACCACCTCTCGTTCGTACAAATGTAAAAAAAAAAAAAAAAAGAAGAAAAGGACGAAATAGAAGAAAAAGAAGAAAAAATTTAATAATATTCATACATTTAAAAGTATGAACAAAACAAATTTAAAATTAAAAACAAATGCGAACGGAAAAAATCCCGATTCGTGTTGCATTGAAGGAGTAACGTTCGTGTGCTTTGGGTGTGTGTGTCCCCAACATTGGCATGCATAAGGATCAGATACTCTCGTGGAACAGAAGACCTCTAGCTCCACATATATAATCCATGCATATAAGTATGTTCCTAAATATATATGATATACGTGTATATATTCATATGTGTATATATTCATATGTGTATATAAGTATATGTACATATATATATATATATATATATATATATATATGCATAGGGGGTGTGCTACTCTAGGGATTTCAAAACAGTATCGGATAACTGCTTATGACATGATCGACACACAATTTTCAATAAGCAACCATACTGCTGCGAAAGAATTAGAGAAGCTTTGCAAAGGATATTAGACTCATTGCAAAATTTGGCAGATAGTAGCATGTTGTGGTTGGTTGTGTTCGCTTCTACTACATCTGTTTCTTCACAGGCCATCATATTTAATGTGTTTAATAATCCCACGACAGCTAGCTGTATATTTTCAAAATTTAAACTAAATTTGCTAACAGATTCTGAATTCGAGTTTTCCATAGTATCCCAGAGATGTTTAAATTCGCCAGTTCTCAAAATTCGAGGACTGATAAAATCAGTGATTTGTATACTTAACGGATTAATGGAATAAGAATCAGGGAACCCATCATCTATTTCGTTTTCTTTGGTCAAGAAATATAAAGATAGTTGAAATGTTTGATTAACTATATAGTTGTTACTATTACTTTGTACTTCTGCTGTGTGTGTGATGTTGTTTCTTTCTAAGAGTACATATAAATTTTGGGGTGCGTTGAAATATAAATTTTGAATTGTCGTTTTTTCTAAAATAGACCACTTGTTATCATATGAATTTATTTGCAATGTTATGTCTGAGAGTATATGTTCACTTAATGTATTTTGTATTGTGAATTCTAGTAAAATGTGATTATCATATATATACTTTTTAGCGAAGACTGTATACTCAGCTTCACTTTCTGTTAGTGCTATTGATTTTCCTACAATCTTTAATGTACCCATGTTGTACTTTTCTATAAATGCAGATATATTTTCTAAAAACATATAATCTAAATTTTGTTCAGGTAATTTTGTGCCATTTAGAGTGTTATTAGTGTACAATTCTGCACTGGAACCTTTTCTATTCAAAAAGGTAGAGGAAGCAGGAGAAGATACTGCATCGTTGAAAGTGTTATTGTCTCCCAATTTTTTTATTTCTTCCTTTGCATGTTCGTAATCAAATTCTTCCGTTATATTATTTTCTATATGATTTTTAATCAGATGGAGGATATTTTCTATATGTGCAGGTTTTTCATTAGTTAGAAGTTCATCGATTAGAGGTGCATTAGTTGGGGAATCTGTATTTTTGGATTGATTCGTGTTTATATCGATGTTTGATGAAACTTCTTCAGAATTAATACCATCATGCCGATGCGGATGCTGCTGAATATTATTATTATTAATAATTTCATCCGCTTTTTTACTTTGTAATTCCAAGTGCTTTATTTTTTCCTTCAATATGTGATAGAAAAAGTTCGTGCGATCTCTAACCTCATCATCGTTGTCAGCTAAGAGACAATTTAGGAGAAATAAAATATCTTTTGAATTGTTTCCACATTTTAAAGCAATGTAAAATAATGCATGCATTCCATCAACTCGTATTGTTGAATTTTCAAGAATTAATCTATTATAAATATATCTTATATATTTAGAAGGGTTTTTCGTTTTGGGTATATGTACAAGTAGGAATCTTATAACTCTTAGAAGCAAGGAATTATATTCACAATCTTCTATAAATTCACAGAGTTGTAATATGGCTGTTTCTTCCGAATTTGGTATTTGAGTAATTATTAAAACGATTGCATCTATTGTGTTTGATTTAAATTGATATGACTCTTCATCTCTTAGATTGTTTGCTAAAAAGTCCAAGATGATGTTACATTTGGTTGGATAAATGAAACATAGGTTTTTTAATTCTTCTATAATTTGCATTTTGAAAAAGGTGTTATCTCCACTCATGTAATTATTAATTTGTCCTAATAGTTGATCTATATTGGATTCATTTCCAGTTTTAAGTAAAGTAGTGAATGCTAGGACACATATACTTTTGTTACTGTCTGTTAGTAAATTTTCTATATCTTGATTAATTTTAGATGCAACCTGTGGTCTGTAATGTGCCAGTTTATTTATTTGTCTGATTATGCTAAACTTGTCTACTACTTTGGAAGATAATAAAAAAAGTTGACATACTTTCATACACTCATTTAGTATGTCTACATTGAATACTGTTGTTGAATTTTTCGCTCCTTTGTCATGTTCAATTAATTCGAAAATACATTTTATACATTCAAAAAGAATCATGGGATCTTTGCTTTTTAGACAATTCTTTAAATAATCGAAGCAGACTTTTGTTGTTGGATGAATTAGAAAGTTTCCTTTGTTTGTTGGATAGTCTTGTATATTGTAGATATCTTGAGTACGTGTATGAGACATTACATTCGATGGAGAAGAAGAAGATGAAGAATAATATGCACCAATATAACTCCCCATCTGATTTGTAACAGCATTTGTAGAAGGGCATGTAGTATTTTTCTTAAAATTCCCCAATTCACTTTCCATCTCAGTGGTGTATATCAAATAAGAAGCATACTTGATTAAGAGACAGTTGGCTAGAGATCCAGATAAATTACTTGTAGTTTTATTATAAGAAGAAATGATTTTTTCAAGGGCCAATTTGTCTTGATATTTAATGGAACATAATAATGTTAAGGCATGGAATTGAATCATTGAATTTTTACTATTTATACATTCAGTGACTTCGTGAATCCATTTTTTTACAATATCACAAGATGCATTAAAATATAGATTTAATCCACATAATAAAGAAGAACATGAAACGAAGGAATTTTTATCTACTATGGCTGTTTTTAAATATCGTTCAATTTGTGCTGCCATTGAATAATCTATTATTTTACTTAATACCCTAATAGCATTTGCCCTATAACAATCATTTGCTGAGTTCATATCCTTAGTTAATGAGCTGGTTACAATAAAAACTTCTTTTTCATTTACTGGTAAACTTTTAATTAACAAGTATACCATTCTCCTTAACCTTTCATTATTTGATTGAAATAATTTTGTAATACTAAAAAATATATCTGTACATTCTTGTGATGTTAAGTTCTCCTCCCCTTTATTTATCAAATATAATATTTTTGTCAATATCTGCATGCATTTTTGTGTATTTAAGGGATAGCTTGAGAACACTCTAGTTTCTTGCAAAATGCTTGCCTTGTCTCCTTCGTGTGGATTTACAGAAGATTTTTCATCATCATACTTTGCATCTTTTAGTAGATTCCTTTGAATTTTATCCTTTATCCCAATTGGTTTCAGCATTTTTTTTTTTTTTTTTTTTTTTTTACCTCCCTCTCGTTTTTGTCCTCTTCCTATGTCTAGTTTTGTGGGATTGCTTTTGCTTTATACTTTTGCTTCTAATTTTTTGTACGTAAGAATGCCTCTACGTTATTTCTTTCCCTTTTTGCATCTCTCCCTTATGACAGGAGGAGAGAATGGCATAAAACAAATGATTTAACGGCAGAATGTGTACTTTTTCCGTTATAAAAAAAAAAAAAAAACACACACATACGTCTTTATTTGCATTAACGATGAATAACTACTTGTACACGAACATTCAATTCGAGTGGAACATTTTTTACAGACACGTGTTTATATGTGCACTTCTGCAATTGTCTCGATTATTTTTCACGATTGTTGTCCTACATAGGAGGTTATTCCAAAACTAGTGGGTTTGAAAGAAGTGGAAGAGGCAGATGGAAGGGGAGAGAAAAATCAGTTATATAATGCTAATAAGAATATGAAATTTGATTAGAACAGTGACTGATATGAATAACTTTTTGCGTTTCGTATTGAACGGTTGGGAAGACTTTGTACCCGTATAAAACAAGCTAAATGGTGATTGTTCTATTTTGCTACTCTATGTGTGTATATATTTTATATGACATTTTTTTTTTTTTTTTCATAACAAACTCTTATGCTATACAAGTTTTTCTCAGCGTTAAACAATGCTTAACACGTTGTGCTAATTTGTATATGCTTCTGGCAATTTTTAGGGATGATCTAACTTGTTATATGTTTTTCATCATTTGGGAAATTTTTGCATTTTATTCTATCTTTCACTCTTTTTACTTCTTTTCTCTTTTTACTTCTTTTCTCTTTTTACTTCTTTTCTCTTTTTACTTCTTTCCTCTTTTTACTTCTTTCCTCTTTTTACTTCTTTTCTCTTTTTACTTCTTTTCTCTTTTTACTTCTTTCCTCTTTTTACTTCTTTCCTCTTTTTACTTCTTTCCTCTTTTTACTTCTTCCCTCTTTTTACTTCTTTCCTCTTTTTATTTTTTCAATTTTTTGTTTCCTTAGAGTGCCGATCGTTACGCTGCTATTATTTATGCTCTATCTTATCGCAATAAATTAGGTTGTGATAACTTTTTCTAATCCTCAAAATATATCTCTCACTTTTGGTGCATTTATCTTAAAACATATTTAATTGAGAAAAAAAAAAAAAAAAGAGTAATAATTTTTGGAAAATCATGGGAAGGGAAATTTTGAATAATTATTTCTACGATCTCTTTTTCTTTTTCTTCAATTCTGCTAATTGTTATGCTATGAAAATAGGGGCTAAATGAGAGTATTACAATGTGCTGCACTGCACTACATGTGATATACATATATATATGTATATGTTTTTTTTTCAGCAAAATTACAATACCTCATTGGTTATATAATGTTTATAAATATTTTGTAAATGAGCTCTGTGCTTTACACTCTCGCACTGTGAGATGAAAATGGGTGTTTATATAATGACGAATGTGATACTATCAATGAGTTCATTATATGCACACCATTTGAATAGTGTATAAAAGAGCCAATAAAAAATTGAAGAAAAAAGGTAAGAGAAACATCCCTAAAGGTACAATATGTAAGAGTGAGCATATGTGTAACTTTTGTTTATTTCCCTTGCTCTGATCCCCAGTTTTCGCCTATGATGTGCATGCATACAATACGTACATGAATACATGCATAAAATATAATGCATAAAATATAATGCATAAAATATAATGCATACATATAATGCATACATATAATGCATACATATAATGCATACATATATGTATAAACCCTATTTTGTACATAATGTGTACCATCATTTCTGATGAGAAGACCCCAGAGGACATTCTTTAATCAGAAGAGTTTTGATACTTTTCCTTTCTCATGCAAAATTTGCTACATACAATAAATCAATACACATTATCCCCTGATCTTATACGAAGCGCACAAAACACGCACATTTGTTTTGTTTATAAACTGAAATAGTTAACCAAATGTCATTTTCTCCACAATTAATGTTTCGGTTTAATCACAAATTTTTTTTTTACAAGAAAAAAAGGGCTTAAATAAAGTAGCAAAGTAATTACGCTTAATTGTTTTAACTCTTTTTATTTTTACACATGTTTTTTTTTTTTTTTTTTTTTTTTTTTTTACAGAATTCATCGTAAACAAAATCAGGGTATTATATTCTGAATTATATGTAACAACAGCCCGCTAAAAAAAAAAAAAAAAAAAAAAAAATTACACTATTGACATATGGTCTAAAGTAAAAAAAGTATTATTTCCGTTCTTCACATGATTTTTTGTTATGAATTCTACTATATTTTATCTATAGACACGGGTTCTTGTTTATATCATGTAAAAAGGAAAATATGAAAAAAGTTAATAATCTGATGCTTGTGTACATATATGTGTATATGTATATGTTTGCAATTTGGGAAAGGTTCCAATTTCGTATAGATTTTTTTTTTTTTTTCCAAGAAATGTTTTATTAATTTTGCGTATGTCAACTTGGGGGTGAGGGGGAAAGATGAGATGCTTAGGCATATAACACTACTCTGTTAGGTGAATAACCATCCAGATATACATTCTCCATACGTTCACATCATCCACATGAACATAGTGGGTAGGCCAAAATTAGGTTGCAAGGATGGCCATAAAATATACACATGTATACACACAAACATGAACACCATGTGCAGACACTTTTGTTACAGTAAGACATCAAAAAAAATGCGAAAAATAGTAGGGAATGAAATAATGGAAAAATAAATAATGGAAAAATAAAGAATTCCCTTTATGCCATTTCCAAAGGTATGCTTTGAACAACTCCTTGATGTACCCATTTTATTTAAATAATTTTTTTACTAAAGCTGGTAAATTCATTCTCCAAACCTTATGTAAAATATCCCTGAACACATAGTGGATATTATTCCTAGATACAAATTATCAAAGAATTTTTTTTTTTTTTTTACAAAACTTGACATGTATACGAAACAATTTTTACATAAAATTTAAAGAATCATTCATGTTTATAATAATAAATATATTTAGACACAAATTTATGCACTTGTTATATAACACTTTATTTCACAAATAAACACTTACTAATAAAAATATTCATCAAAACGGAATTTTATTTTATTTTATTTTTTTTTTTTTTTTTTGAGCACATGTATGTGTGTGTGTGTATTTTTTTACTAGAAACAGTTTACTATACAATGAAATTTGAAAAAAAAAAAAAAAAAAAAAAAAAAAAATGCGAACACGAATATATTTATATATGTAAAGGCATGATGCTTTTTTTGTATATGTAGAAATATATGATTTATTTTTTTTTTCACTACTTGTCTGATTATCTGTTTGTACAAAAATGTAGAAGAAGAGACATATTTTTTAAAAAAAAGGAGTAATAATCGCTATGAAATTGGAGGAAGGTGTGCAGAAACGCAACCTGCTCCCAAGGCATTCCGTTTGGTTTTGTTTTATCTTATTGTGGTTATCACTATTGTCATCATCAATGTCATTATCACTCTCATCATCATAACCATTATCATCATTAGTGTAATCGTCATCATAATCACCATCATTATTAACACTGTTATTAGTACTTGCCCCTTTTTTCATTCGAGTTGTATACCTGTTGTACCTATCCACGTAAACATTTTTAGACAGATGTACATTTCTTTGAAGCGGTAAATGGCTATGCTGCAAGATTCCTATAATATTTGAGGCACCAAGGGTATGATCTGTTTAGTAGTGTGTTCAATCCTTTTTTTTTTTTTTTTTTTTTTTTTTTTTTTTTCTACTGCTGAAAATTGTAATGTGAACAATTAGCCCAACTCGTAAGACAAAAGTTCTTTACATCACCATGTACTTGTGAAATGGTATGGAACAATTAGTTAGACATCATGTGGGGTAGGGAGGAGACTTGACTAAAATTTCCTCTTATATAATTTTGCGCAGATAGGGAAATCTGTTTATATACATGTGTGGGGGGATATATCTGATTCATCAGTTTTTTTTTTTTTTTTTTTTTTCCAAGACATGCTCCCTTTTCTATCGTATAGAATTAATTAGGAACATGGATTTTTACACCTGTTTGATTGTAACATGTTTTTTTTTCTTCCCTTTCCTGATATTCCTGCTTTTTCTGCATTTGCAAAACGTTCCTTTCACTAGAAATAGCTAATTTATATTCTGTGTTGAATGAATCTACACTATTATCTTTGTTGGATGAATAATGCAAATCGAAGTCACTATAATCGTAGGTGGATGAACTGGATGTTTTGTTCACATTTTCCCGAATGGTTTCATCTAGTCCTATGGTAGTTTTTATAACATGATTATTCGGATGGAGATATGCACAGGATTTGTTGTTACTAATGTTGACTTTGTGATTGTTTTCCTTTACACATCTGTTGACACTGTTGATCCCATCAAAATAGTTTCGTGTGCTGGATGCTTGGGAATGGTGCATTTCATTGAACACTTTTTGCTCATCCAAGCTGCAATGAGAAAGGGTACTTGGATTACCCGCATTATTTTGCAAATGGAAATTCATTGAAATTCTGTCCTTGTTCATAGATGTTAACATTTTTTTATCATTCGTTAATTTCTCCTCTTCCGTAAAATCCATCAACAGCATCTGCTCATACCTCTCCTTGGTATTTACACATGGTTTGTTCTGGTTATTCTGGTTGTTCTGGTTGTTCTGGTTGTGGTTGTGGTTGTGGCTGTGGTTGTGGCTGCGATCGTAGCAACCAATTCCATTGATGCGTTTGCTAACATTATTGTCCGTAGAGCCTGTTCCATTGTCACAGTTGGCTGTACTGCCGAAAGACTTTATGAATTTCATAAAACTTGCATTTTCTATTTTTTCCACACCTTTACTGGTACTATTACAATCATTCTCCTCATACGTGGTTTCATAATTGGCAATGCTGGAGAAACTGAGGATTGCTGATTCATTTTCATTCTTTCTCTCATTTATCTTTAATGTGTTATTACTCTCATGGGATTTTTCACTTTTGTCGTAACATTTCTTACCTGTACAAGAGTTGTGTTCTGTCTTGCTACTTGATGTATGATAATTTTCCGTCATATTGATATGGTTCATAAGAACATGATTCAATTTTGCTTCTCCCATTTTTTTATCATTATTATTGGTATTTCCTTTTGTGTTATTCATAAAATTATTTATTATACTGTCATTCATATCTGAATTTGTGTTGTTACTACTATTTAATTCATCCAACATTACTCCAGGGGTGTTGTTATCTGTAAAAAATTTTTGTTCGTCTTTATTCAAAATGTAATTAAAATGTTTTACCTTTTCATTACGTTTAATGTCTACTGAATGTAGTGTATTAATAGAAATTTCTTTGTTTCTTTTTTCATTTTTATCTGCTCCATTTATTTTTTCTCCGCAATGATCAATATGGACTTCTAAATTATAGTCCTGATAGTTTTCATTCTGCAATTTTTTTTTGTTCATAATAGAAAAACTATTTTCATATACGTTATTTGCTTCGTTCCTACTGTCACGATTATTGGGATTGAAATTTGATAGGTTACTTATAGTCGGAATTTTTGTGTTTGTTTCCATGTGTGTAATTTTTTTATTGTCAATGTAGTGTTTATTTTTGTCATTTTCATAATCCTTATTCATAAGTATGTTCATGAATTTTCTAGGATGTTCATTTTCTGTTATTTTTCCTCCCCAATTATTTGCCTTTATTTCATTTCCTTTGGTTAGTAAGATATTGTTCCTATTCTCTTCTCCATTATTTCTTTTGCTTTGCAACAAATAATTCCTTTTTTCTCTTGTCTTTTCTGCTTCTGCATAAGAATTAAATCTTTCAATAGTGATGTTCTTTATTTGAGAGTTTTCCATATACCCGGAATACTTATCTATTAAATTTCTTGAAAGATCATTCGTATTTTCCATTTTATCGCACACGTTAGACATTGCATTTGCAGAAGTAATTGACGTCGCAGATGTAGCTGCTTTGCTAAGATAATCTCTCATATTTGTGGAACAGTCAAATGGTTCTTTGGTTTTACTTAAACATTGTGAATAACAAAAACCTGTTATATCTGCAATAGGGTTTTCTACCCCATTTGTTAACTCATCTTCATAGTCAGAAGTATGCAACTCATTTTTCACCTTTTCACCATTTTTCCCTCCCCCCCCTTCAAAAGAAGAATTGTCTATTTTATTTTTTTTGGATATAATATTTTCATCATGCATACTTTTATCCAATTTTTTCATATTCATTTTAATCATTTCAGCATTTGAAGAACAAGAGGTGATGCTTTTATGTTGTACTAAAAAATCAACGGAACCTATTTCTCCCTTTTTTCTGGTCATTTTTTTGTCTATTTGGTGTTTTATATTTATATCAAAATTTGGTACATTTATGTTTAAATCATTTTCCTGGTCAGAGTTTCTGATTTTAAATTGATTGTAGTTACGACTATTGTTGCAAAGGCTTATACCTGATTGATTTTTGGGATCCATATGATAACACTTTTGCTCAAGGAAATCAGTGCTCTTTTCTCTTACTTCGTTTAAACTCATTTCATACAAATTGGTTAAATTTTTTCTTAATTTTTTTTTTAACTCTTTTGAATTTTCCAATAATGAATTGATTTCATCTGAATAGGAATCCTTCTTCATAGTGGATTTTCTATTTTTCTCTGATTTGTTGATGTTGAAATTGTTAGCATATATTTTGATATACTTTTCGTCATCATTTTTGTCATCGCTATTTTCATCACTATTTTCATCACTTTTGTCATCACTATTTTCATCACTTTTGTCATCACTATTTTCATCACTTTTGTCATCGCTATTGTTATCATTCTTGTCATTGCTGTTGTAATCCTTTTCGATTTCATCATCGCTGTCTGTGTCTTTCCCGTCCTGCTCCTCCTCCTCTTCATCTTGCAACAAACCTTTTCTTTGTTTCCATTTCTTCTTCCCTGGAGGGGGTTCTTCCAAGTCTGCTATTGCCTTTTCACGTGTTCGCGGTTTATATTCTGAAAGTCCCCCACGACTTTCTTCCTTGTATATTTGGCCATTTGTACCTAGTCTTCCAAGTTTATCAAGTTTGTCCAGTTTGTCTATTTTTTCGAGTCTACTCGTTTTTCTTTCTGTACCCAACTTTTTGGCCTCATCCCCCTTATTCCCATTTCGTGCATTTCCCATATTGGCTATTTTGCTGACTTCTTCGATCAAATTTGTCCCCGCATGATCCTTCGATAAACTTAAATTCTTTGAGGTACTAAAGGTTCGTTGAAGCACATCTTGATATTTGCCTGTACAAATCTCCTTCATATGACTTCTGAACTTTTCGGTTTCTATTTTTTGATCCTTTTCCATGGAAAAAAATTTCGATGGCTTTCTGTTCAAAGTGATTTTGCAATTCGTGCAATTTTCCTCATTCGCATCATTCACCATTTCCATCTCTCCTTCTGACACATTAATGGCAATATTTCTATTTCTTTTCAGAAAAATAGTATCATCATTTTCGTTCATACCCTTTTTTTCACTTTTATATATGCCGTTGTGGTTTACATCTCCAGAGTCGTCAAGAAAATCCGTATTTTTTTTTTTATTTTTACAATTCAAAACATCATATGCTTCACTTGTGCTATAACATTTTTCTCCAAAATTATTAATATGGTTATTTTTTCTGCTATCAAATTTTTTTCCGTTTTTCATATACGTAATGTCGCTATTCTTGCTACCCAATGTACCGTTGTTGTTACGTTCTCCTTTGTTATGATTACTGTTATCATTATGTTCCTCTTCTTCCTCTTCGTAGCTTCCATCTTTCTTGTCACCATATTTGTCATCTTCTTTATCATCGTCTTTGTTATCGTCTTCTTCATTATCAGCATCTTCATCTTCATCGTCTTCTTCTTCATCGTCAGCATCATCATCATCGTCTTCATAATCATGGTCATCCTCACACTCTTGTTCTTGCTCTACATCACCTTCTACATCTTCTACTTCTTCTACTTCTTCCTCTTCTGTGAATCCTTGCTCAATGTCTCGTTCTTGATTACCCGTACAGATTTTATTGTACACGCCTTTCTTCTGTTTGTTCATATTGTTCATTTTACTCTTTTCGTGAATTTTTATATTTTCAGGGTCTTCCCTCAAGATAGCACACATATTTTCATTTTTATTCTTGTGCATATAATTTTTATCTACAATGGTGTTAGCATTCCCCCGCATACTACTGCAATTGTCATCTTCATCCTCCTCATCGTTTATGATGATTGCATCATTTGCATTTTTTATCCTAAATTCTTCTTTTTTCTTTTTAGAAAAATTTTCTTTCTTAACGCTATCAAAGTCATCATTGATTATGAGGACATTATCCTTCTTGCAATTTTCAACATGTACGGATGGGGATCCATATATAGCGTTGGCGTTCCTATTCACATTCGTGTTTTTTTTTTGAGGGTTATTTGTAGGAGGACCATTCCCATGGTCAAAATGTTTATCATTGTTATAACTGCTGCTAGTAGTACTTTTGTCTGCTTTTCCAAAATTTTTGGAATCTCTAATGTGCTTTGTTCTACTGTCGTTGCTTCTACAAAAATTGGGATCATTTTTCTTTACAGAACAGCAATTGATTCTATTTTTAAAATTATTTTTCATCATATAATAAAGAATCTCATAATCATTTTTCAAACAAGAATGCGAATATTTGTTAGTACTATTTTTATCCTTTTGGTTATCTGTATCTAGGACTATAGTTGTCTTGTTACTTTTCGATGTAGAAGCATCTTCCTTTACTAGTTCATTGATTTTATTTATTTTCCCGTTTGTGATAGAAGAAATTGAATTAGTTGAGATGGCCGAGTTAGTCGAGTTCACTGAATTACCAGAATTAATCGAATTAATGGTTGAAATGGAAGAAATGTTTTTAAAAAAATTCCAGTTATTCGATAACAAGTAAATCCATCTACTTTTAACCTTTTCATGCCACAGAAATTTCGAGTTCTGTAAACTAAAATTGTTTAACATTTCCGTTACCCATGGATGATCTAACACATTTTGCAAACTTAATCTTTCATTTGGATTTGATGAAGTCAATTTAACAAATAAATCCCATGCTTTTAAATTTTCCCTAAATCTACTTGGGGGTTTTGAATGTCTCAAATTATGCACTGTTTTTAAAATAGTTTGTGCAACTTTTGAGCATTCAATTCCTTTTTGTCGACATACAAATCTTCCAGAAATGAATAATATCATGTTCATACCAAGAGCATAATTATCAATTTTTTCTGTCATTGGTCCTGTGTTTCTTAAGACCTCAGGTGGATTTATTTCTAAAGTTCCTGGCCATTCAGTTGGATGTAAATTACAAGAATCTATATGTTCTGACCATCCAAAATCAGCTATTACAATTCTTTTGTTATCATATCTTAAAATATTTGTTGGCTTTAAATCTCTATGAACAATATTCATATCTTGAATATACCACATACCTTGCAATAATTGAATAAAATAAAGAAAAGCTTCAGACATATTACTTGATAAATTTTCTTTCCACAATGTCCCATCATTTGCATAATCTTGAATTAATATCCATCCTTCTTTTCCTCCTATAACTTTATGTAATTTTATTACTCCTGGACATTGGCATATTGATAAATTAATTATTTCTTTTGTAAACATTTCAACAATTCGATTAAAAGATTCTTTGGGAAATTGATTTGGCTGTAATAATTTTGCTGCAAATATTTCGTTAGTTATTTTATGTTTTACTTTCCATACTTGTGCATAAGTTCCCTTTCCTAAATTGTTCAAAACCACATAATCTTTAAAGCAACTATCGTTTGTTCTTATTATCCTTATTTGATTATGTAATACGTTGGGTAATTGTAAAACGTCGTTGCTGGTAGACAGATTTGAACCTATTTTAACCTCTTCATTTTTTCTACCTTTTATGTAATTTCTTTTGCAATAATTATCAGCAAATTCATTGTTGTCTTTGCTGTTGTTATTTAGCATTTTAACATTTCTTTTAGTATCAGAAAAATCCATATTTTATTATTTTATTTTTAAGGAAATATTTGGGGAATGTGTTCATTCACAGCAAATATGGTGCTTCTGATCCTCGTTAATGATTCGTTTAAGTTGGGTTATATCTAGAGATGTGTATTCATATGAGAATATGTGTGCCCTTATATATAGGTATAATTTCATATATATACGTATTGTATAGATGTATACATAAACACTTACATACATGGTTAAGTATGCACGCAAATATGTATCAATATTTTTATCCATTCGCGTTGTTATCCAGATCCTTCTTTAAGCATGCAGCTACAACTTCGAATGTACCTATGGAAGCAGAAATCTTTTTTTTTTTTTTTTTTTTTTAATTTTTATTCCTCTTGTTCTATTTTTTCTCTTAATCAAAATATATATTATCATACAACTTGTAACGAGTTCAAGTATAGTTAAATTGTTGTAATGGTTCCCATATACTAATTCTCACTGTTGTAGCGTAGCTACATATATTTAATTTGATTATCTTTTTGTTCTCTTTATAAAATTTCTTCCGGGTTGTATTATTCTGAAGTGCAAGTTGTTATCATATTTTTATTTCGTTTCTTTCTTCATTAATCATGACTTCTATGTTCTGAAATAATTGTGTGTGGTTTTTTTTTTTTTTTTTTTTTTTTTTTTAAAACACTTTCTTGAATATATTTTTTTATGGATTATTATTTATTTTTTATTATTATTTATTTTTTTTTATTTAAGGGTTTTATTTCTACAAATGTGCACATATAACAAAACACAACCAATAAATGTGTTAATGAAATTGACAAAATAATCAGAAACAAGCTAAACAAGAACAAAAAAAAGAAAATAAAATTATAAATGAAAACATGGTAATATTAGTTAAATTAAAAGGGAATACATAAACAAAAATTAAAAATTGGTACATAGACACACACACACACATTATAACAAATTTATATAAGGCCTAAACAAAAAATTATTAGTGGGCATACAATTGACGCATTGTTGAATAGTGGACTAGTACGAGCACAAAAAAAAAAAAAAAAAAAATAGTAAAAAAAAAAAATAAAACAAAATAAAAGTGTGCGCTTGGGTGGATGAATGAAAAAGGTTAATAAATAAAGGAAGTACAAAATCAAATACAAAATTCAATAGAAAAAGTGAAAATAAAAACTAAAATAAAATAAATATATGAGACAAAGTTAAAAATTATATTAATCACAAACTCTACAAATTTAGACAGAATACGAAGATGTTAACAAGAATACATTTGGAAATATTGCTTGTATTACATCTGCATAAAGAACATCAAAGCAAAAAGGATAAAGTAAAAACTATAACAAATGTAGGTATATAGAAAAAAGACTATCATTTTGATACAACTTTGTTGAAATAACAATAATTATAAACGTTTAATTTTTATTAATATTTCTTTTGTGCATTAATCTCAAACGATCAAAATGTTAAATGATCAATCTGGTGAGTAATCAAATAACGGAATAGTCAAATAGCGGAATAGTCAAATAGCGGAATAGTCAAATAGCGGAATAGTCAAATAACGGAATTGTCAAATAACGGAATAGTCAAATAACGGAGTAATAAAAATGTCAAACACTTATGCAAATATGAAATGTTGAAAAACGATTAATTTCTGTCTATTCGCGTGAAAACATATACGCAAATACGTGTATAAAAACATACATAAATACAAGTGTAAACATATAAATGCATATATTGAGGTGCACACATAAGTACATAAAAAAAATAAAAAAAAAAACATACAACACAAAACAAGTAACAATTCTTTACAATTCGGGCAAATATAACACAACAACTTTTTATTTATTTATTTATTTTTTTTTTTAATTATTATTATTAATAATCCCCTCTCTCTAACTCTCAATTTTGGAATTTTATAATTTTAAACAAAATCTTTATTCTATTGCAGCAAAAAAAAAAAAAAAAAAAACAATGCTACTTTTGTTTAGAAGTCTTTTTACACAAATAGTGCAATAATTTGTGTGCACTTCATATACATTTTTTTTTTTTTTTTTTTTTAATTTGTTGTTATACAAGTGCTAACAATATAATTTTTTTTTTTTTTTTACCAACTAAAATTTATAAAAGCATAATGAAAAAAAAAAAAAAAAAAAAAAAAAAAAAAAAAAAATTAAGTGAAAAATATTTATAATACCAGCTTTGACGAGAAAAAAAAAAAAAAAAAAAAAAAAAAAACACATCATACAACATCGCAGCAGAATATTATATAGGACATGGTTTTAATATCATTTTTAATGTTTATGCTTGTGTATACATAATCATGTACATAGTAAAATGCATGTGTATACTAACATATAAAAAATTATATTTGTGTTTAAAAAAAAAAAAAAAAAAAAAAAATCTATGTTTTAAAATACGTAAAGTACATTGATATGGGATGAATTTATATATTTCCCTTTTGCGCATTTTCCATGCATGAGTATTACACAATTAGGTAATGGTAGATTTTCCTTTTTTTTATTTGCATCTGTTGGTGATTATTTCGTGAAATGTTTATGTGACTATACGCAGAAATGGTGACATTACGTGCTTCATTCACTAGGACATATAGAAACGCTTTAGTATAGTGGTATAACGGAGATATTAGACTATGTATATGCGTGTGGGGAAAGTAAAAATTTGTGTACATATATGTATATATACTCGTATGTGTATGTGTGCGTGTAACCAATTACTCATTTATTTACCTTACAATATTGAAATATATGCAATTAATGTATACGCCATTTTCCATGTGTATGGTTTTTGTGCGCACTTGTTTGAATGAATGAAATTTTTACACACTAAGTGGGTGATATATGTACGAATGTGGCTACACATGAATGCATGTGAATTGATATGCAGATATTTTGGTCCGCATAAAAAATTGAAAACTTGTATAGCACTATCTTTTCATTCTTTTTTTTTTTTTTTTTTTTTTTTTTTTTTTTGATATTGGTAATTTCTGCAAACATGTGTAAAGTTTTCCTCTTTGGACATGATACATTTCTTTTTTTCTTTTTTTTTGAATATTACATCAAGAAGGTGCAATTTCTTAAAATAATATTAGTTTTTCTTCCCATTTTCCCATTTACATTTTTTCTTTTCATATTATATATATTTTTAATTCATTTACGCTGTTGTTATTCACTGCTATCTAGTGCACTTCATTTGTTATTTTTAAAAAAGAAAGACAATAATTATTTGCGAACAGGTTGCAATTTTTTTCAGAATTATATATGTTTAGAACAAAATATTATGGTTGCAAAAGGCATGTGTAATTTGTGATTTCCCTTTGTCTTGGAGCACTGTAGTTGGATTTCGAGTAAACGAAAGGACGTTGACACTCCAACTAATGCATGTTGGGGAAGTTTTACCTTTGCATAATTAATCATTTATTTAATTTGCACATTTGTATGATTAAGCTATTTTCCCCGCATTTCTCGTTTATATATTTTGTTCATTTCCCCACATGGAGAATTTCCATTACATCCGCCTTATTTCGTTCATAATTTCGGGAATGAACTATTTATGCGTTCATCACCCTTGTGTAAAAATTGCGTCAACGTATTATTTTCATCCATTGAAAATAATTTATTAAAAACGAAGAAGTTACTTGATAATAGTGTATTATTTCAAAGTAAGAAACGTGTTATGGGTTTTTATGGAAAAAAAAAAAAAAAAAAAAAAAAAAAAGAACGAAACAAAATAAAGCAAAACTGAACAAAATAAAGCTAAATTGGGGTAAAATTAAAGAAAAAAAAAAATATATATAAGGGTAACAAAAAGTGAGGTAATATTCTTTTTAGTACTATGTTGTATTTTGCACCCCTTGAGATTATTATATCTCCAAGAATGTATGTAAAAAGTAAGTGATAGGGTGAATGCATCATGTCTAGTTTGTATGAACCTACATATGTATTCATGTACTTGGGTAAGCTGAATGTTCAAAACGGTAAATAAATCAGGTTTCTCCATTTGACATAAACTGAATGTGCAAATTTTAAAGCAGGAAATTTAAAAATATCATAAAAAGGAAAAGAAATTTGTTTACATTTAAAATGTTTTGTTGGGTCAATCAAATAAAAAAGTAATCCAAAAAAAATAGATCTTACATTAAAAAAAAAAAAAAAAAAAAAAAAAAAAAAAGGCAATAAAAATAAACTGAATATATTCCCTCACACCAAATAATTTCCTAATTCATATATACATTATAATGTTATGATAATATTATACAGACTGGGAATGTGCTATCTGTTAAATGTTATATAGATTAAGACCTATATTGGCTGAATTCCCTTTATATTTTATCCTGTTTTTATGAACTTATTTTTAACATGATTTTATCATGGGATAAACATTAAATGATGGACATGTTGTGGGCCGAGTTATCTGATATGGTTTTTCCACACAAATGACATTTGCCTAATTTGTAAGCACTAAAAGAAGAGAGTCAGTAAAAGGAGTAAATTTTGTTTATGCCGTGAAAGAGGGAGATGGAGGAGACATAAGCCTTAAAATTAGGGGTAAATTATGTACAAATGGGTAAGCCTATGTAAATAATAATATACGTATATATGACAACATTAGTCCTTTTCTCAAACTTTCTAACCATGTAGAGCAATATTTTCCGTCAAAATGGAGTTGACTGTTGCATTTTTTGCACTTGCTTCTATTCGGATTAAAACTATTGAAAAAAAGACACATGGAAAAAAAAAAAAAAAAAAAAAAAAAAAAAACAGCAAAAATGCAGATATGAAAATGAAATTACATTTTTTAAATTGTAAAAAAATTTATACACATTAAAACAGTGAGAAAAAAATAAATATTTTATGAACATTTGGAAATGAATACTTTTGCTTGCTTTTTCTGTATTCTAATAATTTATTCCCTCCATAAGACCTGCTTGAGCCTGTGAAGTGAAATGTTTTGCGTATATATTATTTTATTTTTTGACAATGAGTTGTACATGCATTGGGGTTTAAAAATGAATTTGGTTCATCATAAAATGGGTATTATTATGACGGCACAGTTTTATTGAGCATGACAGTAAATTAAGAATAGTTCATGATAATAGTGCTTTATAAATAAGTAAGCACATAAACAAGTTTTGTATGTATATATTTTTTAAGAATTTTTTATACGTCTTATGTATTCATCAATAATATCTCATTTTTGTATCACACATTAAACTGGTCTGCACGTCAGCTAGAAAACAAGGTACAAAATTCTTAAAAAAAAAAAAATTACTATTCTTTACGTCTGGGGTCGGTAGCTTTTTTAGCTTCTTCTCGCATTTATCGCATGGCATTTTGTTAGAAAAGTTTTTCTTAATCTCTGATTAGAATTTTTTTCCCACATAAATATCACTGTTATTTTGCTTGTAACTCATTATGTGGTAATATTGTTCGTTGTGCAAATTCGTCCCATCTGAATCGTTATATAATTTTTTTTACTTTATTTTTTGCTCGATTTTATATGACGTTATCGTTTTTAATGTGTTAAAAATAGGGAAGATGTTTTTTTTTTTTTTTTTTAATTTTCCATCCTTTAATATTCTTTCATGTAAAAACGTGTTGCCACGCCGGCAAATATGTATAATATATATATATATAGTTTATCTTTTTTTTCTTTTTAACACCAAATGAACAAATTTAAAAAGCGCGTTAAAAAAATATGCAAAATCGCGTGGGAATGCACGTGGTGCTCGAATGTGAAAACTAAACACATTGGTACAGAATTTGTACAATTATTTGTTTCCTTTTTATTTTGTTATCCTCTAACTTTTAGAAGTGTTAGGTATCTAGGGTAGGGTGTGTGGAAAAAGTATTTTTTTATGTTTATGGCTTATCCCACATTAATGTTATTCACATGAGGGTAGTTTTTTTTTTTTTTTACACACGCAATTTTTACAAAAAAAAAAAAAAAAAAAAAAAAAAAAAAAAAAAAAGGAAAAAAAAAGGGAAAAACAAAAAAAAAAAAAAAAAAAAAAAAAAAAAAAAAAAAAAAAAAAAAGGAGAAAGGGAAAGGAAAGGGGGAAAAGGCAAAAAAAGAAAAAACGGGAATAATGCTTAATATAAATCATAAATCTGAATTAAGCAAATTCGTTGATAACAGGAACACGTGTATGAAGCGAGAAAATTGTGTATAAATCTGCTTTTTCAAAAATGCATATTTATAATATATATACTTATGCAAAAATGATAAGCGAATGAGAAGGACTTCTGTGCATCAGAAAAAACTTCAGTCGGATGGAAGGTTTGATTAATCGAATAGGGGGTTATACTGTGCCTAATATGGAAGAATTTTGTGCATTAATGAGAAATTTCGTATAGAACATTTTGTACACATATATGTAAAATTCTTTTTAGAAAATCTTATCATGAGATGGGAAAGTATATATATATATATATATATGTATATATATATATATATATATATATATGCCTTTGGGGGGGCGGAGTGGTAAGAAAATGAAAAAAAAAAATTACCTTTTTCTTCATTGGCTCTTTTTCGAATAAGTGTTTTCCCTTGGAATCTGATTAAACGGCGAATGCAAGAAGGGAAATAATGTATGAAGATATAAATAATGTAAATAATATAATATTATGTATGAAGATAAAATAATGTAAACAATTTCAGCAATTTCGACAATGCCAAAACAATGTCAACATAAGACACAATATGTTAAAGATGAAGTTTTGCTGTATCTTTTAGGTAGAATTTGAGAAGTTCAGACAAGGGGATGGGCGGTCTGCCCAGTCTGTCCCAAGTAATTTCGTTTTGAATGATTTAGAGGGGTTGTATTTGAAAAGGCCGTTGTTCATTGATTCATATGAAATATAGCCATATTTGAAAATATCGATTGGAAAATAGAGAATCGAAATGGACAACACTGCGTATTTATCATCTTGGGCACTCGTGGGATTACCGTTGATTAGATTTTGCTGCATGTAAGAGGAAGACGACATCTTCTGATTTATCATGCTACTCTGCTTCATCATGTTTGAGTTCATTGAACTGGGTGAAGCGTTCCTGTTCTGCATTATTTGGTTGCGTTTGCTGTGGGTGGTTATAGTAGTAATGGTGGTGGAATGAAAAATTAAATAAGAATCGTGAAGAAGAAATAGAGATGAAGTGGAAAGGGACATGGCACATGAAGGGGTGCACACAGGCACGGTGTGTTTTTAGTATGAAGGTAGATTGTTAAAGAGATGGTAAAATATTTCACTTACTTGACAGAGGAACTATCCATCATAGTGTGTATATTTCCCTGTGCGGAACTGATGGTTTGTTTGTAGTTATGGGTAGAATGTTGTGGTATAGTAGCTGTTTTTAAACTTTTTTGAAACTCTATTAAGTCTTGTTCGTAATTGGCATCGAATAGATCCAAGTTGATAGAAGTAATATTTGGATCTTTTAGAAGAACCTGATTAGCTTTTTTGAGAATATCTAACTGTCCATTTAGGTGTTCCCTTTCTTTAACAACGTGTGGTGGTTCATTGAGCAATTCGTACAATTTTTGTTCGCTGTTTAAATCTGAATATAATTCGAATTGCATTTTTTCTTGTAATTTTCTGATTAAAAAGTAACCAATAATTTTTGGTACACTATCTCTAACATTTCGTAAAACAATATTAAAATAGCAATCTAATCTTCGCCTAATTTCTTGAATAAATTGGGCATTATATCTTGTTTTTTTTTTTTCCTTTGCATTCCACATATTCATAACTGATTTTTGAGCAGTAGTAACAAATTTGGTTGCCTTTCCCGTAATATATTCTTGTTCATTCATTATATTTGTATAATATTTGCTTTGTGTATTATTATCTTGATTTGAATTGGATAAATTGGACTGTTGTCTTTTATTTTGTAACCTTTGATGTGCATTAAAATCTTGAACACCATTTTCGTTATTCTGTTGTTCATCTTCATTTGCATTAATTATACTTCCATGTTCAATTAGATATGATGAATCATTTGTGAAAAGATAATTGGTTTCTGCATCTATAAAATTTTCAAGTATATTATGTGTATTTTCCTTTTCTCTCAAAAGAATCGTTTGAGATAGATCTAAAACTTGTTCAGATAATTTTGGAAATCTTGTAAGTACCCTATTGGCTATTTTCTGCGATAGGATTTCTAATGTCTGACTAACCTTATCAAGACAGTTAAATACTGGTGCATTAATTTTTTTTAAATGTGGTAAAATTAGGAATTCAAATGTATCTGGGGATGGGAAACCGGGTAGGCTATCCCCTTCATGTAGACATATTGCATCATCTATATCGTTATCACTTAATTCACTTGTAACATTTTTTCCAACATATTCATCTAAAAATTCGTTAAATATACTCCTAACTTTAAGTCCACAAATAATATCATTATTTTCAATAAATACCTGTAATCTCTTGTCATATTTTCCTTTTAATGTATTTTTAAATATTTCACAGTAATCTGTAATCATTGACCATAGAAGTTGTGTTTTTTTAGTTGCATCTAGTGGTACATTTGTGCCAAGTTCGTATAACTTATCATTAATATATCTAATTTTATCATTTATTTCAACTTTAATATCTGGAAGAAAGTTTTTTATATGTCTCAATAATACCTTAGTCAATTTGTCTGTAAGTGACGTGGTACCATACAAGGTTGATGGTAATTTTTTATATACAGGATGTGTTTGGAAAAATTCTAATTCATCTTTTAGAGATTGTGCTATAGATTTTCCTTTTTTAATATCTGCTGTTGATCTATTTACAACTCCTGTGTATCCTAACCTTAGTGTAATTTCATCATTCATTAGCATCTTGCTTGCATCTGACCCCTTGTCCATTAAATCAATTTTGGTTATTACTCCTATCGTTCTCAATCCTTTGGGATCTACTTTTCTAGCTATTTGCAAAGCATCACTAGTTGACATATCTGCATTCGCAGGTAACACAGCTAGTATAATTGTTCTGGGATCTTTCACATAACGAAATGCCATTTCTCTTGTTAACCTTTCTATATCATCTGTCTGATCAGAATTTTTTAATGGTACTCTAGTTATCCCAGGTAAATCTATAAGTGATAAATCTGGACAACTTGTTGAATAAATATTCAATACAATTGGTTCATCTATGATTCCTTTATTTTTTCCGGCTAATTCATCTGTTAGATTATTTATATGTTCTCTTACTTCATTAAAATCTGTAAATTTTTTATTTTTATCATCTTCAAATATTGCCCAATGCTTTATTTCGTTATCTTCCTTTATATGAATTAATCGAAATTCTATAGGCCTTCTCGTCACGATCCCTTCACCCCTGGGTAAAAAATCTAAACCAACAATTGATTCTAGAACGCTACTTTTTCCACTGCTCTGTGTTCCAACAACACATATGCGAGGTAAGTTAATGTATTTCTGTAATCCTATATCCCTCAGTTCATCAATAACGGTTATTAATTTCCTCAAATTGTTGTACATGCTGGACTCCATTCTGTTTCTATTATGCACGTGTGTGGTAAGCGCTGGTGATATAACCGATTAAAGAAAAACAAGTGCATTCAGCGAAGGATTGGAAAGTTCGCATATAAATATATAATGGCGATTTTCTGATTAGTTGCAAGGTTCCCTGTCCTTGCAAAATCCCCGGTGTGTGTACGTACTTTTTGTGACTTTTACAGGTTACGCAAAATTTTGGAATTGCTAGAATTGACAGAACTGCTAAAATTTATAGAATTTCTTTTTATTATTATTTTATTGGCGAGGGGACGCACTGCGCACGAACTATTCAATGTGTGCAATTTCGTTTTGACAAATATAACTATTTTGGGGAACAAGAAATAATTGCGTTTGGGGAAGAACTTGTTGTGGAAGTGAGAAGCGTGTATATATGAAAAATACTTGAAATGAAAATGTGTCACAAACAAAATGAAAAGAAAAATGTACACAAAACTGGAATATCCACAAATGTGTTTATGTGAATAAGCATGTGTGGATGTATATATATATATATATATATATACGGGGTGGGGAATAATTTTTTCAAAGGGAGAATGAAGATCATCATATGTTCGGCTTATCAGATAAGCTATTTTTTTTTTTTTTTTTTTTTTTTTGGCGTGAAATGGAGTGGTAAAATGACACGTGGTAAATATTATACAAATCGGTGTATATTATTTTTTCCACTTTTTAGAAACTGTGCCTTCGTAAATTGTGACAAGTATTCAATGTGATAACATTACCAATGTAAAAAAAAAAAAAAAAAAAAAATGAAGCGTTTATGCCATGTGTTTATATATACACTGCGTATGTCTATTTAAAAACACTAATTCTCTGGATTTGTAAAAGTATTGGAAAGGTTGGTGTAATATGTACACTCATTTAATGATGTATACAATTCTGTATAAATGTGTGTATGAAATGGAACATGTGGTAATTGTACATGTACATTGTGTGTATTATCCAAAAATGGGGACAACTAGTTTTATTTTTCCTTCTTTCTGCTTTTTTTTTTTTTTTTTTTTTTTTTTGTTCATATTTGTGGTTCATCATTCCAGGTACATTTCTTGCCACTAGGAGGTGTGTGAAGTACTTTAGTTCTTATGTCAAATGGCAAAAATGAGAACATGCAAAAATGAGAACATGCAAAAATGAGAATAAGCAAAAATGAGAATAAGCAAAAATGAATCTCATACTACGGATGAAATGGCCATAAATACGGTCGTGTTGCGGATGAGATAAGAAACAAAGTATGAAGGGAACACTACATGGGGTGCCAGCTGATGTGCTTGGTGGTACACAACGTGGCAAACGAATTGGTAAACCAAATGCTATACAAAATGAGTAAAGATTAAAAGTATAATGAGGAATACCACTAGGAATACATTAAGAGAGTGAACTAAAAGAATAATCTAAGTAGTTAGGCTACACGTTATGTTAAAAAATGTGGCCAATAAGAAACAAGATAACAGAAAAAAAAAAAAAAAAATTAAATAAAAGAATAAAAGAATAAAAGAGGTAATAAAATAAAAAAAAAAAAAAAGGACTAGAAATGGTACTGTGTGACTTGGGCTTTGAAATTTTCATTTTATTTTATGTTTCAATTTTATTCTCAATTTTTTTTTCTGTGTATGCGTGCATTTTATTCGTCGTTTTTTAATATGAACATGTTTGCTTGCAATATGTCACATTTTCTCGGCCTTCTATTTACTTGGGTACTAATTTATGACAATATCATTTCTTAATTCTGTGAGAACATATTTAATGATTCACAAATGTGGCATGTTGCAACGTAAAAAAAAAAAAAAAAAAAATGAATACCTTGACCCGTGTAATAAATTAGCCATGAAAGGTAAAATTCATGTGCTTGTGTGAAGTGCGAAATTCTGTTCTTACATTTATCAAAATCTTATTACGACAAATTTATTTCCCTTCTTCCTTTACTTTCAGAGCAATAAACATTGTTCTCATAACAATGCAAACATACATATTTCTACCATTTAGGATAATTTGATGAATGTACATTATTTTTATAGAATTGTTTTCATATTATCTCTTTTAAAAAAATTGTATAGATAGAAAAAATTAACTCGCTGCGCAATCATTAGAAAAAGGACAAATAGGGTAAGACGAACGGTGTGGCACATTGATGAATTGGTGAAAAAAAAAAAAAAAAAAAAAAGCAAATGTTTGATAACACAACATCGTGCAGAGGGGGTTATTTTTTTTGCATCACAAATTATATTTTAATCTATTTGAATTACTACAATTTTTTGTTTCCCTAACTTGAATGTTCGAACTTAAGAAAAAAAAAAAAATAATAATAAATTCCCACGTTTCTACTGATTACACATTCATACACATGAGACTGAAATTGAGGTTATAAAAATGTGTTCCATTTATACAAAATTGAGACGGGAACATGTAATAATTCCGTGGTGCATGGAAAAGAAAAGGAATAAAAGAAAAGGAAAAAATGCGAAAGGAAAAAAGTAGATCTACATAATATTAAATTTTGTAAAGTACATATCCAATGTTTGTCAGAACATTTCCACATTTTGCAAAATGTAAATTGGTTTTTATGTTCCATCATCATGCGATCCTCGTGTTAGTGTTCACAGTAAGAATGAAAAAAGTAATTTTTTTTTTTTTTTTTTTTACTTTGAACTCCTAGAAAAATTGATAGGATCCTTATGTTTATCATTAGGATTCAAAACAAAAGAAAAATATACATATATATATAAGTGAAATGCACCCTTCTTCCTTTTGGAGGATATACTCCTCTCGCTGTTTTGATTCCCTTGTTTATTGTATGCTATGCTAATATTCACAGTATGCAGACCTAGGAGACGTATTCATACTTCCACAGTAAAGTAAAATATATAACATTTCCTTACTCAGTGTAAGTTCGAAGTTGGGTGTGAAGAAAGGGATGAACATGAACGAAAATATGTGTATGTGTTATACCCATCATAAATGTGCTACTTTTTTTTTTTTTTTATTTATAATAAAAAAAGAACGCTGTAATAACATTTGGAGACTGTGAAAAAAGTGAATATTTTGGGTATGTATTTAGAAAAGAATCATGATTTTATTTTGCTCCATTCGGTACAGCGTGGCATTTGCGTGCGTAACAATTTTAAAAGAAACTTGTGTTTTTTTGTGAACATTGTTCTTTTAATTATCCCGAATGTTGTTCATTCCTACTTTTTGAATGTCCCTTGAGCAGACCATCATATGTTCCTCAATCTGGTGGTTTTTTTTTTTTTTTTTTTTTTTTTTTTTTTTGCGACCACTATAGCTTGTTAATTAGTTGATTTCACTCGTTTTCTCACGACCTCACTTTGTCACTCACTAACTGCTTCTTTTTTTTTTCACTTTAGATGCATAGTACCGAGGGGAGCAAAAAAATAAAAAAAAAAAAAAAAAAAAAAATTAAGAACTTCTTATCCAGAGGAATAAATTTACTCATATAGGACAAGTAAATACTGGGAATGAGTTTTTTTTCTTTTTTGCAAGATGTATTATTGGAGAGCCTATGTGTGGTATCGCGTGTGAAAATAATATAAAATAAAAGAGATGATAAAATGGTGAAGATAATGTAGTGCTCAATGATGTGGAAATATCCCATCTTGTTCTTCCTCTTTGTGGTTCTCTTACCAATAATGAACAAAAAAATTAATGCAAAAAGAAATGGCATAGTAAAAAAGAATATAATAAATGGTTACGACAACATTGTAAGGAAGAAGAAATGCTATGGAGTTGTATACAAAAATGGAAAAGGAAGACGAAACAATTTTATGAACAAGTTGTTGTATGTATATAAGAATAATGGGGATAAGCTCACTAGAGTGTTGTGTACCAGATCAACAAAAATGCTGTTTCTAAAGAGCTATTGGAGTTTAAATTTTATATTATGTAAATTTAAAAAATGGAGAAAAACAAAATTTGTCATGTCAGATTGTAACTCCAAAAAGGTAACAATGAGTGATGGAAATCTTTTTGCTAACATGAGTGTACATTCCAAAGGTACCACCGTTCTATGTGCTGAGATAAGGGGAAATTCAAAGGGTATGTGTGAAGAGAGAGAAATTCCAGGGAATGCAATAAATAAATTTTTTTTTTTTTTTTTTAAAAGAGTAAGAAATGGAATTCAGAAATGTGTAAAGGATTTAAACAAGTTTGTAGAAGAAGACAACATGTTGAATTTTTTATGGATACATAAAAATGTTTTATGTAAAAAAAATATATTATTTCTAACACTCTTTGTGATGATCCATAGTGCAATTATTAGTATTATAATACCACGTTGCGATAATTTTATATTTCATAATTTGGCAAATAGGAAATTTGAAAATTTTTTTTACCTCTTACTGAATTGTATTTTAGTTCGCGTAATAAATATGTGTCTATGTGGATTGAGGAATTACATTTTTATGGTTACAAGTGCAGACTCTTTAAAAACAGTAAAAAAGGTATTATTCGAAATATATATAAAAAAAGAGAATGAATATTATGATCAAGTCGATCATAGCATAATCATAAATAAGTTAACATTGGAAGCCCACGATTTTGCAGACATAATCCCTTACTATATAAATCCATTTATAAGGAATTTTTTTTCCATTATTTTTAATTTCGCATATATTTTTTATTTAAATTACAAGTTATCTATAGTTATTTTGGGTTGCTTTTTCATTTCGTCTGTCCTTACTATGATTTCAACAAAAATGAAAAAGAAAAGAATAAAATCAATCAATAGGGAAAAAGCAAGAAATACGAAAATTTCACTTGAAGCATTGAACAATATAAATATCATAAAATTATTTAGTACAGAATTACATGAATATAATAAATATTCAGAATCATTAAGTGATATTTTAAATTTGCAAAAGAAGAAGGAGCAATTTAATCTCTTTCACATGGTGGTTAACAAGCTTTTTGTATTCATAACGTATATACTTATTCTCCTCAAGGGTGATGTACTTTTAAGAAGCAAAGAAATTGACAGGAATACCTTTACTTCCTTTTTCTTTTATATTAACAATATTTATTCCTACATAGATATACTGGACTATTACATAGATATATGTGACATAGTGAATCAGTACCATAGTATAATTCGATTGATTCGCAATCATGTACAAAGCTCTATTGAACGAAGTTCAGAAGATATTGTTATTCAATCTTGTAGAAATATTTCTGACAAGGAAGATAATTCTTCAAAAGGAGTTGTTAATAATGAGATTCCATCCCTTAGACCTTGCATTAACAACATTTCAAAGCGTGAACATGAAAAGGATAAGACTATGGGGATACATTTCGACCGAACAGATAGTAGCGAAAAGAATGTGGTGTTACATTTGAAGAATGTTTACTTCAAATACAGAAATACCAACAATTACGTTTTGAAAAATCTCAATTTGAAAATTTTAAAAAATACAAATAATGTCATATTAGGGAAAAGTGGAGGAGGGAAATCAACCCTTCTAAAATTGATCTTAAATTTGTATAAATCGTCAAGGGGGAAAATTTACCTATACAACAAACCTATCTGCAGTTATACGAATCGTGAAATTATGAATAAAATATCATATGTTCAACAGGATTCTAAATTACTCAAAGGAACTATAAAAGAAAACCTCACATATGGAATTACTGACGATAGTAACAATTTTGATATGCTCGATCTAGTTAATATATCTAAGTGTTGCACTTGTCATGAGTTCATTAGCAGATTAAGGAAAAGATATGAAACATTCGTTTCGAATAAAACTGAATTATTAACATCATCTCAGAAGCAGAAAATGTGCATAGCTAGGGCATTATCTAGGTATCCCAAGGTATTTCTCTTTTCATTGGATACGTGTTACCTCGTCGAGCTTCTTCTGTTTAGCGCCCAATTGTGATGCTGCAAAGTGGAGATGTGGAGATGTCGTGGTATCATCACATGGTGGCATCATCACATAGTGGTATCATCATATCGTGACATCATCACGTGGTGGTATAACCACATAGTAGTATCTCCGTTTTCTTTTTTTTCTTCTTTTTTGCAGATCCTGCTACTGGACGAATCCACCTCATCGTTGAACAAAGACAACGAAAGAATCATCTTTCAAAACATTAAACGGAACCCACTTTTCAAAAATTTAACGATAATACGTATAACACATAAGAAGGCCAACTTAGATTTATCTGATAATATTTTCCTTCTCAATGGTACTCACGAATAGATTGATTTTTAGTAGGGTGGGGGTGGGCAGTTTGTGAACATGCACAAATGCGAACATAATTGAACGTATGGATTTTTACGCATTTTACTTTCCTGTATAAAATTGGTAAACCTTTTTTTTCCTGTTTTTTTTTTCTTTTTTTTTTTTACAGAGGGGTATATAACCAGGCAAAAATATGTTTAAAATTTTGAGGAGCTATAATGTGAAAGTTGACAAATGTATTAGCATCAGCATGTCAGTATCAGTTGGTGAATAGTACTTAAAAATGGAGAAAAAAAAAAAAATAAAAGGAGATGAAGTTATGGAGATGATGGAGATGATAGAGATGATGGAGATGATAGAGATGATGAAAATGATGGAGCTGATGAAAATGATGGAGCTGATGAAAATGATGGAGCTGATGGAGACGATAGAGATGATGAAAATGATGGAAATGATAGAGGTAACGGAGGTTTAGTCAAGAATTACTGAGACAGCTACACACGTATCGTAATATGATGGTCTTCATGCAGGGATGCGTCCATAATGATGCTATAACACACAGAAATAGATAAAAATACAAAGGAAATGGTATTCCTCCTTTGGTCAAATTCCTGTATCTTTCGGCCCTTTTATTTATTTATTATTCAGTCGTATACTATTTTTTTGCATAGCCTAAAAATGATGTTTGAGGAAAAAAAAAAAAAAAAAAAAATTGACATAAACATGTTTTTGGCACAACATTCTTTGCATTTTTAAATTCCATTTTGTGTATGTTTTTTTCTTTTTTTGATCTTTGATTTGTCATTTTTTTATGCATCTTTTTTGTCATTTTTTTATGCATCTTTTTTGTCATTTTTTACGCATTTTTTTTGTCATTTTTTACGCATTTTGCTTCACCTTAACGAATCGTTTATGTCTTTTACATCCTCAATCTCCTGCGCAATGTGAGAACAGAACATACTTAAAAATTGCGCATCCTTATCGTTAAAAGAAATTTTATTTTTTGAATTCAGTGCAACCACCACGGCAATAATAGATTCCTGAAATAGGGATTATAGGAATTGCTTATATGTGTATCGTTCATATTGTTAGGTATTTTTTCCTAAAGATAAATTTGTTACATATGTGGAAGTGCGATAATCGTCTTCGATATGTTTAGGGGGAATGATTCTATTTTGTGTCATTCCAATTGGTGTTTTTTTTTTTTTTTTTTTTTTTTTTTTTTTTTTCTGCGCTTACGTCTAGGCCAAATACCGGAGCGGCAATAACCTGATGAACGTCAATTCTCTTTTTGTTGAAATAAAAATTTTGATTTTTCTGAAAATTCGGGAAGTTCGCTTGATCCGCTTGGCCAATTTTGTTCACTAGATCAACTTGGCCCACTAGATCCACATGGTTGATTTCCCTCTGGGTAGTTATACTTACTCCTGCTTGCGTTTCACCTGTATTTCTATATTTTTCCTTTTCTACCAGATTAGAGGGTTTATAGGAGTGTGTTAGACTTTTCAGTAAGCTTCTACTTTCATAGCTGATAATTTTTCCATTTTTATAAACATGCCCAATAATGTCTTCATCAAGTGGTAAACGTACAATTTGGTTATCAATTAATGAATAAGCGTCCCGATTTGATTTATCAAGAATGAATAAAAATGCGTAATTTGAATTAACATAATTTGGAAGTTGATTAGAAACTAATTGAAAGAGCCTTTTATCAATATTTGCAATTTTATTATTATTATTTTGTTGTTTTTTTTTTTTTTTTTTTTTTTTTTTTTCTTCTAATTTGCTATTATCAATAAAGAAAAGAGGTATCATGCCTAGTAAGCATCCTATAGCTATACCTACAGCACTTCCGATGTAATAATATCGTCTAGTTCTGTTCATTTTTAATTGTTTATTTGTTAAATTTATTCTTGGAAATCCGACATATGCGATTATTTTTTCTATATATCCTCCAATAAAAATGCCCAGGACATCACTTGTTAAATTTCCCAAGCCTGCTGCAGCCAATGTACTAAATCCTAGAAAGACACAAAAAGTAGAATCAAATAGATCCCCAGCAATTATCATAAAAGAATTATCAACAAATCCAAAACATATAAAAGGGATACATCCTGAGAGTGCAACTAATATTAAGTCATGTCTCTTTATATTCATTTCTCCTTTTTCATGAGATTTATCTTCATATGCTTTATCAAAATCTTTAGAATTATAACTATCTATTTTTTTTGACAACATTTTATCACTTTTTTTACTTGAATTTATATGATTTGCATAGTCATTACTATTATATATATTTTTAATTGGTTCTTCCATGTTTTTTTTCTGGTTCATATGATGGTTTCGATTATTTTCATTAATTTCTTTATTTTCATATAATGATGAGTCTGTTTTTGATTGCCCATATTCATGTGCTTTTCTTATGTGTTCAAAATTTTGAAGAAATTTTTCATTCGACGAGTATTCCTTCTGTTCATTTGTTACATCATTGTACTTGTTTTCATTGTACACGCTGCTTAAATTGTTTAGCTTTAGATTGATATATTTTTTTCTTTTCATTATTCTTCCACTAATGTTTATCCCTTTTCTACACTTTGCTATTCTTGTGTGAAATGTATTATAGTGAATGTAATTTACCGATTGTATGACATTGATACTTTGTAAATCTTTATGAAAACTTTTGAGAGGATGAATGTGTCTATTTGGTTTAATCGATTTGTTTGCATCTGTCTTGTTATTTTTGTATTGTAAATTTTTCTTCCAATGCTGGAAATTTGCAAAATTTTCATTTTTATGGTTGATGCTGATTCCATATTTAAAATAGTTACTATGTTCTTTCCTTTTCTTTCTCTTAAAGAAAGATATTTTCTGTTTTTTTTTAATGATACTTTTTATCTGAGTTTGCAAATAATGCTTTGGTGGAATTTGAAAAAAACATTTTTTAAGAAATGCATTTTTTCGATCCGTGAGACAGGAACTGTGCATGTGTTTTATATTTCTTTTTAAATTCAAAAAATTACTTAATTCAGCAAAACGTCGATGGTGTTGATAAAAACGTATGTTGTGACTTAAATAACTTTTCATCAAATAATTTATAGCTGAATTATTTACAGTAACCAAATTTCTTTTTTTTCGTTGTAGAACAATGGTGGAGCCATGTGATAGATGTGAGAAGTGCTGAACATGCATTTTCTCATCAAGCAAGGTATAATAGTGGAAGGAAGTAGGATGAAGTAAAATAAAGAAAAATGGGAGTAAACTGGAATGAAATAGGGTAAAATGGGGTGAAATAGAGCAAAAATGAAATAAAATGGACGAGAAAATGAGGCCAAGTCGGATTAAAGAAAAAAAAAAAAAAAGTATCTATCCACATATATATATATATATATATACAAGCATGCACGTATTTGTACATTTACAACACAAATATGTGGACATGGTAAGGGGGAAAATAACGTGGTCATATAATGGAAAGATAAAGGAAATTACAATATTATGCGTTTTTCCTTATACGGGGTGAGGAAGGCATGAAAAATTAAAAATTACTATATTATGTGTATTTCTTCCTTTATTAAATAATGTGCAAATTAAACAAATATTCATACGAAACAAGGTGTTGTGATGTATAGTTTCAATATTCTTTGCGAGGGAAATACTATTCACAAGGTTAAAAAAAAAAAAAAAAAAGTATAGCAAATATGTATATTGGTAGATTCTGATCTTGTAATAACAATGTTGGTGTAGTTATTTAATTCTTCGATTATTTGTTTTTTAAAAGGAACGAAAAAAAAAGTGAGGGAGAGGTGGAATCTGTGGTATGTTTTGGTATGAAGAAAAAAAATAATAAATAACCAAATAAGAAAATAGATAAATAAGTAGGTAAGCTAATAGCTAAATAAGTAGGCAAGCAAATAGCTAAATAAGTAGGTAAGCAAATAGGTGAATGAGGAAGCAAGCAAATAGCTAAAAGAGTAGGGAAGCAAATATGTTCCGTTCTACAACAAGAGCTGAATGCTGTGGCCCGTGATAGTTGGAGAGAACCTTAGGTAGATTAAAATTTTTATCCTTTATTTTTGGGGGGTATTTTTCGATATACTTTTCTGTGTATTTTTTGTTATGTCGTTATTTCTTATTTCTCATTTTGTGTTTTTTTTTTTTTTTCCTTTTTTTTATTTTTTGCCCTTGTTAGTCCTCAACCTTCTGAAAAAAAAAAAAAAAAAAAAAAAAAGGAAAAGAATAATTACAAAAATGTTTGCTTCATTTAAGTTTTCCGAACGGGGTTTTGCAACATCATGCATACATGTTGCATGCATGTATTCATTTTAATGTCGTAAAAAAAAAAAAAAAAAAAAAAAAAGAAGAAATGCATGCATTGAAGTTCCACAAGCCAATGTTTGTTAAACTACTGGTAAGCTTAATGACAAATAAATTATTTCCTAATAAGTCTTTCTACCATCAACAAATTTATTTTAGCGATTCGTTCATAACTCACTCATTTATCTTCTCTTTCTCTTAGGGTAAGAGGGAATTCCCGAGTTAGAGCAGCTTTGTATGTTATAAAGCTATTGGTGAACACGTGCCTAAGTATACATGTGCCAATATATATATATATATATACATACACCCCAAGAATACTTATGTGTGTGTGGGTGCGCGTGGTAATTTGTGTATTACTCTTTTTGTGTATAGCAGTTTTTGTGTATGGCAATTTTTGTGTATTCCAATTTTTGTGTATTCCAATTTTTGTGTGAATTCCTTGGGATTTCAACTTGAGAAAAAAGGGAAGAAACAAAAGTTTGCTCATTTGTGTGAAATTAATTTGAGTATGAACTGGGAGAATGGTGAATTTAATTGCTTCAGAATCTGCAGGGATTGGAGAAAAAAAAAAATAAATATATATATACTGTACACATATATCTATATACATTTCCTGCATGGCTAAGTTTAAGGACACCAGTATCTACGGGCTTAATGATGCCAATTGTTGTTTCACATTTTCCTCAATGAAGAACATACATGTATATACATATGTTCAAATATAAGGGACTGCTTAGGTCTATATACACATATACTTATGCATACATTTGTACTTACATGTATATATATAGATATAGATATATGTAGATATATGTATATATACATGTATGAATGCGCGCAAAAATTCCTTACCCTATTCCCTTCTCACCAACACACACACCACATTAAAAAATCATTTGAGGAAATTTTTTGCTTTTGCTTTGCACATTGACGAAAAGAGTCAATGGTGAAAATGTGGCACAAAATAAAAATAATAATAATAGTAAAAAATAATAATAGTAAAAAATAATAATAAAAAATAATAATAAAAAATAATAATAAAAAATAATAAAAAAAAATAATAAAAAAAAATAGTAAAAAATAATAATAAAAAAAAAAAATTCCGTATTTTTCGTGGAACATGCCAATGACGTATTACGCACATTATGAGGCTTAAGCAAGGACATATTAAAATTATTTTTATTTTTATTTATTTATTTTTTTTTTTTGTGTGTGCATTTTCGAGCTCTCTAGTGTTATCACATGATGTAAATTTACATATATAACGAGTACCTTAGTATTGAAGGAGTTAAAGGGCTTATTGAGTGGAGTGAAAAGAAGAACATCCGATTTATCACATCAGGGTGTGTAGTAGTTGTAAAATCCTATCAAAAACCTAAGCTATAGGATGACGAGTTGCATTTTTAAGAACAGAAAAAAAAATGAAGTGGAAAGATTGAGGAGACACTTTAAATCAACATGTCACCATTTAACCCAATCATATGGAGTAGTAACACACAAAAACAAGAAAAGGAAGAGAGAAATTTACCTGTATGGGAATTTCCCAAACTACTTTTACGAAAGATATAAGAAAAGAAAAAAAAAATGTGAAGAAATTATGGAGGATGGAATAATGAAATGGCACAAAGAAGAGGATGAGTTATTTAAAAAGAAGGAACGAATTTGTAAGGTGATAGATGTTATTGAAACCGATGAAAAACTATGTATTGATGATTATAGATTAACTCATGTTAATAGTTTGATGGATGGTATATTTCACGGAAAGGATATTTTAGACATTGGTTGCAATTGTGGCATAACAACTTTTTTGTTAAGTCTTAAATATAAGTGTCGAATTGTTAATGCCATTGATATTGATAATAGTCTAATCAATAACAACATTACTTTGTTGAAAATTTTTATCGAATTTGTTTTAATATACAATAACCAGAGTCATATGATACCCTTTTTTCTACGCTGCAGGAATTTGACCCAACTGCAGAAGGACATATTACTGGAGGTGCACCTTCTGCATGAACGTGCGAAGAAGTTGGAAGAGGGAAATCTGAAGAAGTTGGAAGAGGGAAATCTGAAGAAGTTGGAAGAGGGAAATCTGAAGAAGTTGGAAGTGGGAAATCTGAAGAAGTTGGAAGTGGGAAATCTGAAGAAGTTGGAAGAGGGAAATCTGAAGAAGTTGGAAGAGGGAAATCTGAAGAAGTTGGAAGAGGGAAATCTGAAGAAGTTGGAAGTGGGAAATCTGAAGAAGTTGGAAGTGGGGAATGAGAAAAATATGCCCGTCCAGTGCATGCCCTTGGAGAGCAAAAGGAGAGATAGAGAGAATGCTTTGTGTGAATACAATTTTCCCTTTAACATATACTTCTCGTGCTTGAATATTTTTGATGAAATTTTTGAAAATGTGCAAAAGAAGTACGACGTAATTATTTGCTTTTCCGTTTTGAAATGGATACACTTAATTTATGGTGATAATCAGGTAATTTTATTTTTTGATCGGATGCACAATCTTCTAAAAGAAGGGGGATATCTTGTTTTAGAATATCATAATGAGAGAAAATATAAAATCAAGAAGTGTGACAGAGAATATTACAAACACGAGACAAAATTAAATTATAAGCATTTTGATGCTATTGCAAGGGGTGAGTATGAAAACAATTGTAAAATGGTCCTTGTTCAGAGAACTATTTTTGATGCCAATTTGGCAGAAGGTCAAAAAAAATGCAAAAAAGAACCAGGGATGTTCAGCAGAACAGTTTGTGTTTACCAGAAGGTGTAGGAAGTTGCGTTTACCAGAGGATATAGGAAGTTGCGTTTACCAGAGGATATAGGAAGTTGCGTTTACCAGAGGATGTATGTTCATGTCTAGACATACATACGTTTTGATGTTTTCTCTTTTTTTCTTTTTTTTGATTTTATGTAATTTTTGTCACGCATGCGTGAAAATGATGAACAACTTGAAAGAATTGATAACTATGCAATTGTGTTATTTGTAGCCATATTATAAATTATCAAATTTGTCATATATGTAAAGATATTTTTTGCTTGCGCTTAAGTACTTGTGTATACATCTGCATGCTTGTGTTGCACATCGTCAAGCAAGCCGCTTAACAGAACATTTACAAACACAACATTAACAAAAACAAAAAAAAAAAAAAATATATTATTTTTTAATTAAAAGCATACACATATAGACATTTGGGGTAACATAAACTGCTCAAAAGCAGAAATGGATATTTTAAAAGAAAAGGAGAAAGCGTGAAAAACAAAACAAACACATTTAAAGAAACAAATAAGCGGATGTGTACGTTTCCTTGTGGATCCACTGAACAAATGCGATGGTTTAGAAATTGGCCGGTTTAGAAGTTGGTCGGTTTAGAAGTTGGCCGGTTTAGAAATTGGTCGGTTTAGAAGTTGGCCGGTTTAGAAGTTGGCCGGTTTAGAAGTTGGCCGGTTTAGAAGTTGGCCGGTTTAGAAATTGGCCGGTTTAGAAGTTGGTCGGTTTAAAAGTTGGTCGGTTTAGAAGTTGGCCGGTTTAGAAGTTGGCAGGTTTAGAAGTTGGCAGGTTTAGAAGTTGACCAGTTTAGAAGTTGGCAGGTTTAGAAGTTGACCAGTTTAGAAGTTGGCCAGTTTAGAAGTTGGCCAATTTAAGCATTCCATCATTTAACTATTGCAACCTTGCCGTTCAGGTGGGTAGCAAGTGGGAGTAGCTCCAAAAACGAGATATTGTTGAATGAATAAGAGAAGTCCACGGGGTGGTGGTGGTGGTAGACTTGCAACGTAATTAAGACGATTAATATGAACATAGGGCAAACATATGAGTTGCAATACTAGGAGTTAAATATAAAAATTAATTTGTCGAGGTTTATTAGGCTTATTTCTAGATAATCCACAGCATATTCACGTGATGTCAAACTGATTTTTTTTTTTTTTTCACTAGTGCTATCAGGAGGGTTATAGGCCTCATTGGAGATACGTACCTGATTGGTATGTACTGAACTTGGAGACTCTTTAGCCATATCGTTTGCACAAATATTGGACTTATTATGTAGGATGTTTATTTCATTATTTTCGTGTAACTTACGTATGTATATATTTTTTGCGATGGTAAATAAGTTTTCCTTTATTTTATTGGTGGTATAGTAAATGTTTGTGGAAAATGACAAAGAGTGTTTAATGTAAGTCTTGTTAACATTGCTATTGTTGCATTCATGGCATTTTATGTATCCATGATATAGCAAATTATATAATTTTTTTCTCACATCATTTAGGGGTATTAAAACATTTTCACTTATGATTTCATCATTTACTTTTTGTGAGGGTGCGGATGCAAGAAATTTCCAAATTCTGAGAGCACTTATCCCGTTCATACTTTCTATGAAATTTGTTATAATTTTATTTTTATATATATTTTTAACATTTTCAAAATCAGCAGCATATGTAATTGTTTCATTACGTTGTGTTTTTATTAATTGGTCTGGATATTTTATCAAATTATTTAAATTTTGTAACACTATATTTCTATCTATATATATATTTTTTTTTTTTAAATTTTCTATTACATATTTTTCTATATTTTCAAATGAACAAAAGATAGAGATGTCTTTATAATTATTTTCTTCAGCACAATAACTAAGTTGCACATTATTTAATAAAAAAAAAAATATGTATTTCCCTATCTCATTAAAGCTGTAATAATGCGTTATAAAATTAAAACATTCTTGTTTTAAATATAAAATTGTTAATACTTCATTATTTGCTTGAAAATAAGTAAATCGATTATCAAGGTATTCCATAATATCATTTTCCATATTTTCTTTATTAATATATCTACCAGATGAATTATAATTTGTGTCAAAATATTCATATTCGTTGCTTTTGGTACATACCCTTGGATTCTTTTGTTCTTCCGTTTTGGCATTATGTGGTTGAAAATGCACCACATTCCTACTACTCTTGATATCCTCGTTACCATAATCGACATGGGAAGAATTTCCAAGAAAGTTCCATCTCATATTGTTGTTATTATCATCGTTTAGATTTCTTCTATAATCGATAAGATCAGATGTTCTATTGTTATCTCCAGATATACTGAAAATATTTCCTTCTATGTCATTATTATTGGTAAGATTCCCAAAATTTTGAGCATTTTCCATCTGGTTGTCTATAATTTTTCTTCGTTTCATATTACTAGTCATGTTTAAGACATTCCTTGTAGTTTTACCATTATGTTTGTTTTTATCATTAAGATTAGAAATCGTAGTACAATTATCACTGTTCATATCGTTTATATTATCTACTTGTGTAAAGAGAAAACTGTCATTAGAGCTGTTATGTGAATTATTAAAATGGTTGTTCCTTTCAAATTCGGAAGGGTTTGTATGATCATTTGACTTACTCATATCATAGTAGTTCGAATGTGCATTATGATAAATCTTGTTCTTGCTATTATGAGAAGTGTTTATTTTTTGGGTATTTTGTTCTAATTTATTCATGGTTATTTCGTTATTTGGATTCAAATGATACAAAGATGAGCAGTTATTTGTGGATGACAACGTGGGATCAAGACACGCGTTCATATAATTAATTGAGTTGCTATATTTGGTCATATGTTCTCTAGTATTAGAATCATTTTCACATGCATGTTCATTAAAATATTTACATTTTTTTATAAATTTTTTTTTTAACAATTGTAAAAAAATTAATCTTAATTTTTTTTTTTTTATATTAGGAATTTCTTTTTTGCACACTTCAACATAATCATCGTGTTTCAGATTTTTTAGACATGTATCGATTGTAATTCTCCCATTTTTAATTATTCTTAAGAGTATGACCTTTTCGATAAAATGTACCAAGTCTCCTTTTGAAAATGTCTCCTCTACATTATTATTATCTACTTCTCCTTGGGCAATACTGTTATTATCACATAAAATATTAGATGTAAAAAAGTTGTAGCTCATGTTGTGCATCAAATTATGGGTTTTCGTATCAGGACAAGTAACATTTGATGTAATCATATTTTTACTTTTGTTTCTGGGTGCAGATGTGCTATGAGAGGTATCAACTGCAGGTGTGGATACATAAAGGTGATGATGCTCTAATATATCGTCATTGCTGCTTCCCTTGACTTGGGTCGGATGCATATAATAAAGTATGGATGAATATCGAACAAGTGTATAAATATTATTAACAATAACGAAATATTCTACTCGTTTTATTTTACAGATACACGAGGGACAGCTACATCCTTTCATATATTTGTAGTGTTCATGTTCTGTCAAGAATCGTATCTGTTCGTTTATATTTGTATTTTTTGTTAGTCCGTCTTTTGTTTCATCTTTAATATCACCCTTATATTTGACATCATTATGTATACCATAATCATTGGTTGCAATATTAAAAGCTCTTGTGACTCCCACAGGTCCCATTGCTTCCACCATTTCTTCCACCACTTCATCCAGATGTGTTGATTCTATGTATTTTACCGAGTCATTTCTATCGACGGTGGTTACCTTTCCCCTGTATCCATCTCTTTCAATATTCTTTTCATTCGATAGAAAATTCTCTTTTTTCGAATCAGGGATCAATATGTGGTTGCATTCATGAGATTTGCTGTAAATTACTTGAATATCTACAATGTTGTGGATAAGTAAACACAACAGGACATTTCTCACAATGCAGAATTCATAATTCGATAGGTTTATCATTTCGTTTATTGTTAGCTTGTTCCCATAGAGTAAAATTAGTTCCATTATATCTCCACAACAATGTCCAAAAATATCACTTACAATGTATTTAAGGTAATGCAGCTCATTGTTTATCATTTTGTGGTTCATATTTTTGTCAGTATAGGTTCTATTTTCCTGCATTTGTGCTATTTCTGGCTCTTGGTTATTTCTACAATTGTGTGAAGCAAAAAGGTGTTCGTCAAACGAACAGGATCTTTTTTTTTTTTTTTTTTTTTTTTTTTTTTCCTTTTTCTCTAAAGTGTTCACCTCTGAATTTATGGAATTACTGGAATATTAATATGAGCAAAAGCATATCCCATTAATTAAAATGAGGATTATTCAAATGGGGCGTCACATGTGCAGATGCAAAAAGAAGAAGAAAAAAAAAAATACATAATATATGCATACATAACACAGACATATATACATACGCTGATGAGTAGTCACACGTTTGTTCTATGACAAAATTGCAAATGGATGCAAAAGAAGCGAACCCTTCAAGGGGTTGGGGTGGAGTGTTAGAGACATGTGCACGTGCGTATAACTCAATTAAAAATAGGGCCAACCAATTTAGCTATAAAAAAATGATGTGACAAAATTGATACTACAAGAATGATGGGTCTCACATAGAAACATATTTCAATGAGGAAATGAGAAAATAAAAATAATAAAAAAAATAATAATAATAACACTTACATATATTTTATGTTAGCTTTAATGTGCGAAGTGGGAAAACACGATATGAAAAAAAAAAAAAAAAAATCTTACCTTTTTTAAGAAAAAAAAAAAGAAAAAAAAAAATTTATGAACAAATAACCTTTTAACCTGCATAATAAATTTTACTTCTTGACAAAAAAAAAAAAAAAAAAATAAAATAAAAACAAAAAAAATTTACAAATGAATGAAAGCCCTATATATCAATATGTATACTAAGCTTCCACTCTTTTTCTCTATAATTTTGAAGGAAGACTTGTCGAAAAATTACTCCCAAGATATTTATAAAATGGCATATATGTGAAATAATAAAAATAATAAATTAACATAAAAATTTAGAGAAGAGAAAGTAATTAACGTCTTCAATGAATTCTCGTCTACCATTATCGGACAAATGAAGAACATGTGATAGTTGGTAGATGGTGAAATTCAGAAAACTTGTCAATTTGGGGAAATTAAATTTATGTCACTTTGTCCATTTTTTCTGCGTAAATGCCTTCTATTACGCATGTATTAGAGCTTTAAAATTAGAGATGCCTTTTTTTTTTTTTTTCCTTTTTTTATTTTACGGAAAAATTTCTGTAGACTACCTCCCCTGTATCCATTATTGTTTTATCCCATATAATAGTCTCTAATTCATAGGAAAAAAAAAAAAATATATATATATTGCACTTGTAAAGTAGCTCTGTAATCGACTTTGATGAATTGTCTCTCTTTTTACATATGTAAATACATGTACATGTATATATATATATACATACATACATACGTGTACATATACGTGTATATCTGAACACGATGTGAGGCTAAAATGTTTTTATATTTTTCCTTTTTGCCTTTACTATTCTCCTTTTGAAATCGAAATATTTTTTTTTTTTTTAGGTGCATATAGAAATGCCCAGTAAAATAAGAGTACTATCCAAATGAATGAAAAAAGAGAAAGCACAAAAAATTTCGAAAGATGAACCCACTATTGGAATATAGTAATATATGCAGACATTCCATTCTCTGTTAAAATATTACCTACCTACGTGGGTATAGTCTGCTTCACCCCTTAAATGACTTTACAAGAAATTATTTCTTCCTCTTTTTTTCCGTGCTCATTTTTCCAATAGAAAGAATTAAAGAGGCGTTCTTTATTAAGAATCCCGTTAACTTTAATAAGACCACTTTAAAAAAAGAAAATTATGAATGTGAAAAAAGAAAGAAGAAGGAAAACACTTCCATTCATGCCAATAGAATTACACAGCAAAAAGACAACAATCGGAATTTTTCACTTCATTCGAATCAGATATTAAGACATGAATATGATCATAATGTTAAGAAAATTAATAATCCGTCTGATCTGAGATATAGAAATAGCAAAAATGAAAAATGGAAAAATCATGTTGAAGCTGTTAAGAAAAATGAAAAAATAGTAGAGAATGAGGATTTGGAATTATCTCTTTTCTGTCCTGACGACACTGTGAGTGTTCTTAATGATAGGAAGAAGGAATCAAATAAAAAAAATAAAATAAAAAATAAAATAAAGAATAAAATAAAGAATAAAATAAAGAATAAAATAAAGAATAAAATAAAAGCAAGATAAATATTCCATGAAACAGACATGACTTTAACATATAATGAATCAACAGAAATGAAAAAATATATTTTTTTTTTTTTTTTTTTGCAAATTTGTGTATATATCTCGACACCTCAGCAGAAAAACAACACAGGAGTTGTAATATATAAATATTGTTACATTTGCGAAACGGGAAAGCCTTGCTTTTGCAGCGAAGAAAACTGCGACTATGAGCAAGTAAACAGAATAATGTCCCCATCAATAAATGTGTCATTTTGCAAATGACGTTGCTGTAGTAATGCAGGAAACATGAGGACACACATGTATGTATGCATAAATATATATATATATATATATTTTCTTCTTACGCTTTAACGTGCTAATTAGGAAATGTCCCATTGGAATGGAGGGAAAATAAAGTCTAATATTCACTCAACTTTTAGAGATATATCGGTATGTATCATTTTCAACAAGTCATTTTTTTTTTTTTTTTTTTTTTTTTTAATTTGTTTTTTTTTCGCTCACTTCTGTTTGAATGAGAATCAAATAATGAACACATCTTCGCATTTTTAATATCAGAATATAATGGAGACAATTCATTCAAGCAAGAAAAAGGAAGAAGAAAGCAAGAACAACGCTTTGCTGAAGGGAGAAAGAGAGTAAAAAAAAAAAAAAAAAAAAAAAAAAAATACTCAGCACGGAGACAACACGGAGAGATGACTGAGGAATGTCCGCTTTTTTATCAATAAAGAAAGCGTAAATATATGTTGTCTCATTTTTTTTATCTACATTAAGCGAAACTAGTTTAGTCAGATATATCACTTGTTAACTTTTTCAATGCAGAAAGATTAAATCGAAGAAGGGCTCTACTGCTAAAAAAAAAAGTATTCCTATTTTTTTTTTTCCGTTATTCTTTTTTTTGTCATTTTAATTTATTATGTTTTAAAACTCAATTTATGGAAATTTTTAAAAAATAAATATAAAAAAAAAAAAAATAATTTATGAATTTCTTATCCGATAGACCATAAAAATGAATCATCGAAAACTCTGAGTAGTTACGAAAGGTCTAGGGGAGCATGTGCATTTCTACATGTTACAAAGTTGTGAACATAACCCCACATGTTCCTCTTTTGTTAATCCGTTTATGTGTGCTAAATTGTCAAATCCTTGTAATTAGAACCAGAGGATAACTATGAATGATTCCTCGAGATGATATATATTTACTCCATATCAATGAAGGGGAAAAAGGGCTTAAAATAAAAGGACCATACACATACAACAAATAAAAAAAAAATATAAAAAAAAAAAAAAAAAAAAGTGTGCATTTTATACTCATGTCTATATTTTCAGATTTTACCTAGAACAAGTAAAAACAATTAAAGAGAAATTGAACTACTTAAGAGATGGGAAATGTGGGGAAAAGGGTAAAAATTTTTTCATTTTATTTATTTTTTTTTTTTTTTTTTGTTTTTGCTTTTTCAATTCAGTACTGTGAATATTCCTGTGTCAAAGTGTGCAGCAGTGTGAATATATATATTTATATACCTTCGTATGTGTGCGTGTGAAGGGAGTTTATTGCACATAGACACGCAACATATGTGCGAAACAACTTTCCCTTGACCTGGATGATCAACCTGAAAAAGGAACTCTTGAGGATACCCCAATCGACTTTGTAATACTGTTCAATAAAAAAAAAAAGAAAAAAAAAAAAAAAAAAAAGGAAAGACAAAAAATAGAATAAAGAGATATTATACATTCGTTTTAGCCAACTTATCATTTTTTCGATGTAGAACGTTATAGATTTATTTTTATACATATAAGCAGGACAGAGATCAAGGAGGGGCAGCACTAATGGAAAAAAGGCTAGAAGCATTAAAGGAAATAGAAAAGTAAACAAAAATAAAAAAAAATAAAAAAAAATAGAAAAAAGGAAAAGACATAAAAAAAAAAAAAAAATTTGGATAGTTAAATTATACATTTTATGCTTAAAATTTGAAGTTTGAACTTTTTTTTTTTTTTTTTTTTATCTGCATATTATCTTTCTCTGTTGCTAATCCTGTAGTAGATGTGCACTACATTTTTCATTTTGAAAACGTGTCTAACTAGTTCGCTATGGAAATAAATTTCGTCTCATATATTTCATCGTTTTTACAGGAATCACCTGCAGCTTCTAGTGAACATATTCAATGAGTATAAAGATTTGGAAGAGAGTATGTTATGATTACAATATTTTTTAAAATTTAGGTTTTTCTATTTTGCCACAAGTGTACATATATGTACACACGTCTTTTATCTAGGGAAATGTTTCTTCATACATATTATTGGAGATTCGAACGGTGGTTACTTAAAAAATGTAGATGTGTGGAGGTTGCTTTTCAAAATTGCACAAATGGAATAAAACGATGATATGAAGACATTTCCCGTTTGAGCGTGTGGGTTGTGTCGCGGGTTGAATGGTTTCATGTTGAGCACGTGCATACATGTGCACACATGTACACACACATATATACACACACATATATACACACAAACATGTGCACGCACACACACACATGTTCAAACCCGTGGACACGAATAATTTGACACCATTTTATTTATACAATGCCAGAGAACACAAACAATATAGCCTTGCATCAGTGGGACCATATTTTTAAAAGCTTATCCTTCCCACCTGAGGCCACAAATTTTCCATCGTTTGACCAATCGATAGCGTATACAGCATCTGCATGACCTGGTAAATCCACAAGTAGCGTTTTGACTTTTTTGATTTTGTCCCCATCAGAGTTGTTTTTTTTTTCATTTGTGTGTTTCGAATTGTTATTTTTTTCTATCTCTTTGACATTTTCATTGGATATGGGATATGCAAGATCTTTCTTTTCTTCACTTTGTTTCTGTTTTAAATGGACAGAGAGATGGCTGACCTTCCATAATTTTAAGGTACTATCTTGGCTACATGAAACTATGTAATTATTATCAATAGACCATGCGACTTTGTAAACAGAACCAACGTGACCACGATACACTGCTAACATATGTCCATCTAAGCCTGACCAGAGTCTAACAGTTTTATCAAAAGAACATGATGCAATGAATTTTCCATCTGGAGAGAATTGTGTATATATAACCGTTTTTTGATGACCTACTAATCTAGTGTGTTTAAATTCATCATTTTTTAGACATTCAATTAGATAAAGTGTACCATCATCTGATCCACTTACAACTTTTTCATTTTTTGTATGTTTGAAAAAATTTTTATAAATATTTTTAGACTTTTCAATATTATTTTCAATATGCATTTTATTTATTATGACATCTAAATTGTATATTCCATTTTTTATAATTCGTTCTGTGTTTAATGATAAACAGTTGACCCAATGTTTATGTCCTTTAAAATTGTAAATGAGCGTGCCTTCATTGAAATTCCATATTTTGATGGTTGTGTCTCTAGAACTGCTATAAATTCTGCTACTTTTTTCATCCATTCCAGACCACAATATACATGTGATTGTATCCGTATGACCCGTTAGGACCTTTTCAACCGAATTGCTTAGAATATTATTGATTCTTATGCACCCATCTTTTCCTGCACTGGCTAGTCTACTTCTCACAAAATAGGTATCTTTTTTGTTTCCATTTTTTTTCGTTTCATTCGTCTGGCTCCCTCTTGATGTGTCACTCTTTTCCTGCTGATCCTGTTGATCAGAATTGTCACGTTTCAATCCGTTTTGGTCACCCATTTCCCTTTTACCCTTTTGTGTCGTTTCCTCTGGTTCGTCTCGATTTATATGTGCAGATGATTCCTCAATTGTCATTTCGTTATCCCCATTTTTGTTATGTCCAGAAATGGGGCCCAATTCTGTATTATCAACAGTATTACTTTGGGAGGCATCATTTCTACATTTTGGGGGATATCTTTTTGTGTCTCTTTTTGTTTCATCTGTTTTTTTTCTCTTTCTAATATGAACTGGATTTTTCTGTATATTGCTTTTGCTGAGGAGATGCAAAGGTTCAAAGCATAAAGTGGTTACTTCCTTTTTATGTCCAGTTAATATATTTAGCAATTTCCCTGTGCTTGTTTCGTATATACAAACATTTTGATCCATGCCAGACGTAGCTAAAAATTGATTATCGGGAGAAAATAAAACTGCTAATACCCAATTGTTGTGGTCTTTTAATGTTGCAATCGGTGTTTGCGTATTAATGTCCCATAGCCGAACGGTATTATCACCTGCTCCTGTAGCTAAATGTGCACTATTGGGACTGAATGCTATAGAGAGAATAGAATTTGTATGACCTGGCAATGTAGAATTACAAGTAGAAATTTTTTTGATTTTAAAAATATTTAAAGGAAAATATTTTATAGATAATACATCTTCACTACTTATGTTATTATGTTTAATAGTATCATACAAATTATTTTTTATAGCCAACTTATCATTTATCATAAATGAATAATTCAGATTTTCTGAATTATCATCTTGGGTAAAATCTTCATTTTTTTTCTTAAGGTCATTTATAATTTCATCTAAGTTATCTTTTGTAATACTTAATGGTACATTGATTACAGGGCCTGTTGCTTTATTTTCATGATTCACAAACTGAATGAGAATTTGCTTGCCCATCCCTTTATTTGTCTCATCATCTTCTTCCATATTTCTGAATTATAAACTGCTTAATGGGTAAGTGGTATGTTAGAATAAAAATGAAATAAAGGAGAAAGTTGGAAAAAAAAAAATAAAATCAAATCAAAAAAAAAGAAAAAAAAAAAAAAAAAATGGGACAATATTGTATGCGGAGGAAAAATATTAAGGCAGAGTTGTAACAAGGAATCCTCCCCTCCCTTTCCCATTATTTTTTTTTTTTTTTTTTTATAAAAATAAATAGTTATATATATTTTATAGCACTTTGTTTTTTCCGTTAAAGAATCACCCTTTTGCGGAATTATTTTACTTTTTCTATTTTATTGTATTGAGAAACTGATCCTGTTTTCACGAACATTTAACCCGTTCTACAAGTTTTCATTTGTGCAATTATCCAAAATAATGGTTTTGAGTTTACATGCCTAGTTAGATGTTATCCACATAAAATTATGTTACTCCTGTGGTTGTAGAAAACGTGCCCCCTCATTTCCCAAAAAAAAAAAAAAAAAAAAAAATGTGCATTTCGTGAGTATATTATTCCTATATGCTTACATGAATACGCATGGCGAGGATATAAACGTCTCTATGAAGAAATTAAAAATGTGATGAACCAATCACTACGACAAAGCCACCATTCGTTTTATCCTTTATATATATTTATTTATTTATTAATTTGGCCATTCATTAATTTGATTATTTATTAATTTGGCCATTCGTTAATTTGATTATTCTTTAATTTATGCAATTATTCATTCATTCATGTATTTATTATCATTTTTCACCTTTAATAAGGACTCACCGATTTGCCATTATGCAGCACTATATTTACGATATATCTATGAAAAACTTTTTTTTCTTCTTTTTTACATTTTGTTGCTTTGCGTGTAAATTATCTGCTACACTCATTTAAGCCTAATGAGAAAATAGCATGTTCTAAGACAAAAAGGAGATTTGAAGAAGCATCAAAAAAAAAAAAAAATAATAAAATAAATAAAAACAAAAGAAAAAAAAAGCTAAAAAGCTAAAAAGCTAAAAAGCAAAAAAACAAAAAATATTTCGGACTAAATGAGCAGGTCACTTTTCATATATATTCTGATGAAAGGTGAAAAATATAAGAGTATTACAAACGCTGTTTTTTATAAAAGGTTGAAGAGTGAGAATTTCTTAAACACAGAATAACTTCATTTTTCATACATGCATATACATATGTGCAGACGGACATATGTGTATATATATATATATATATATATATATATATATATATATATCAAATGTAATGTCTCGTCTATTTCCATTCACAAAGATACTGATTCAGATTGCCATTTCGAGCATCGAACAAAAATGTAAACCCTGTAGTAAGGGTTCAAAAACACGTGCCATTTATGCGAACATTTATGGGTATGTTTCGAATAGTGCCCCGACTGGTATAAATACTTAAATGTTACAATTTACAAGTGAGGGTATATTATATGCTAATTGGCGAATACAAAAATGTGCTACAAAGTTTGACATTACCATGTGGGAAATGATTTTAAACAATTGGAGAGACATGACACAAAAGAAAAGAAAAGAAGAGGGAAAAAAAAACAATTGTGACAACTTTTTATGCATAAATTTTGTTCTTTTTATTGGTTTTTGAAATTAGGATCACTTATATGGTCTTTTCATGACTCCGCTTTTATGCGAACTGCAAAAGGGTGTGAATAAAAATGTCAAGTGGATGTAACACTCGATGAGAGAGAAGTTAATTCAAAAAATGGAAAAACGGCACAACTTTTACACTTTTTTTTTTCCCGTGTTTCCATTCCTAACCATTTGGGATATCCTCAAGGTCCTGTTCTATGTTAATGGAAACGCCGTCGAAATTGTCATTGTTTATAATCTGCATTTTTAATAAATTAAATATATTTTCTTTACGATCTTTTTTTTGAAAATGAGAAAAAAATATGAAGTATTTGAATGTTATATTAGCTTTTTTTTTTTTTCTTTTTTTATTTGTTTTTTTAACATTACGTTATGTTGAACATTTTCCAATGTCTTTTCGTCGTTTTCGTTCCTCATCTCGCCCATGTTAAGGCAGAGTATTTGCTTTGTCAAAAATAGCCACTTGGAGAGAAAAGGGAAATTCAAAAAAAAAAAAAATTTAAATAAAAATGGAAGAACATAAAGAATGATTAATTGGGGTATATTTTTTTTTTTTTGCCTTTTTGAATATCTTCTTACCCAGTTATTTATGCACTCTTCTGAATTGCAGCTAATTGGATGTGGAATAAGAAGAAAAAAAAAAAAAAATGTAGGAACGACAACTTGGTTATGTTTAAACAAGTATTTATTGAATTTTTTTCCTTTCTTTTTTTTGATTAAATAAATGGAGTAAATGATGGAAGAAAAGCAATCATAATGATTCGATTTGCTAACCATAGAACTATGGAATCTTTGTTAACTAAAAAAAGATAAAATAGAGAATTATTATTTTACGCTTGTTCATATAATGCAGAAAGGTTGTAGGAAATATGTGAATGCAACTTCATTGGTTTTCTTTGCACTACTAAGGTGACGTGATAAATTCTTCAATAAGGTTGGAAAAGGGAAAATGGCTTTTCATTTATAGCACACATGAAAATATGCTTATAAAAGTGTATTGTGTGTAAGGTAAAATATGGGTACGTCTTCATTTGTTCGTTATTCGTGTATGCATGTACGTACGTATCTATCTATGTATGTGTGTGTGCGTGTATTTTTTAATACATACCCATATTAATAGTCATACACTCGGGACTTGTTGAAAAAATTAACAAAGGAGTTAGAACTTCCCGTAGGTCTACAGTATCGTAAATTGTGGAACCCCTAAAATAGGGAGAAGGTGATGAAGGCGAGAAATATGTTGGGATGATATAGTAAGGGGCTAGGTGTCGATCTTCTAAATGTGAAAAAGTTTGTATAGAAAATTATGCACGTTTGATCATATCTATATCTTATCATGTGTAATGTTATCCAGATATGCACCTGTAGAAGTCGAGAGTGTCATTTTTCAAAACTGAAGATACAGTAATGTACTCTTGTTCGTCCTGATATGATAGGAATGGGAAAAAAAAAAAAAAAAAAAAAATGTCCACAACTTTTAGAAGTCCAAATATGATTACATTTCTTTACATGCCATACTACATATTGATCGCATCCTTTTAGTGTCATCTGTCGGATGTATGCGTTCATACCTTCTTCTTATGGTACTTCAGAATTCCTCTGTGAGTTTTCTTACAAAAGATTGGATCATTTTCTATAGCACAAAATGTATATGTCACAATTAAAATGGAAAACAAGATGGAGGCGTTAAGAAAACGCATTTTGTTTATTTATTTTGCTTCCTGTTTTAAGAAATGGGGTAGATGATGGGTTATGCGAAAGAATTTGGAAAACTTGGAAGATTTGATTTATTGGGTTGTGGAAGTGAATTTTTATAGATATTTTTCGTGCATGAGTGTAGGGTCTATTACTATTACTGTGCTGTTACTATTTTTTTCTTTTTTCTTTTTTTTGTGTATGGTTGTATGTCTGTGTGTATTACTTGCACCTTTTATTTTTTATTTTAGTTCTATATTTATTTCCTGAGTTGGTATTTTAACTCTTGGTTGCCTCATCATTGAATAGGACATTTCTCGAACTTGTCTTTATTCCATTTGAAAATGATAAAAAAAAAAAAAAAACTTAGTGGATTTACCCAAAGTGTGTATGTACAGTTCTTTTTCTTTTCTTCTTATTATGAACATTTAAAAATTTTTTCTTTTTTCATTGTGCGTGATTTAATATTGGTACACACGTAATCATGTTTAGTGTTATCAAGGACACACACAAAAAAAAAAATAAAATAATAAAATAAAATACAAAATAAGCGCGGAGGAATATATTACGAAATCATTAAGTGATATAATATAAAAAAACAAAATATTGGCAAAGAACTAAACACGTTGAAAAAAAAAAAAAAAAATATATATTTACATGTATATATATAAAAAAACAGAGAGGTCTTTAAATGTTGTCAGAAGGAATATATCCATGCATTTTTTTTTTTTTTTTTTTTTTTGACACTCACAAGAAGGCAAAAATAGCAATACATGTGATGATAAATATGAAAAGAATAATGTTACAAATTATTTGAACCCTACTACGTCCCAAGTACTGTCTAGGGTTCCTGAAATGGATCGAAAAAAAAAGCAATATAAAAAATGTGTGCGTTTAAACGTATTGGGTGTTAATGGATATGCCATAGGAAGATTTAGAAAATAGAACAGCAACTGCTGCAATAAATGTGATCGTAAATGACGCTTACAGAAGCATGTAGTTATACCTGCTTGAAAAAAAATTTCGTATCCTTTGTGAAATGGGTTCCCCTGAACCGTTATCCAAGAGACCATGTGATGTGACATCTGGCATGTAGGCGTAATGTGGAGTGTTTATTAACCTTTCTGTGTAGCTGTTAAGCATAGGTAAATTACTATCGGCACTTGTTGTATTTGTACGTTGTAGGTTATTTATTTCATGGTAATATTGAATTGAATATTCCTTATCTTTCTCAATTTGTAATTGTTTATAAGCTTGTTCCTTTTTAATTTTTTCATTAGTTTCTTCTTCTGTCTTTTGCTTTTCTAACATTTCCTTTTCAATCATCAATCTTTCCTCGTACTTTTTTTTGTGGATTTTTTTATATTCCTCTAATGTATCTGTCTCTAATAACTTTTCTTTCATTCTTTAAGTGGTGAGAGGGTAGTTGACTCGTATGTGAAATGTTATGGATCGGCACATTTATACTTGTTGTGTATTTGGGTATGCAAATAAATGTATGCATATGTACGTGATTATATGTGTGAATAATCAGGGATGTTCCATTCGAGAGTGACATCTACACTCACAAAATAGATGATAAACTATGCGAAGTTAGGTGCTACAATTGGCTGTATCTTGTTTTACTTCTGATTATGCTTCTTTTTTTTTTTTTTTATCTGACCTCGTGTGTGAAGGCAAACGCGCAACTCCGTATAATTTTCTTTTTTTCAAATTTTTGATCTGGGAATGAAAATAGAATGTTACTTTACGGGAACTAAACTAACATTTACAAGGATTAGCAATTTGTCATGGTGCTTCTGTTGTATGTATATGTTTGAGTTAGGCACAAAGAAGTAATATATTTCTTCCCTTATATGCATTTTATATGTATTTATTAATCAGTGTTGTTTTTTCCAGTACAAAAAATTGATGGTTTTTTTATTCCCACTTTTTTTTTTTTTTTTTTGGATATGTTAAGAGGTCTGAGTAAGTGGTGATGTTTCTTTGACCATGTAGCTATTAAAGTGTGGTTATTCTAAAACATGTAGCGCAAATGGTTCTTTGCCACCTGCATAGGAAATTGTTTTCATCATCACATATCACACATATGTAAAGAAACTTTGTGGGAATTAGGAATAAGTTTTTTATACATAAGCATTTAAAACTGTTAATTGCCTACACCCCTTACCGGTTTGCAGATTATCATTTTTTTTTATACTTTAAGTAAACGTTCTAAAAAAGAACTTAATTCTTGAGATTATCCTAACCAATGACCTTTTTTTATTGAACAGGAAAGGTAGCAGGTAGAATAAAAAAGGTTCTTTTTTTCCTTAATTTTTTTTTTTTTTTTTTTTTTTTTTTTTTTCATATAAGCTTGAGTGGAAGGTGAATGGAAATAATCAGTTTAAAAGTCAAACGTTTATTTAATAATTATATGCATATGTTGTTTTGTTGATATATGAACGGTGTGAAAAGTAAAAATGTATTGTCAGAAACTGAAACATAAACAAAAAAAAAAAAAAAAAAAAAAAAAAAAGAATTTTCACAAATTTATTAATAATAAAAAAAAACTAGAAAAGACGATTAATAAGTACAAGAAAATTAGTGCCAAAACAAAGGTGAAAAAGGAAAGCCATGGTAAACGCATGATTGTGAAAGAAACGCAAAAAGGAAGAAGAGTGCAGGAAAAAGAAAAGAAGTGTTTAGAATGGAACAATTATATTTTAAGTATAACTTTAAGGGAGATAACGCACTCTGTAAAAATAAATACATATGCATATGTATATATACGACATGAAAAGTAATGACAAAAAAACATGTGAAGAAGAGAGTGGGAATAAACACACATTCAAGCTCTTGAATTGTGTTTCACCAGTTGTAGAATAAAATTTGGGGGTAGGAAAAATTAAGAAGAGTGCAATTTACAAGGACATGCAAAAAAAAAAAAAAAATGAAGAAAAATGTAGAAAAGTGTTATTGAATGTTTAATTCTTTGTGGGAGATAAACACCAATATGACAAAGGGGGAATGTGAATATTTTTGTTTTTTTAATTAATCAGAGGGAAGGAGTGCATAATAATTGTACACAGATTTTTTTTTTTTTTTTTTTTTTTTTTTTACGTAGTAACTTTTCCTTGTAGATTTAAGCTGCATTAAAAGATGCATAGTAATAGGGGTTACACACTAAAAAAAAAAAATAAAAGGATAAAAAGAAAAGAAAAAAAAAAAATCGAACAAAACATAAGGAGCAGATGAAGACTACCATTTTCTTGTCAGAATACATATAATACTAGCTGAGAAATAAAAAAAAAAAAAAAAAATATAGCCGCTATAATAGTATAAGCAAATTTTATATTTTTACAAAAGTAGACATATTTTAAAGGCGAACTTTTTTTTTTTTTTTTTCTCATCCTGTGGAAAATGTATTAATTATTGATGAGTTTCTGCACTCCTTTTTCGTTGTCCATGATCAATATTATTTTTTATTTTTTTCATTTAATATATCATTTTTTTTTTTTTTTTTTTTTTTTCCTGTTTTCTTTTAAACCCAACTGTGCATTGTGTATATCAGCATAAGATTCAGATATATTACGTATAGAGCTGGAGATCTCCATTTTATTTATTTGTGTTTTTTTCTAAAATACTTTCTTCGTTTACTATATTTTTATGGGAAATTTAATTTTTTGCAATACCGTTTTGTTCATTACCACTTTTTACATTACCACTTTTTGCATTTCCACTTTTTGCTTTACCACTTTTTGTATTACCATTTTTTACATTATAGTTTTGTTCATTACTATTTTTTGCATTACCATTTTTTGTATTACCATTTTTTACATTTCCATTTTTTATATCACCATTTTGTCCATTACCATTTTGTGCATTACCTCTTTTTGCATTATCGTTTTGATTGATTGTTTTAGATCTTGAATTTCTTATCCTTCCCGCTACACTTTGCATTTGTTCAAATTCTGTACTATATATTACGCTCGAAGTTTTGGGGATTTCATTTAAGGTTCGTTTTTTTCCTTTGCTTATGCTTCGTCCCCTACCAGCGCTTCGACCTCTAGGTGTACTTCGTCTCCCATTTGTGCTTCCATTCATACTTATGTTTCCGCCCCTACACATGCTCGCATTCCTCCCTATGCTTCCATTCCTCCCTGTGCTTCCATTCCTCCCTGTGCTTCCATTCCTATCTATACTTCCATTCCTATCTACGCTTCCACTCCTACTTGTGCTTCTACCCCTGCCTCTTCTCATACTCGTATTTGTCCTTTTACCCTTATTGGCACTCCTTCCCATACTTGTATTTCGTTCCTTTCTTGGTTTTCTTCCCCTGCGTGTGCTTCTTTTTTCCCCTATGTGATTTATATACACTTGCTTTTTTGCAGCATTTGTGGGTTCATTTTCTTTTCTGTTACGTTTACTTATATTCCTACATTTTATAAACAATAATAATACAAACGAGATAATGAGAATACTATATATAAGGTAAGAACATGCTCCTTGTATGAATGGAAAATTCTTGAGGCGATATAAAAAGGTTTGCATGCAAAGGGCACTTATTTTAATTATATTGTTCATTTTTTTGCAAATAAGGATAAATACCTTTCTAAGGTAGTTAAATGTTACATATTCTTCAACATATCTGTGTATTGTCATGTTTTCCATTCTTGAGAAATGAAAAGTTGCAATTTCGTAAAATATTTTTCAGGGAGTAAAATAAGAGGATAAAAAAGGAAAGGAAAGTTATACACACATCAGACGAGCATATATGCATATATATATATATGTAAAGACAGAGAGACAAAGAAATAGAATAAACAAAATGGATAGAGTGATAATTTTCTAGGTCTGGTGAAGATTTTACTAAATTTATGTCTATGCAAATGTGTGTACATTCAGTTTAGAAACGAACCGTGGGTGCATTGCTGTAATTATTCAATTTGTCAAGTTTATATATATATATTTTTCTTTTTTTTTTAGGTTGCATATGAGTAAAGAGCTACATTATATAATTGGACGCATGTTCACTATGCTTTAGGCTTCAGTTGGACATGCAAAAAGAACAAAGTGTGGACAAGTACATATATAAAACCAAGAAAAAATAAAATCAAGCTAGACACAAAGGAAATACAAATTTCCTACCCACAAGTGGAAAGTATGCATATTTTATGTATATATATATATATATATATACATATACTTGTGCCAAACTGTACAGACATATAAGCCTTTTTGCGTAAAATGGAAAATTTTTTTTTTTTAAGGAAAATATACTAACACTTTTAAAAGTTTTCCCTTTTTTATTTTATTTTATTTTTTTTTAAACTGAAAAAAAGTGCACCCTATTGTAAGCCCACGCAAAAAAGCAAAACAAAATGCCTAATTTTTTAAGTTAAAAGAGGATAAAATTTAAGCCTTTTTTGAAAAGGTACATATATATGCTTACATGCTGAAGGGCGAATATGTATGCATGTATTTATTTCTACATAGAAAGAGAAAAGAAAAAACATATTATAACAGAACAAGAATGAAAAAAGAAAGAAAAAAAAAAAAAAAAAAAAAAAAAAAAAAATTGACAAGGGGGAATAAGTTCATATACATTTTTTAATGTAATAATTATACTCGGGTTGGGGGACGAAATTACTATAACTTTTTTTAAAATTAGACAGTAAATTCATAGAATAGTGTTCTTCAGTTTTTACAGCTTTACTGGGAGAAAAATTCACTATATTATATTGAATATAGTTTGTTTGATAATGGTTGTAAAAGTATGCAAATATATGTACTTATTTTCGTTCATACATATGTTTGTACACATTCTCTTATGTGATATCTGGGAATCTTTGCAAATTTGGAAAAATTAAAAAAAAAAAGAATACAGAGGAACAAAAAATGAAAAAAAATCGCATATTCGTTAAAATAGGTACAATATCATTTGTGTATATTTTGCCAATGGAGTTAACAAAATTTGGGAACAAAATTATATCCTTGAATTACTTTGAAGTTTAAAAAAAAAAAAAAAAAAGGCATACATACAGTCATCTTGTTTGAATGCTAGACGTGCACGTCTTTGAAATTCTGAGTAAGGTTTATTAGTGAAAAATGTTCAACTTATTATTTGTAGGAAATAAAAAGAAAAAACCTTTGTAAAACAATATAATAAGTTAATGCGATGATTCATAGGGGGAAATGGGTATATAATACCCCTTGTGGATATTTTCATCTGTTCATATGTGCATTTATGTGTTCAGGATTGTATTAGAACACGGCAGTGTGACTAAAACGAATTAAAAATGATGTCTATTATGAACAGATCCACATCAACATCTACATATGTATGCTCATGTTTACATTAATCATGTGAAATATGAGCACATAAATATCCAACTTGTATATGTAGACACACGAAATATTACCTAGTCTATGCACGTATATTGGAATATATTCAGTTCAAAGGGGAGTTAATTTATACATTTCGATTTCCAGTTGTTTCAGGGATTCTATATAATTGTTATTTGTAAAAAATTAGGGAAAATTACTTTGCACTATTTAGTTCTATTTTTTTTTTTTTTTTTTTTTTTTTGGCTCTTTTTAGAAGTTCTCACTTTTTATCTTATTTATTTGCTTTATTTTTATTTTTTTTTTTGAAGTTATTTTTTCTCTGTAAAACAGTAATAATACAGTGATTAAAAAATAAAATAAAAGGCTAGCATTTGAGACAAAAAAAACATGAAATTAAAAAATGGTAATTCCTTCATGAGAAGCACTTAAAACATTTTTCATTCTCTTAAAATTACATTTATGTTTGAGGGAAGAAAAAAAAAAAAAAAAAATGAGCATCAAAAATAAAAATAACAATATTGAAAATATGGCAAAAGTGAATGGTAAAGGTGGTAATGAGAATGATGAAAGAAAGAATAGCGAAAATGTGCTGGAAATGAAAAAAAATGACATAGGATATGGATCAAAAAATGGAATCAACAATGTTACATATGGAGAGGATAACGCTGAAGAGAAAGGGAATTCCATGGATAATGCTGAAACTAGGATAAGTAATGAAGATGCTCTTTTTCACATTAAGGATGGGCTTACACAGCTGGAAAAAACGTTGAAGGGAGATGGATATGCATTTAGCAACCTAATTTGTAAAAATAAAAATTTGGATCATATTCCAAAAGAAATAGAAAAATATATACACTTGAAATACATAAATATGTCTCATAATAAAATCGAAGATATAGACATGTTATATGAGTTAAATAATGTGGTTTTTTTAGACATATCCTATAATTTAATTAAAAATTTAAAAAAAATAGCAAGTCTTTGCTTGAAAAACTGTGTATATTTAAATCTGTCTCACAACTTAATTAAAAATGTAGAAGACATAAAAATGACAAATATCATTGAATTGGATTTATCTTATAATAATATAGAAAAAATGAATATTTACTTTTCTAATACTGTGAAAAAATTAAATCTATCTAATAATAATATCAGCAATTTAGACTTTAAAAACAAGTTAAATGATTTGGAATCGTTAGATTTGTCATCTAATCCTATTAAAAATTTAGAATTCTTTGAAATTACGCCAAATATAAATTATTTAAAAATTAACAACAATACTACATTACCTATTAGTCAGCTGGCTAATTTAAATAGTTTCAAGGGGTTACAATATTTGGATATGCAAAATTATTTATATTTTAAGGATATTTCATATGAGGAGGTTATGCAAATTCTTATAAAGAATACGAAGGATATTAAGTTGAAAATGTTTAATGGAAAACTTATAGACAACAAGGCGTAACGAAGTGAGGGTGTTGTCGAATGATGAAATTGGGTTCGATTTTTTTTTTTTTTTCTTTCTTTCTTTCTTTCTTTTCTTTTTTTTTTTTTTTTTTTTTTTATCATGTAAATGATTACTGTAACTGTTGCATACACATTAATGTCAATGTTTCCTTAATCATGCATCGCGTGGATAAACAGAACATATATATAAACTCACCAAGTCCGATGAGGGAAAACCACAGGGAAATTAAAAAAATTAGAGTCTAATGAAGAAGTTACTGCGATGAAAGACGGTTATTTATTTTATTTTTTTTCAGTTCTTCATTTTATCTACATTGAACTGAAGTGGTAAAATAACTTAGACAAGGATAATACCTTTAAAAGTGTTAGCGATGGGTTTGAGTATATGTGTGCGTCCGTATGTAAGTGTATATATATATATATATATATATAAATATGCGTTTTCTTTTCGTGCAGACTTTTAACGTGAATGAAAAGAGTATGGGAAACTTCTTCCTTCTATATAGAGACCGAGTAAACCACGCGAATGTATTTTTTCCCTCCTTTTTTTTATAAACAATTCGTGTACGGGTTGAACTAAATGCATCACAACGTAGTGGAAAGCATGTTAAGGCGCGAAGTACATAAAAATGTACACACATTTATATATACGTATATATACATATATATATATTTTTACTTGGTTTTATTTTTTTCTTCCCTTTTTTAAGGGTAGTGTCTACCTACTTGTTCGTAAAACGTGTGTTGAGTTCTACAAAAACTGAAAAAAAATTTTCGCAAGGGATTAAAAAAAAAAAAAAAAAAAATGCATTCCTTAAAACTATTCCCAGTTGTTTTCACTATCACGTTGGAGGGTTATGAATTTTTTGCATTTGAGACATTTGAAAGTTCAACATCATATATATGAGTTGAACGAACTAACACAAACATTAAGCAAGTTTTCACAAGCATAAATGGATTCCTGTTTAAACACATTCTTCCTTAATTCTGCCTTAATTTTTACACGAGAGAAATACAACGGAAGGATAAATAAGGACAAGAAAAAAAAAAAAAAAAAGAAAAAAAAAAGCGTTAAATATGTGTTCATGGTACTTTTTACAACATTATGCTGGTTGAGCATTTCATTTATAAAAGTATATCTCTATATTATGTGTCCCAAAAAAAAAAAAAAATAAATAAAATGAAATAAAGTAAAATAAAAAAGTTATGATGAAAAGAAAGAAAAGAAAATCGCTTTATTTTTGTTGTAAAAAAATATATATGCATATTTATGCAAATTTACATATTCACATATTATAGTGTGATATTTATTCGTATATATATTTATATACACACTCCCTGTAAACTTGAAATGTAGATATTATGAAGGAAAAAAAAAAAGAAAAAAAGAAGAAAAAAAAAAGCGAACACATATATAATTTAAAATTTCGTTCTTACATACGTATATTTATATGTATTTGAATACATTTATGTGCCCTTACTCTTACATTTTGTTACTCATATACTCGAACATGTATCTGGCAACACATACAAATATATATACATTCACGTACGTGTGTAATTATATTTTTTGTTCCCCTCTCTTCCCCAATTAATTTTTATTCTCTGTCGTGTTTTATTTATGATTGGAAAATAAAAGAAAAAAAAAAGAAAAAAAAAAAAAAAAAGGAACATTTGTGTGAAAAAAAATTTTGTGATGAAGAAATTATTTGTTTTTTTCATGTTACAAGGCATTTGTATTCGAAAAAGAATAAGAAAAAGGTGAATAAAAAAAAGGGGAAAAAAGGAAAAGTCAAAACGAGTGAAGCTAAAATAGCGAGAAAAGTTGAAGGCACATGGAATAAAAACATGGAAGAGATAAAAAACACAGGTGAAAAAAAAAAAAAAAAAAAAAAAAAAAAATAGATAATTAAATAGCGTTTTGATATTGAAACTAAATCGAAATCAAACACAGTAAAAAATAACGAAAAAATAAGATATAAATTAGTTCCCCTACACAAAAAAAAATTTATGTGAACCAGTAGACCATAAAAGTGGCCACAGAATATGGCAAACAAAAAAAAAAAAAAATTTGTGAGAAATATGGGGAAGAATAAATATTCAAAAACAACTACATTCGACAGATAGATTTTTTTTTTATATATATATATATCCATCGACACGAATAACTTTCTCTAAGAAATATACCATGGCAACAATGTAGGAACATTTTCACACCTTTGTTTTTGTTAATTTTTTTTCCTCCTTTTCATGACTATTTTTTTGTAAGCGTTGTGAAGCTTGTGTACACAAGATATTGCATAAACCTCGTTTGTCATAAGGCACACACACTTTACCCCTTGCATATACGTTTGCCGTATTTGCAATATATTTACCAGGCCTAACATGTGTATGTTGTTTTTACAAGTGCGTATATATGTATGTTGTGTGCGTGCATGTATTTATGTATATATGCGTGTGTGTATGTATATATGCATGTGTGTATGTATATCTGCAAGTGTGTATGTATATCTGCAAGTGTGTATGTATATCTGCAAGTGTGTATGTATATATACAAGTGTGTATGTATATCTGCAAGTGTGTATGTATATATGCATGTGCCTATGTATACCTGTATGCACATATGCATGCGCTTGTAATGTCATTACTCCTTCCGTTCTTATTTGCCTTCCACATAACATTCCCTAAAAGTTTTTTCTTTTTGACCCATTTTATGCGAACACACGGTGTTATAAACATTGTGAACTTGTGATTTTTTTTTTTTTTTTTTTTGCATTTGCAACGCCCGTCCAACCAGTAGGATTGGAGGGATCATAATCTTTGGCAGCACCCCCGCATAAGCAAATATCTTTACTGATATAATACGAACATTATTCATATTTCTCATGCATGAGAACATAAGATTTTGAAAAAGGAAAGATGAAGAATGAAGAAATTTACCTCAAGTCTCAAAATGTTGATAATAAAGATATGGTAAGTAAAACAGATCAGAAAGATGAAAAGGATGATTCAAATATGAATAGAATTTTGCACGGTCAGACAAATGAAATAGAAACAAATATAATCTGTCATTCCGAAAATATAGAGAATAAAATATTTGATATAGATAACAGCTTTAACAATAAGCAGATATCAACAATAGAAAGTGAAAACAACCTGAATGACGAATACGAATTTGGATGCGTTAAAGAAATTTTGAATGACCAGGAAATACAATCTATTTCAAAAATCATGAGAAGTAAGCATATTAATTATGAGAAAAATACATCTTCTGAGAATAATTTAGAAGATGCCAATTTGATTGTAATAAAAAGTGATGAACTGGTGGACAATTATCAAGGCGAAACTTTGAATAGAATAGACACGTTGGACCATGGTGGAATCCTAATAAACCATGACGATATATGCAAAGAGAACATTTCCAAAAATATAGATAAGCGTGAGAATGACAACAGAGGTAGTATCAAGAATTGCGAAATCAGTGAAATCGATGGAGAGAATAATGAAACAAGTTCAAGCCATATTTTCAAAATGTCTTATGTGGAAAAGGGCGATGGGAGATGTGCCAACTTGAGCACGCCACATGATAAGTTTTTTGATGAAAAAATGTCATACCCAAATGATAGTAATAATGTTCAATATAAAAAAGTAGAAGAAAACGAAAAGGAGTATACCTATTTTCATAAAAAAGAAAGGAATGACAACAAGGACTCGATAGATAGGGGAGTCAACATGGATTTTAATGCAGTAGAATCGGATAGAAATTTTTACGATGAACAAGATATAGAAATGCGATACCAGAGGCCTTTCTATGAGAAGGTCCAGTGGGTCCCTTCGGAGAGGAAATCCGATAAAGGGGGCGAAAACGAGAACAGAAACGAGAACAGAAATGAGAATGATAACAGGGATGAAAACAATAACGGGATCGAAAACGATAACCATAAGGGGGACGGAAACGAGAACGAGAACAGAAACGAGGACGAGAACAGAAACGAGGACGAGAACAGAAACGAGGACGAGAACAGAAACGAGAATGAGGACGGATACTACGACGAAGCACATTCATGCATTGTTTCCGTTTCCTCAAAATACACCATGGATTATGAAGAAGCTGATCATAGTCACTGTGAAAATTACTTATCCCAAAAGAGTTCAGATAAATCTGAACAGGAAATTTCAAATATTATTTCCTCGCCTAAGTGTGACGAAGATGGAAAAAAGAATTATTCAGATTTTGAAACGAGAGAAGTTAAAAAAAATGGAAAAACAGAAAGTAGTTCCAACCCACGAGATAAACATTCTTATGATAATTACACAGACGATAATGAATTCCACAAAAACCATAGTAATGGTAATATAGTTATCACATTAAATAGTTATGAAAACAGCAATAGAAATATGGACGCAGATGATCTAAAAACTAAAATAGACACAAATATTTCTGTCATAACTAATGAAAATGACATTGTGAAAAGTGATAAGACGAAAGAAGAGGGAATTTCATGTGATGAACAAAACGATGAGAATAGTAGCAGAACGAATGAGAAGAATGGAAATATCAATGACAACAGTGATAACAGAAATAGTAACCATCCTAGCAGTATTGATGATTCACATGGAGTTAGTAATAATAACGGATATGCAGACAATTTAGTGGAACGGGTTAACAATTCTACAAAATTATACAAGGATGTCAAAAATAGCTATAATATATGGGCTGAACAGGGAGGCGAAAAGGACAAAGAGGAATTAATTAATGAATCCAAAGTTTCTTATGAGAATATTTTAAAAAATTGCATAAACGAAAAGGGAGTAAATAATAAAAACGATCATGAGAAGAAGACTGAAGATTATATCATGATGAACACAATTGTGCATCATAATGAAAATTCTAATGAAAATTCTAATGAAAATTCTAATAAAAATTCTATTGAAAATTCTATTGAAAATTCTATTGAAAATTTTGATAAGGAGATATTTTATAATGAAAAGAGCACGATAATTCCTGTAAATGTAGAAAATGATTTGAACGTGACTCAGATGAAATCCTCAATTCATGATGCAGAACAATCAATGGAACAGAACTCGAATGTTACTACTATGGATAACCCCACGAAGGAAAGCAGTAAAAGTGATGTCAATGGGTCTAGTGATGGTTATATCCTTGGTACTCGTATTGTCAATAGAGACTATTTCTTTAAGCAAGAACAAAAAGGAATTTCATCGGAAAGTAGCGAATATATGAATAATAATGCTGGTTCAAAATATTTGAGAGTAACAAATGAGTGTAGTTCAAATGGGAATGATAATATGAACAGTTCACATCCTTGCATGAAAATAAGTAACAATATAGATGAAACGATAAATAGTACGATAAGTGACAATGCAAATGAATACCCATTAACTGAAGATGGCAGTGAAACAAAAAAACCAATGGATGAACCTAAAGTTGAATCCTTCAATGTTGAAATGAATTACACATATAACAGTATTACTAATAACAATAAAAGACGGAGAAACAATTTTACAAATGATGAAATGATCAAAGAAAGAAAGTTAAACACAGGATCACAACCCATGTATGAAAACGTAGATAGTTACGTGAATAAGAACCTTAACGAGCATGTGAATAAGAACCTTAACGAGCATGTGAATAAGAACATCAACGAGCATGTGAATAAAAACCTTAACGAGGATATGAATAAAAACCTTAACGAGGATATGAATAAAAACCTTAACGAGGATATGAATAAAAACCCTAACGAGCATACGAACAAGCAATTATGTGCTACGGAAAAAGGGAATAAAACACATTTCGAAAAAATTCATACAAGTGTAGAAAAAAATATTAATCTCCAACAGGGATATAAAAATTTATCAAATGAACATTTTGTAAACTATTCTAAGGAGAACCATGGGAGTTTCACTTCAGCAAACAAGAACAATGTTATCAGTTACTCTACTTATGATAATGAAAATATTTTTATGAAGTATAACCCTATTGGGGATTCTAATATACTAGAACAAGGAGCTCATGTAGACGTTTATAATAAGAGTGCATATAATCATAGTTATGGAATTACCAGTGGTGATGATATAGATCCTCCTTGTAAAATGCCTAGAAGCCATAACATTAATGACATCAAAATTGATGATAATACAAATGATATTTCAGAACACATTCAGTTGTTAAATAAAAGTGTGAAAGATAATTTTGAAGAATATATAGATGTGGAAAATGAAAATAATAACATGTCGGATGATTGCAAAAATTCGAGTGATGATAACGCTGAAAAAAAAAATTCAAGTCATTTAGATCTAGGTGATAAGAAAAAAAATAAGCCAGACTGCGAGACATTATTACCAATAGCTAACATAAGTAGAATTATGAAAAGAATTTTACCAGCATCTGCTAAAGTGGCTAAGGAAAGTAAAGATATAATACGAGAATGTGTTACTGAATTTATTCAATTCCTGACTAGCGAAGTAAGTGAAAATCAGCAAACGGGCAAGGTGGTATGGCACGAAAGCATTTAGCGAAGGAAAAAAAAATAATATAATAAAAAAAAAAAAAATTTGCCATAGCTATACCAATATACGATGGCGGTGGTAAAAGTCATGATAGTGGCAAGGAGATAAACCTATTGATCCCATATGTACAATACACATAAAGAATTTTTTTTTTTTTTCATGAGTAGGCTAGCGACAGATGCCTTAGAGAAAGAAGAAAAACTATCAGTGGCGAGGATATCTTATTTTCCATGGAAAAATTAGGTATATCTATATTGTAGACAAAATTTTAGCATAGTTTTTTTTACTAAGGCTTACTTTGTTTTAAATTGCATTCACATATTATCAACCGTATATATCTGTGATTACATAATTCTGAAGTTCAATCTATAGAACAACAAGCATTTATAGAAACACTCCTTTTTATAATTTTTGAATATTGTTCTTTATTATCACCTTTATTCTCTTCACACATCTTAGGATTTAACGATTATGTGGAACCCCTATATGAATACCTGACCAAGTGGAAACAAGTGAGGATAAAATGAACTTAAAATATGAAAAAAAAAAAAAAAAAAAGAAAAAAAGTGAGGAGAAAAATGAAGAAAGTACACATTTGAGACGAGAAAAAAGAAACGAATGCGTATTTGACATAAAATTTTGAAAAAAAAAAAAAAAAATTTTCATTTTTGCAGCTCAAAGGAATGAACAATAACTCCAATAATTGTCAAGAAAAGAAACATGAAAATTCTAAACTTCCTCTTAAGGCAAATACGACAATGAATAAAAACACAACTGAAGTTAACTTGAATAATAATACAATTATCAACAATGGAGGAGACAATACAATTCATTCGAAGGATAGCAATAATATGATGAATGTATATAGGAACACAAATGAAATCTTTGAAAACAATATAAATCATTTGTACTAAAATTCCCATACAAAAAATAATTGTGCCAAGAGATTTTAAATTTTTTATAAATATATTTATATTGATGTGTAGAGATATAAGTGCACACTTTATATTTGTTTTTTTTTTTTTTTTTTTTTTTTTCGCTATTTTATTTTTTTAATTTTGTTTGTTAATGATGTTGATGTATTTATTAGTTGATTTAAAAAAAAATGATAACGTGAAATTACACAACTAGAAAAGTTATAAATGTTAGGTAATTCATAGCGATGAAATAACTAGTGCGATTTGTTGTTTTCTCTTTTGAAAATTCTTTTGTATGCATTTTTTTTTTTTTTTTTTTTTTTTTTTTTTTTTTTTTTTTTTGAAAAAATTTTTTTATTTTTTTTTTTTTTTTTTTTTTTTTTTTTGGAAAAAGATGTTTTACGTTTATGTACTTGTTTCACCCATTCACGTGAACATATATATATAATATATATGTTTTTTTTTCATTTTTTAAGACAACGTAGTATGATTTACTTTTTTGTAAACGTTTTTATTAACTGTCCTGAGTCCTCTAGGCGTTTGAATTTCAACTTTTTAACGTCGCCATCGAAGGCCAATACCACCTCTTTATTCATAAGTATATACATAAGATATGGATATATGTATCCATCAATTTTCAAAAAGTTTCAACTTTCTGATGGTATCTGCTAATTGGGGGGAATGAGACAAAAGGATTGATAAAGAAAGAAAAGAACGAAAGAACGAAAGAACGAAAGAACGAAAGAAAAAAAGAAAAATAAAGCATGTCATGTATGCATATTCATACTGGCAATGGTGTGAACATAGAAAAAGTTGGACAAGCATGTTCATAAATTTTTCAAAAATGTGTAACCTTCATTAAAAATAAAAAGGCAATTAAATAAAATTTGTAAAAACAAAAAATATACAAATGGGAATAAAAAAAAAAAAGAGGAAAAATTGCACATGAAAGTTGGCGAAAAAAATGTTATTGCACATTGGGGAATATGCAACATTTGAAGGATAGCTAAAATATGATGTACAATTAGAAGAGTTATTTTTTTTTTTTTAAATATATTTGTCACTTTTTTGCGTTTATCTCTCGATACATGGACACTACATTCTTATTGAACCCTTTTAAAAATGCCTTATCGTTCGTTTGATTGTCCAGTTCAATTGTTGGAAGAAAAAAATCATAAGATTTTTTTAATTCGTTATAATCGTAATTTGTTATATTTAAGGTTTTTTTCCCGTTCTTTAGGCATACACTGTATTTTTTTTGGTATATATTTTGAAGAATATTTGCCAACTTATTAACATTTATAAATAAAGAGATATTTGTAAAATTTAATTTTATTAGGATTTTTATTTTTTCATTTAATTTATTCACTTCCATTTTGAATAATTTATCTATGTCTGCATGGATTTGTTTTATATCATTTGTATTTTTTATTAAGTTATCATAAGTGTGTAAATTTATTTCGTTAGTTGAAGAAGGGGATTCTTCTTCTTCTTCTTTTTCTTTTCCCTCCATACATATGAATGAATGGATAATGTCAGAGGAGGCGGATATATCCTTTTCTTTATTTTGACTGCACATGTTAATATCATTTTGTCTTTCCTCTTGATTTTGGATTGGTACGTTACCTCCCACAGTGTTTAAAATAATGTGTTTTTCTTTTGGGGAGCAGAACATGGTATCTTCGTTTTCGATTTCAGACAAATGGGAATGAGATTCATCGGAAGCATTTGAACTGAACTGATTTGTTTTCTCTGGTTCTAAATTTTGATCTACATAAGTTTCAGGTTGAGAGTGATTATTTTTAACTATTGTTTTTGCTTTATCTTCCTTTGAATGTATGAGATGATTTAAATATTGCTTATTTTTAATTAACTCTTTCTTTTTTTTTTTTAAAATTTTTTCAAGATAATTTTTATTTGCTTTTAATTCTTCCTTGTTATTTTCCTCAGATTTTATAATTTTAATTAAATTGTTTATTATAGAATTTTTCTGCTTAACTAAATCTCTATATTTTTTTTGAATAATATGGGTAAACAGAATTAGCAATTTATTCACCATAGCATCAGTACTATTGTTTACGGTTTTATATTTGTTCTTTCTTTTGTTATAAAAATGTGTTTCAAAATTACAAGTATGATCACTTTTATTTTCTTCAACTAATAAATTATAATCTTCAAAATTGGAATCGAAACTTTCGTATGAGTTTTCATCGGAGCTGGGGTTGCTGCGAGAGCTGTCCGATTGTGATGAGCATTTGGCTATCTTATTTTTTTTAATTTTCTGTTTAATCATTTTGCATCTTTTGGCGAATATTAAACTGTTTATGAAATCTTCTATTTTATGACTGTTCAGGTTTAAGCAGATTAAAATGTACGTAAAGGAGTTCCCGTTTAAGCTGTTCTGAGGGAAGGGAAAGAGAGGAAAAATGTAAACATATATATATATATACATACATACATACATACGTACATACATGCATACTTACAAGCCTATATGTGTGTGTATGTACTTGAGGAGAGGATTCGTATACCACTCAGGAACATGATATAATAAAATGAGAGATTAAAACAAATAAGTGAAAAAACAAAAGAAAAGATAACAAATGTGGTATTTTAAATCAAAATAATTAACTTTTGTCTTGACAAGACATGGAAAACTCAATTTTTTTTAAGTAAATTTTTTTTTTTTTTTTTTTGAAAAAACTACTTTTAGCAATCTCGTCAGTTTGGAATCTCTATAGGGAATATGCACATTGGGGGAGTCACAGTCTTCATTTTTTAATTGTTCATCTGTTTTTATTTTATTAGAATTTTTAACGATTTTATTTTTTGTACTTAGAGCAATTATAACTCGATTCAGAATAGACAATGTGTTGTTGATGTATATAAGCTCCTTTTTGTTAACCATCCTTTGAGGAAACAGAGGAGAACATGTACGATGTGTTCATGGGGTGGGAAAGTAGCGATTCCTTTTTATATACGAGTTCATTTGCAAAGGAAATACTTTTTTTTTTTTTCTTAAATTTCCATAATAAACCTAACTCTATGTCATTAAATTTTTCGGATCCGGCCAAATCGATGTAGTTTATCTGAGAAAATAGTTCCTTTTCTCTTGTAGGAGGGATAATCGGAAATGCATATATGTATATATGCACGGGATGTGAACATGAAAATATGCAATCAATCAGTCAACGAGTCAACGAGTCAACCAGTCAACCAATCAATTAGAAAAATGAGCTAAATTGATACTCGAAACTGTTATATACAGTTGCTAAACATGACGAAAGGCTGAGCTGGAAATTTCGTACTTTACACACTGGTGCTGATAAACAGTCAACATACAGTGGGACCTGGATGATACCAAATTTTTTTTTGTTGCATAGGTTTTCCTATATCTAAAACATAAGTCAATAATGTTCGAGACCTAGGAAAAAAAGGAAATCAAATATGCGTTGAAAAGAAAATGGACACGCATTTATATATATATAAATATATATATATATTGGGGCAAATCATTTACAACTGAATAACACCATAATATTCCCTTACATCGTCAATGTTCTTTATAGGTAGCATGGTTATATTTTCCACGTATGTCTGGAGTTGTTGCAGGGAGTTGTTAGCATGAGGTAATAAATATGCAGAATAATTTTATTTATATTTTATTTTTTCTACTTATTTATTTATATTTTCGATATTATTTTCCTTTTTTTTTCTTTTTCCATTTAACATTCCCTTTTTCATCTTCCCTAATTATACTATCAAGAAATTGTGAGTGCTGCTTGATCATGTCATCAGTGGTTGTTGCCAACTGAGATAACTGAAATATCTTTCCTTCACAAAGGGGGAGAGTGATAAATGGAATGACATTTTAAGTATATGTTATTTGAAGGAAGATACTAATATTTACTTTTGTCCTAATTTTTGCTCTAATTTTGTCCTAATTTTTGCTCTAATTTTGTCCTAATTTTTGCTCTAATTTTGTCCTAATTTTTGCTCTAATTTTGTCCTAATTTTTGCCCTAATTTTGTCCTAATTTTTGCCCTAATTTTGTCCTAATTTTTGCCCTAATTTTTTCGTAAATTTGCCTTTATTTTGTCCTAATTTTGCCTTTATTTTTTCGTAAACTTGTGACTATTTTGCTCATATAGGGAGGCATAAAATAAATAGGTCTTACCCAGATCTCTAATTTTTTCGAGGTATATTTCAACTATAGACACCGAAATTTCAGCGTTCTGAAAAGAAGAAAAGAAAAAAAAAATGAACGTGAGGAACGAGATATTATTATTTTTTTAAATAAACCCAAAGATGCATATCCCATATACTTATACACATCCACATAAATTGTGATAAAAAAAAAAAAAAAAAAAAAAAAAATGCACTTTAAACGTGCCTTGTTCACGTTAGGTAACTGAAAAAAATAATTCAGGGAGAAGTAAATTAATCCATTGTTCTGATTATTATGGGAACCCATCCTGTCCCCATATAGGGTGTATGTTTTCCCGCTGTTCGTGTTTCCATAAGCCAAAATGGAACTGTTATATCCATCTTGTAGGAGGAAGAAGCAAAAAAAAAAAAAAAAAAAAAAGAAAAAAGAAATTAAATTAAATAAAAAGGAGGTAAAACGAATCAAGGAATAGTGACATGAATAGGACTTAATAAATTATTATGGTGAAAAATCCACATATAAATGAGCACATGGTTGCGTCTAATGGGACCTCGGCTACTTTAGCTATTACTGATGAAGTTGTTTATGAGGTTCTTTCCTATTAATTCAAATATATCACTTTGCTTAATGTCAACATCAAAAATATAATTAAAGTTAAAAATTTTTGTTTTCAATTCGTTTGTATCATTGTAGCTTTTTTTTTTTTCGAATAAGTGCAACTGATTATTGTTAACTTTATATATTGCGCAGTCCTCTTTTTTCAACTTCGAGAAATTGTCTATGTTAGGTTTAATTCGTAGAAATACCTTGATATTTTCATTCATGTTTATGTATAAATTTATTTATGTTCTATTTTTTTTTTTAAACATTAACCTGAGTATCTATTTGGAATGTAGCTATTCAGGGGAATTCAGAGGAATTCAGCGGAAGGTGTGATGGATGATGTATAGGTCATACATACATGCGTATGAAAATGTGTACATGAATAGATATGCAGCTATTATATGTGTATGTTTGTATATGCATATGTATATGTACATATGTGCAACTGTCTACATATGAACATATGTATCCGCTCGAAATCCCACTCCTTACGATAACGTCAGTGATTTCATGTAATCAAATATGACCAATCACTTTACTAGACAATCAGATGGAAAACGTTAAAAAAAATTATTTTTGAAGTCAATTTATTTTATGAAACATCTACTTTTCATGTGCATAGCATTAATACTACGATTATTTTCGGTCAATTTTTTTTTTTTTTTTCTTCACTTGTCTTGAGATCATTTGCAAAACGCTGCACTGATCGGCGGCAGCAATGGAGAAGAAAAAAATAATAAAAAAATGACAAAATAGTAAAAAAAAATGACATAATAATAAAAATAAAAAAAATGAAGAGAAAATACTTGAATAAAAGAAACTCAGCGTAAAACATAAAGAGATCATTTGCAAACGAATGCTGAAAACATCCCATTTGGTACTACATTAGCATCGCACCTGCCTTTTGTTCCTTGAGAGAATACATATTTCTTTCAATTAAAATTTTTTGTCTGTAATTTAGAAAGCAGTTTTTTAGACAAGTCTTTTTATTACATATGCTGATTGCAGTATGATACATGCTCAGGTATGAGTAGTTTGTTTACCCCTCTTCTTGTTAACTTTTAGGTGAAATTTCGCTTTTTGGTAGTTACACATTGGAAGTTGAATTAGATTTTACGTAAAATATACACATATGTGTATGTATGTGTACACGTATGTATATAAATAAAGATGGATTTAATTAAAAAATAGTACACGCAATATTTTGCTCCAAGTGAAAATGTGGACACGTCAAAAATGCTCTTCTATGTTTGTCTGCATATACGTGTATAAGTGTAGGTTCACGCAACATGAGTGTGCAAAATAGGTTAGGAGAAACCAAATTTCACGGGAAAATGACATAATACGTGCTTCTTAAAACTAGGTTCTTATTTAGAGCACAGCATGATAAACATCGTTTTTTCTTAAAATTGGGTCATGTGTGGACTAATTATAGCAAGAACGAAGAATTTTATTTTTTTTTTTTTTCTTTTATATTTCCGTGTTCATTTGAATAGATAAATTATGTGAACGAAAAAGGAAAATAAGGTTCTTATTTTAATCTTTCTTTATTTTATTCTTTCTTTATTTATTGATTTATTCTATTTTTTATTTTTTTATTTTTATTATTTTTTTCAACCGTGCTTGTCTATTGTTTATACTGGTTTGGATTTATACCTCCAGACAAGATATTTAAATCGAAGTTGTTCTGTTTAACCAATAATTCGTTAGTTTGCTGAAGCTCTTTTGCAAAATTTGTATTAATAAAAGTATTTGATATGTTAATAAAATTATTATTACCTTCAAGTATCTGAGATAAGTTGAGTGCAGCTTTCGAACTTGTGTTGTTCGTACTAAAAGAACTTATGTCAGATTTTGTGTGATTTTTTCTTTTTCGTTTATTTGTGTTATTTGAAAAATTTGATTTAAAAGCTTTTGAATTATCATTATTGAAATACTGACCATTTGAATTCCTATAGTACGGGTTAGATATATAATTATTTAGTGTTCCATTAACATAAGTAGAGACTCCATCATTTAAGTTTGTATATGCACTAATTTCATGCTGATGAGGTGTAAGAACATCATTATGTTGATTAAAATTATTATTAATTATTTTTGGAAAAAAATTATTCGTATTTATATTTCTGATTGTTATATCATTGTACATGTCATTAACAAATGTGTCAGTAAAAACTTGTTCGTTATTAATCATATTACTCTGATTTAAGACTTTGTTGTTGTTTCTGTTGGTGCCTTTGTTCATAATTTCGTTGTTAATAAAATTATTGTTTAACAGTATGCTTTTTTCACATATCCTTTCTTTATGCATTTCCTTCTCATTATGGCAGTAGTAGTAGTTGTTATTATTGTCAGCTGGTTGAATATAGCAGTGACACTCAGTTTCTCCATTGGTATAATTTGGAGAATAAAAATGAGTGTAATTTTGAGCATACTCATCTGCTTCATTTCTTGTCTCATTTTCGACCTCATTTTCTACCTCATTTTCTACCTCATTTTCGACCTCATTTTCGACCTCATTTTCGATCTCATTTTCTGCCTCATTTTCCCCATCCATACTAGGATCTTCGGTAGCTTCCTGACTATTGGTAGTATGACGACCTCCCTTCCTTTTTCCTTTATACTTGGCAACATTGGGCGTCTTATTACTTGCATTTGTTCGCTTCTCATAAGGGTGTACTTTGCCGTTTCCAAAGCATTTGTCATTATCACTACTATTATATTTTCTTTTTTTTTTATATTTACATAATTTTTTGGTGAGTCTAATAATTTTATTTTTATTATTAAAGAATTCACTAATATGTTCTTTATAAAAATGTAAAACCGTTTTGTCAATATCAATCATTCTTTTTCTTTTGGTAGTTCTTGAGCTAGCTACATTTTTGCTAAATCTTGTCTCCATTAATTTTAGGTTTATACAATCGATATCAATGTGATCTTCAGGAATATATTTATCTATTTCACTCGTGTTTAAATAATTATTTTTTAAAAAAGTTCCATGACTTCCATTACAACATCTGGGAACCCAGAGTAGATCATGTGAATTCGTTTTATTATGAATAATATCAATAATGCTGATGTAGAATTTCACTTTTCCAAATAAGTAGAGCATAGAAAAGCTGGATTTGTTTTCTTCGAAATTGTTTTCGTTTCCTTCTTTCATATCCTTGGAATTAATACATTCATTTATTATGATGTTATCATCTTGTATATCTTTCAAATTGGGGTTCCTTTGATCTGGCACTTCCCCTACATTTGTATTCCCTTGATTAGGGATATTTTCCATGTAATCATTAGAACCTTTCTCATTTATTTTTGTAACGAAACCTCTTTGATTTATTTCTTCGACATGCATAAAATTATTTATCCCTTCATTGTTCATATTTAGATACCCTCCTTGGTTTACATTATAATAGTAGTCTTGTCCTAAAATATTATTATCTGCATTTCCTAAGTTATTAATGTTGTACTTTGTTGAAAAATCATTTATGTTATCATTCTTCATGAAGATAGAAGTATCACATGTATAATCGTGGGAGGGATTTATAAGGTTGTTATTTTCCAGATATGGAGAATAATTTGCTTTAGGTAAGTCATATAAGTTACGATGTTCATGCTGGAGATTTTTTTGTTCATTAAATTGGTATCCACAGTTAGTGTAGTTTGTGGATGGAACATGAATCGAAGGATGGGTTAAACATTTTACACTTTCATTGTTAATAGAATCAGTTGCAGATAGTGTAGCAGATGTATGATGAATACATGAATTTTTGTCCCTACATGTAATGTGTCCCTTGGTACTGTTGATATAGTGATGGTTAGTTCCCACTGTTGTGTTATTGTATTCGCTCATTTTTGCAATCCTGATATTTTCCTTTTCTGAATTTTCTTTATTCTGACTTTGGAACAATTCGGAACTGGAATTGGTCTTATCTAACACTTTGTGCAATGAATTGGAATCAGCAAAATATGGAGGAGGATGTTCCTGCAAGGTTTTTTCATTTGTTATAAGGTTGTTATAATTCAGCTGAGATTTTTCACTCATATGTTCAGGGTAATTAAAATTTTGAAAATAAAGCGTATTTCTATCTGTGCTTAAGTTCGTCTTATGGGCACTGTTATAAGTATAATCAGCCATCTCAAGTGCTGCTGTATCTATGTTCATCAGCGTGTTTGAAATGGTATTTGGAGTGGTATTTGTAGAGTTATTTGAAGTGGTACGTAAACTATTATTATTTGAAAAATGTTTTCCTGCACTTAAGAAATTTGTGCCACTTTGATGATCTATAGGAAATGTGTTCATGTAATATTGACTATAGTTATTGTTATTGTCTTTGTTTTGTTCATTGCCTGTTTGCATACATATAGAATTTGAATTATTTGTTTTAAAATAAAGTGATGAATTAGTATCTACATTGCAATTTTTTTCTAAATTGTGTGAATATTGGGTTTTGTTAGCATTATAGTTAGTGCATTTGCCATAGGGAACATAATCCTCCAAGATTTTTGTCTTCTGGAAATCATAGGGATATTTATTTTGCGTGACATTGTCTCCTACACCTGATTCACCACTGCTGTTTAACGTACCACTGTTGCTTGGGAGGTTATTTCCTTCGATATAATTTATTTTTTTATTTTTGTAAAAATTTTCGTTAGACAATTTTGTGTTCCCGTGTTTAGTATCCCCTTTTACATGTTTGTGATGAAATAAACTGGATTCGTTTTTTCTTCTGAATTCATTCATCTGTATTGCTTCATTGGGTTCATTGATGTGATTGGTTGTGATATTATTATTATTATTGTTGTTTCCATTTGGAGTAATTATAATGCTGTTTTGTATATGCTCCAAATAAATCTTTTCTTTGCTGAAAGATATACAGTTTTCTTCATTATTAAGTTTTTCATTTAAATATGGTTCATATTCTAAAATTCCATGATCCTTCTCGTTGATACTGTTTGAAGGATTTTCATCCCTTTGTTCAGAAGTAGAAAAATTTGTATCTTTATTATCTTCATTAATTTTGTTATTTTTAAGGAATATATGCGTTTTTGGTTGTATAAAATTTTCATCTTTTCCCTCTTTATAATCAATTGTAGGATCTTTTTGTCGTTCCTTTGATTCCATTTTGTTATTAATAAAAATGGGTACATAGCTGTTTTTTTCACATTTTTCTATGCTTCCATTGTTTGAGGTATCCATCTCTTTTAACTCCGTATAACTGTTTAATTCACATTTTGTTTTATTTTTATTGGACATGTTAGGTACTTCCGATTTTTCTTGCACGTCACTTTCACCCTCCCCATGGGAAGAGTAAACCACCTTGTTATGTTCTTCCATTATATGTTCCTTTATGGATATATTTTTTATTTTCTCATTTTTAGTTAAGTCAGTGAAAGAGAAATTACTTATATTCTTATCACACATAAGGTTGGGACCGGATGTTGTTTGCAAACCGTTTTGTAAACATTCATAATTTTGTTCGTCGTTTATTTTTTCCTTCAAATTATTATTTTGTATTTGATAATCTGATTTATAAACATTTTTTCCCCCTTCTGTACCACTAAAAATGTTGTGAAAAGTGGAATCTTTGTTCTGTTCTGTATTTTTCAATGTGCTATTATTAATGTCATCATCTATAGTGTTTAAACTATTATGAGATTGTGCACTTTCCATTAATGAAGTTTTTTCTTTCGTTTTTAGGACATGGTAGGGAATGCTGGAATGTGTATAATTTTCAATTTTTTTTTCACACATCATTTTACTAATTGTGGGACTAAAATAATCTCCTTCGTTATTAGTTTTTTTATCTATCCCTTGTCCATTGCAAATGTCATTTTGTTTAATCTTATCTGAATGACAGTTAAATAAAATGTTCACATTTTCATTGGGATTATCATACGAGTTGTTACTAATTTTTCCAGAAGATTCATTATCCTTTTGTTCGTCTACACTTGTAGTTTTTTGCGCAAATTTGTCATCTTTATATTTGGCATTTTTTACCCTCATGTTTGAATTTATTTTATACATCTGCATGTTTGGTTGATTTTTTTTAATATCCTTTTCGCCATTCTGATTTTTTGTTTCGTTTTCTGTTTGATTTTCTCCTTCATTTATTCTATTCTTTGTTTGGTCTTTATCTCTTTCCTCTATGATATAACTCTCATTTTTGCTACCTTTTGGACTTTTTTCATGTGTTCCTTTGTAGTTTTTATTATCACTGAAATCTTGTTTTTCCTTATATACTTCTATATCTTGACATGTGTCGTGCATGTCGATATGTTCGTTATTACCATTTTCTTTTTTTCGACTCGATTTTCCTTCATGACTTATTGGTTTTGATTCTGTTATGCCATATTTTTTTCCACCATGGGTTTCTCTGTTTGTGTTCTGTTGTCTATCATTTTGATTATCATAATTGTGGGATTGTTGAATCTCCAAGTTTTCAATCGTTTCTTTTTGAACAACTTGGTTGTTGCGTTGATTGTCCAGGTTTGTGTTTGAATATACATTTAGATGAATTTTAGAAGAGGAATTGTTAATGATACAGGGAATGTAATCTTTATTTACATTGGAGTTGTTATCAGCAGATGCATTATACTCAGAGTTAACTTCAGCATTACATTTTCCAATGTGAAAGTTAGTATTCTCTTTATGTTTCATTTCTTCCTTGTTTTCTAAATCGTATTTATTTTTGAAATCCTTACCAGTATCTACACCTTGATGTTTTGAATCTAACCAGTAGTTATTTACCTCTTTGGTATTGAAATAGTTCTCATACGGTATATTGGAAACATGAGAAGCATCTAAAAATGAGTTATTGATAAAGGGGTTCATCTCAGATCCACTGGTATACGTGGAATTATTTGTAAAATGAAAATCATTAGACTGCATACACAAATTTTGCATGTTAACATGGAATGTTTCCCTATCATCAAAAGGGTTGTTCATTAATTTTCTATACCCCATGGGATTATCTTGATTATGTATATGGTCATTATAACTACAGATCCTTGTGTAATTTTTGTTATGAATCGTCTGCTCATTTCTATGGTTATAAAAAGAATAATTTATCATATTTAATGAATTTAGATTGTGAGAAATATCAGGTAAATTACTAGTGTTTGTTTGATTTGGAAGAAAAAAAAAATGGTTTGAAGAATTGTCGCTTATGGAGTTATTATCAACAGATGAATAATTTGAGTTGCTTATATTTTGTATATTCTGTATTTCATTTTTGTTACTTAAATTGTGTGTATGAATTGGGGGGTTATAATTTATATTGGCATTAAACGTGGGAGATGAATTCATGGCATAAAAAGAATTTGAATTCATGTCTAAATTTGTAAATTTGTCTTGTTCAACTATTTTGATACTATTTAAATGGTAGCTATTTACATCATTTTGTTCTATATTGTTTGTATAATTATTATTTGAATGGTAAGTGTCATCAGTTTTTGTAGGAGAAACTGTAGATATGATATGTTTATATGGGTTATTCTCATTAGTAGTGTTATTAAATATAAAATTCGTGTTTTCCTCCTGACGGTTTATGTATAGATAATGGTTGTCACTATCACAGTTAGTGTGGTTCAATTTATATGTTTCTGTATTTTGCTTATTTAGGAGTAGTTCTTCAGTAAGTGTCGTGTCATCACAAGAGGGTTGCTCATTATTGTGGAAGATGTTGTTGTTTTTACCATTGATATGATAATAATTTTCATTTTTCCAATTTTTTAAATTCTGTTCTTTTTTTCTCTTCACCTGTTCGTAATTTCCATCTATGATAGTTCTGTCTTCCATTTTTTGGGCATTTTCTTTTCTGGTATAATTGCCATCCATGCTGGATAGATTCACATCCCTGTTCTTATTTTCATTTATTTTGTGATTACCTTTTTGTAATTCTAGATCGAATTTATATTCGTTCAGATGAAAACTGTTGGAGGTTGTGTTTGTTTTCATATTTATGTTTTGAATAGGATACATATTTATGTTTATGTTCGGTATTCTTAGGTCATAATGTTGGTTATAATTTACATTACAGATTTCTGTATTCTCTTTGCTCATATTACCGCTGTCCATATTCTCTCCGTTCGTATGACCACTGTTCATACAAGAAGCACTTATTTTGTGCAAATTTTCTCCCAAATAATTGATCCCATTTAATATACTAGACTGGTTATTATTTTTAAAAGGAATAGTCCGATTACAAAATGTCCCGATGAGACTATCGCTGCAGTCATTCCTTCTGTTATTGATAATGTGATCACTAAGGTTTTGGGATGTATACCCCTCTATGTTATTGTGGAAAATGTCAGATGAATTAGTTAAGTTGTCATACTGATTTAAGCTTCCAGTAGTACTTAAATTTGATATGTTAGCATTGAAATTGTTTATAGATGTAACTTTATCGATGCCGTTCATCAGATCATAATTATCTATTCCATTTAACGTTCTAAAGTTTTGGTCATTCCTAGCGTGCCCCAAGTTTGCAAACATGCTTGAATTGGTATCATTACTCACGTTTTTGTTACCGTCCTTTGGGTTGCACATGATTTTCTCGCTTATGCATTTTCCAGTGACGTTTAGATCGTTCACGTTTATATCGTTCACGTTTATATCGTTCACGTTTATATCGTTCATGTTTATATCGTTCACGTTTATATCGTTCATGTTTATATCGTTCACGTTTATATCGTTCATGTGTGGGTTGCTCTCATTTGGGTTGCTATCATTTGGGTCATTCTCACTAAGATTATGCATTACCTCGTTCGGATTTATGGCAACATCGTAACGATTTTCCCTACTTGGAGAAGCCTTATCACTGAATGTGTTTACACATTTTGTTGGGAATTTTTTGTTAATGTTATTTTTATTTGCATCCTTTTCTTTATAAAGATATAGAGGGGTTTTTATTATATGCTTAAAGGTAATATGGCGATCTGTGTTTATTTGAATTTTCCTGATAATACTAACGCTACATTTTTTCCCGCTACCATAAATATTTCCATTGTTTAGTATAAAAACGTGCAAATAGTTATCCGTGTCTTCTTTTTTTACTCCTAAGCATATGCAAATGCATCTATGTATGTTGTATAACGTCATTCCGCTATGGATACCTGCAGAAGTTTATTCCATTTATAGAGGGGAAAGAAGAAAATATATCGCTCATATATATATATATATATATATGATGGACGATAAGAGCAAAAAGAGGAAGAAATAAAACATATGTATGATGTAGAAAAAGGAAAAAAAGAGAAAAAAAAAAAAAAAAAAAACACTTGTTGCAGTTTCTTATTAGCGAGGTGTTACCTATATATCGGCATATATATTTGTTGTTAAAAGAAGCGCTTATTTTGAGCTCAATTATGTCATACTCGTTTATGTTTTTATAAACACGAACATTTTTATCCATTGATGATTTGGGAATATTGGGAGTGTCCCTAATTATGCCTTTATTTCCATTACTTCCGTCGTACGCATGCTTTGCATCTTTAGTATGTGAATTATTAGTGCAATAAGAACTGTTCATAATTATATCAGAATTTTGGAAAACATTTTGTTTGTCTACTTTTTTATATTCATAATTAGATGTACCATCGCACGGTGAGAAATCTGCATTTTCCCCTTTTGCTGTAATTTGTTGGTTATAATCAAAACTATTATAACTCTTATTAGTTTCATTTAATTCCACCAAAGAATCTATCTTTATTTTATCATCGCTTAGATTATCTATATTAATAAATTTCTCGTTACTACTATTTGTTGTACTATGTAAATGATCTTCTTGAATGTTCTTACCTGTTGTGGTGCTTTTTCGTTCTTCAACAGGTGTAAAATGATTCGATAGGTTTGTAACCTTTTCAGCATTTGAAAAAGAAAATTTTTGTTTCGAATTTTTTATCACATTTTTTTCATTTTTAATTAAACTAATGTTATTGAAGGCAATATTTTGAGTGGAGTCATTGCACCCAATTTGATGACACTCATTTGGATTTGAATTATATGGGGAAAATATAAAATTGTCATCGTCGACTAATGGAAAAGATGTTTCATTTTTTATTTTTTTTAACTTTTCTATAATACTTTCAAAATGGTGAATTAGAGAAGGGTATAGTATTAATGACTTTGCTAAAAAATTCGAATAGAGAAATGTTTTACATAAATCATTAACACTTAATTTTTTAAAATAGAAATGCTTATCAATGTGGTTATGGCTTATTATTTTAATTAAGTTTTTTATATCATCTTTATTATATATGCAGTTGTTATCATTCTCGTTATCTAACGAATTTTTAATTGCTTCAGGGCAATGTTTTTTTTGTGTGTGAAACGAATAATCAATTTTGAAGTCATCAAATCCGTTGAAAAAGGACAGTTTTTTTTTGTTCCATTTTTCGTCCTTATAAACCTTAATTGGATTATTAATTTTTTTTTTTTCGTCTTCAAAATTCATTTTAAAAAAAAAAAGCAAAGCAAAGGAAAGAATTGAGATCTGTTGCTACCAAGCAAAGATCTCTATAACCCCATTTACATATGAATCGTGAAAAATGGAAAATACACGTATATGCCTACATATGTGTAATGTTAGTGTTCTACATAGACACAAAACAAATACAAGCATATACCTTTTAATGGATTTGTTTTAAATTAGTTTAATTTCATTTATAACTTTATAAAAAATAGGAAATGTGAAATAAAAAATTATTTATATATAAACACTTGTGTATATATATATATATATATATTTAAATACACGCCAACTTTGTAATTACACGGTGTTGACGAATAAACATAAAGAAGGAAAAAAAAAAAAAAAAAAAAAAAAATGGAAGATAGGAGAAATATTACAGTCTTTTTGCCATTTAAAAGAATAGAAAAATTGAAGAAATAATTACACTTAAAAAAAAAAAAAAAAAGATGAAAAAAAGAAAAACTAAAAAAACAAAACAAAACAAAACAAAACAATGAGTCAACTTAAAATAAGTTTAAAATACCTTATTGTATTACTTGACTACAGAACGCACACACACGCTAGGTGTACATACACATATAAAAAAGAAGAAAGTACACATGTGTACTCTAAATATATAATTTGTGTATCTTTTCCAAATGAAGGGATCAGCTTAGTGTAGCATCCATCTGGGGAATGGGTGAGTTTCCGTGATGAACATTTAATGTTGGTTAGAATTATAATTATAGAACTTTGCTCAGCTATTTGTGTGTCGCTATATAATTGCATGGATATATCTACAAAATTGTGGATATATATATATACATGCTTTTTCCTAGACCTTGTGACAAGCTATAGTTCGAGAGGATCAGATGGGTCCCTTTTGATCATTTTTTCCTTTTTTTTTTTTTTTTTTTTTGTGCCCTTAATATTTGTTAGTACATTTGTTAGGTGAAAGGACTAACTTTTTTTTTTTTTTTTTTTTACAATTATTTAAATTAGTTCAGAATAAGCAAAATTTCTTTGTTCCTTTATGGGAATTTTGGGCATGTCATTGAAAATACATTGGATTGACTGTCACTATACAAAATAGTTCTGATAATAATGTGTGTCCACGAGTAGAAGTGCCAACAGGTAGAAACATATATAAAAAAAACCTTGCGACCTTGAAGCCTTATTAAGGATTTAAATGATTTTTGATTTTGTGAGAATAAGTAGTTTTCTTTCGTTATTCTGATGACCAGACATTTATAGCAAAACAACGTACCTATACATATATATATATATATATATATATATATATATATATATATATACGTTTTTTTTTTTTTTTTCTTTAAATGTTTTCATTGGAAATGAAAAAAAATTACACATGTTCATGTATGGCTTGTGTGTATTGGTATGCGTAGGAGCATTCAATTATAATTCCTCGCGTTTGTACACATTTTAATTGAAATTAACTGAAATTCTTTAAGCGCACTTGCTATAATAAGGAATGCCTTTTTTGCTTGTGCAATGGATGTCTATACATGTGTATTATTTTCGTGTATTTTTTTTTTTTTTTTTCTTATACTTAAGTACATTTAAATATGCTGATAGAGAGTAGCAAAATAAATGATCCTTTCAGAGTAAATGCTTAAAAAAAAAGTAAAAAATGACAAGAATTTTGCTATTTCTGACACAAAATAGGTTTTCACGTTTAATAATTTTTCGATCAGCTCCTGTTCCCATACTAAAACAAATTAAAAAAAACATAAAAAAAAGGAAATGTTTCCGTGTTCTTAATGCACATATATATGTAAATGTCCTTTCATGTTTAAAAAAAAAAAAAACAAAACAAAAATGGAAGAGTTCACTATGGGGTAAACAAAATAAGAAATGACACAAGCATTCACATTCTAACTTATGTTTTTAGAAACAAAAGAAAAAAAAAAAAAAAAAAAATGAAACCAAAAAAAGGATAAAACAACCAAAGCTAGGAGTTTATAAAAAATAAAATGAAAATATTGAAACAATATCACATGTGATAGCACAAAAAATGCACACGAGGTACTGTAAAAAACAAACAGAGAAGGACATATAATTCTAAAAATATAAAATAAAATAAAAAAAAAAAGGAATAAAAAAGAATGAAAGGCTTAAATATAAAAAGTACTGATACATAGGAAGTGAAGTTGGTTTAACCAAGGGAAAACGTCTTTGCTGTATGCTTGTGAAATTTAAAAAGAAAAAAAGCGAAATATGTATGAATACATAAATATTATATAAATATATGTATACATGAATGTGCATGTATATAATATATATCACACACGTAAAGGAAAACACTCAGTGCCAAGACACGTTTGGAACTGAAATAAATTAAAAGAAGATAAGTCAATAAGAGAAGCAGATACACGAGAAAGATACGCAGAAAAAAAAAAAAAAAAAAAATAAAATAAGATATAGAAGTTTATACAACATGGACACAACAGGTAACATCTAAGGTGTTCTAAAAGTTTACGTCATTCTATTGAATTTTAACATCTAACATTTCATCGTTCTCACATGTTTATTTTGTTCAGTTGTACATTTAGGAAATTATGAATTCGTAATGGATGAACCTGTTAAGGACACAGTGGTTTGATTAAGAACAAAAAAAGAAAAAAAATAAAAAAAAATAATATTGGGAATTGAACGAATTTGCTCTTAAAAAATTAAGCAAGGAATACATTTATGCTTATGTGTTTGTGTACACACGAATAAACGATAAGAAAGAATTTCCCTGTTTTATCAAATGGACAAAATAGTTCCGCTTTTTTGATTTCATAACAATGAACTGTAAAATGTATATTTATATCACATTACTATTCAGTTGATTGTCATCTTACTATTTTGTTATATCTTTTTTTTTTTTTCTTTTTCTCCCTTCGTCGTTGAAATTATAATGCAGGTACGAGACGCAAAAAGTATTTACAAGAAAATATTACACATCTGTTTTCATCAGTATGATGACGATAACACCTTAAAGAAATGTAATACATATTTGGAAAAGAAATAATAGAAAATAGTTGCAGAAATGTATACTAGCATATTTGTTGCATGGTGTTATGCTTCTCGCATCATTATCTAGGTTCAGAATCTCAGCTCATAATCTTTTTTTTTTTTTTTTTTTTTTTTTTAACAATTTTTACTCAGGGGATTTATGGGGATCTTTTATTGTCTACATAACACTTTCTATGTAATTTTATTGAATGAGGAATGATTTGTTTAATGATTTTTGAAAATCACCACAGTTTTTTGTCGTTTTTTTTTTTTTTTTTTTTTTTCAAGAGTACGGATATATATATGTATATGTATATTGACATATTTATGTACATACACCAACTCATCCCATCGTTCGGTATCACCAGAATCATATTTTTAGATAACGAAGTTTCCGACAAGAAAAATACATTTGCCTTTTTTTTCTTCTTCTTCATGGTTGGACATATTTTAGTTTCCCTAAATTTATCCCTCCTACACACGAAGATGTAAGGTTTTCGTCTTTTTCCTTTTTTATTTATATAGAAGAAATTAACATTTTTTTTTTTTGGCGCTAGTTGGAAATGTTTAAACAAGCATATCACATTTTCCTATATATATGATTTTACTCGTGCACTTATACACGTATTTAACTTTTCATCTCCAATTTAGACACTTTTTTCAGTTATTCTGTATAATTAGCTATTCACAATTCCCATTGGTATTTTCCGCCTTTGTAAATTTGTTTATATCCTGTAGAATGATACGACTTTTATTTTCCATTTGCGCAGTGATTTGGTCCACGTACAGTAAGCAGAATGCTAATAAATGAGCTGGAGAAACATTACTAGAGTTTAAAAAAAAAAAAAAAAAAAAAACAATTAATTAAATTATAGAATACATTTTGAGCTCATGCTCCTGTGTTATATTTGTTTCGCTTGTTCATGTGCTAACATGTGTAAAAATTTCAAAATACCTTCTTTTGTTTTACTTGTCTATATATATATACTTATATACATGTTTTTCCTTTTTCTTTAAACCAGATTGCATCCTCATTTTGACAAAGTTCATAAAAAAGAACAGATTTGGGATTTGTTTTTTCCCAATTTGTTTGCTGCAATTCTTTGTTGCTACCTTTTTGTTGATTAAGTAACATTAAAAATATGAATTTAAGTGTAGCGTCAGTAATAGCTATAATTCTAATTGATATGCTGAATATTTTTTTTTTTTTTTTTTTAATCTTTTTAAATAGTTTCTTTTTAATGCGTTAGTGGTTTATTTTGTTGACTGTTTACTTTATAAGGTATCCTCAAATGTGCAAAAAAAAATTTAAATGAATAGACAAAACTTGTTATTAAAAAAAAAAAAGGCAAAAGTTGTTAAGTTTTTTTTTTTTTTTTTTTTTCTGGGCTTGTTATGCGAATTAGTCAATAGTGGAAAATGAAAAATGTACAAGATTTGGAAATAACTTAATAAACAAAATTGTTTTGTCATAATTGATGTTTAAATTTATATCTACGAAAATTTGAAGGGATAATTGTGTCTTTTACTTTTATTGTTTTCCTGAGGTATTTTTTGATGCTTTTGAAGGAAAAAAAATATTTAAGTAAAGAGATTGTATACTTGTCTGAAGATTAGGATTCTCATAACTGCATACAATTTACATAATCATGTATATGTATTAATAAATATGTGTGTAAGGGTATATACATATTTCTTTTCAGCAATAAAAAGTATGTGTAAAAAGAAGAAGATTTATGTGATACATTTGTTATATGTGTCGAATGAAGGGCATAAGCCGTAGAATTATATTAAGGTAATTTTTTGGAAATTTTTTTTATCTACTTATGAAACAAAAGTCTGGGATTAAAGGATCACGTACTAATAATATACAAATATTATAAAAAAGGTGGACACATATACATATATATATGTATAAATATACATTTCCGTATGAATGTATGTATACAAAAACACACGCACACGTGCTTCAATAAAATAGGAAACGATTCATAAGTTCAAAATTGATATGGCTATTTTTAAGAGAATATAAGAATGCCTTGATGTGCTCGTATTTCCCACTGTCATTCTTGTAATCGTGGGTAAATTTAAATACTAAAATCATTAGCTTTATTAATTTCCTTTCTGCCTTCTGGACCTCAAAATCATCCATGCTATAGCCCTTTTTTAGTAACCACACTGCTCTTGTGTATAAATTGCTGTCTAAAAATAGTATGATGTTTTGTATGTATTTGTATTTTTCCTTGTTCAACAAATGCCAGTAAACGTTAAATATGGTTTCATGTTCCTGCGCGATGGAGGAAAAAAAACAAAAAAAAAAAAAAAAAAAAAAGACATATACATATAAATATACATATCTTATACATCCATCTGTATATATGCAAGTGTGTTATTATATGAATGCTTAACTTGAAAAGCACACATGGAATGTTAAATAGGTTTGTTCAATCAAAATTCTATTTTAAACAACTAATACGTGGTAACAGAATAGGTGAAGCGAAAAAACGTAGAAGATTCCTATGGCTTACCTGTGCTGAATGTTTCGATAAGTAAGTCTGCTGTGGGCACAATGTAGAAGTGAAGTAGTTATGTTTGTTCATAATATTTTTGTAACAGTTGTATATTGCATATGGAGTATTAAACGCGTTGTAATCTTGGTTAAATTGTAAAAACTTGAAGTTGCAAGTTAGTTTGAATCTACACAAAGCACTGTTGCAGCAGACGTAGGAGGGGCATATGGTCCATCTAAATGAAATATTAAATGTTGGTTCATTAGTGCCGTTCCGAGGTCGTAAAAGGGACATAAAGAAATGATTTAGCGTAGAACAAAAAGAGGGGTATTTTCGCGTGTACGTATATATATATATATATATATATATATATATATATGTATATGTTTTAGTCCACGGATGGGCGTGTGTGTCTGAGGTATATGAGAATTGTGCGTGGACTTACCTCTTGCTTCTATTGCTGAACCCTAAGGAGGATATGGAATAACTTTGCTTTTTAGGATTTTTTGGATTATGATCTTTCATATTAGTTTTTCCAATAATTTTCTCGTCACTTGGGGGATTATTCTTGCCATGACCTCTGTTTTTGCTGCCAGCATCCTCATTACTATTATTATTATTATTATTGCAGTTGTTGTTGCTGTCATCGCTGTTATTTCTGTAGCTGTTTCCGTTGTTTTCGGCTGTATCCCTGTTTTTATCGCTTTTGCAGGTATTCGTATTTGCGTGGGTTCTGTTTGACGAATTATAGACCTGTTGTTCCTTTATATACTTTAGCAACAACTGAAAGTTATAATAATCTATTAGAGGAATGTGGTCATGGTTATAGATATTTTGTATTAAATTTTCATTTAGAAAAATGTTCTTTAATTTGTTAGAGGAATTATTAATATTATTGCTTATGTGGTCATTATTGTTTTCATCAGATATCATCTTATTAAATTTGTTCAAATTTTGGCTACTATAATTATTGTACTGTGTAGAGAAAACATTATTTAATAAATTTAGATAAAATGGATTATCACTTAATGTGTTATCATTTGATACTTTATCATTTGATAGATTGGAAGAGTTGTTAGTTGTATGGTTTTTATTTTGTGTGTTATTATGTGCATTACAATTAAGTAATTTTTCCTTAAGGCTGTTAATACAGGCTAGCTGGTTATGATAATGTTCAATGTGCTTAATAATTTCGTCACTTACACTTTTGAAGGAGTTTATATTTAAAAATTTGTTACTGCTTCGGTTTCGTGGTTCTCTATAATTATTGGTGTTATCATGCTTAGTGTTGTCAAAGGATATACTAAAAGAGTCATCTCTCATATTTTCCGAAATATTTGGATTATTCTGGTTATAATGCTTGTTCCCAGCAGTGGAGCATTTTTCACATTCTACATTTATGGAATTACCGCTAGTTTGGGTATGTTCAGTCGAATTGTCTTTTATATGATTACTATCTGTATCGTTATTGCTGATATTATTATGATCAGTGTTACAGGATTTGGAATATAGTTTGTGCAATTCCAATACATTTTCAGTAGGAAACATGTTACTACTAGATGTATCATCTACACCAACTGGTACATTTTGGTTGATGAAAAAATTAGAGTATTCATTTAGCTTATATAAATAAAACAAATACATGTATGCATTGTAATTATAATTCCTCAAAAAATTCATATTAATCGTATCATAATATAAATTTTCTATACTAAGAGAATTGGTATCATTGCATAAAATGTTACTTAACAATTTTTGGTATGGAGAAAATCCGATGTTATTATTATTCTGTCCATGATGATGGTTGATTGTGCTACCTAAATAAGTGCTTAAAATATCGGTGGTGTTTTTATTGTTAATTTTATTTGTGATATGCATGAAATGGTTTAATTTTTCCATCATTTGCTCATTTTCGTTTTCTTGGGTTATAAGTTTATTTATATCATTTATATAGGTTGAGATGATTCTTTTATTTGTATAGCAATTGTTATAAATTCCATTATTACAAAATTTTGTGGGTATTCCATTTATAAATTTTTCTTCTTTAAAATCTGCCGTTTTATGTAATTTATCACGCAAAATATACATATGTTTTAGTGCAACCATGTTAATTAAACTGTTTCCCAGGGCATTTAAATTGTTTACATTATTATGTTCTTGTTGTTTGTAGTTTAAAAGGTGATTATTTGTGACATCATTTGCGTTATTGTACATATTGATAATGCTAGTATTATCATCAGCGTCTGCATGAAAGCTGTGATCAAATGTAGTATTGTTTTTACCCCTCTCTGAGTAAAACATAGAAGGGTGTCCATTTTTATACTTGTCAAAAGTGTTGATATCTTGTAAATTATTTAAAAATGTGTTGTTTTTTATTTTCATACTAGTATTTTGATAATAACAATGATTAAGATAATCATTTTTTGAGTAACTTGTATGTGTGTCCATTTCGTCAATCATGTCATATCCAACAAGACTTTTTGGTTGTTCAGAATTGAAAATTTTGTTTATGCTAAAATATGGATTTTTGGAACCCCAAGCATTTTTTTCGCCATAGTTTCTGCTGATAATGTTAAAGCCGTAGCTACCACCACTTGCGTAATAATTTTCTTCATTTGGTAAAATTGAGTTGTAATTTAGTGGGTAAATAAAATTATAATTGTCACTATACTGACTGAAGTTATTTATGATATTCTGGAAATCAATATTTTCTATGCCGTACGGATGTGTATTATTTTTTATGCTGCAATGATGTATATTATTTTCTATGCTGTATGGATGTATATTATTTTCTATGCTGTATGGATGTATATTGTTTTCTATGCTGTAGGGATGTATATTATTTTCTATGCTGTAGGAATGTATATTATTTTCTATGCTGTATGGATGTATATTATTTTCTATGCTGTATGGATGTATATTATTTTCTATGCTGTATGGATGTATATTATTTTCTATGCTGTAGGGATGTATATTATTTTCTATGCTGTAGGGATGTATATTATTTTCTATGCTGTAGGGATGTATATTATTTTCTATGCTGTAGGAATGTATATTATTTTCTATGCTGTAGGGATGTATATTATTTTCTATGCTGTAGGGATGTATATTATTTTTTATATTGTAGGGATGTATATTATTTTCTATATTGTATGGATGTATAATGCATTCTTCATTTCTATTTTTACATGTATCCGTGAAAACCCTATTTGTCTCATTGAATTTGATAGTACATTCACCATTCACATGATTATTATATAATTGATTTAAACAATTATTAGTTCGATTATCATTATTTGTGTAAACATGCGTTTCGTTCGCAAAACTGAAAATTTCATTAGTGTAATTATCTTTTTCTATGTTTCCACTTTGCACTTTCACTAAACTGCATTTTCCGAACGGTATATTTTTATAATAATTACTACAATGGCTGTAATTGGTAACATTATTTCTGTAATGGTTCATATTACTTTTTTGATAGTCTACACAGCTGCTGCAGTTTCTTGTAAAGTTACCACTTATACTAGGGAAGTTGTCATTTTTTGGTATATTTTTCATATGCATTACATTCTCAGCACTATTTACGCCATTATAATTCGGATGAAAACTGTGTACAGTGGAGTTATTGTGCGTGGAATTATTGTATGTGGAAATATTATGATCCACGAGATGGTCCCTTTTTGTAGTTCTTACACTGTTGCCAAAAATATTTGTAATATCATCCCTTGTGTGAAAATTACACGTGTTTCTTATATTGTTCAAACTTATAGTTTCAGATGTGCCGCTAAGATTGAAGCTATACATATGTCTTTTGTTATTAATGACGTTCATGTAATAATTATGCGAATCAGCATATGTTAGACTATCATTCATTTTATAATTATCATATTTTTCTTTTTGAAAAAAATCGAATAAAGGATTACTCTTCATAATTCTATTTTGAATACTGTTGTACAGGTTGTTATTTGTGTCTATCTGTGTTGACAGAAAATTATCGTTTATTTTGTTAAAATTGTTATTTATTGTAGTTTCGAATTTTATTAAATCATTTTCGCTTAAGTTTTGTATGGTATTATCCCCAGTATGTTGGTTATACATATTGTTCATAGCCTCTTTTAAGAATATTGGCATTTGGATTATGATATCCCTATCATTATTGTATTTATTGTTAAATTGATTTCTGTTTGGAGTGCTATTATCAATGTTGTCGTTATTATTATTTATAACATTGTTTTTAGATTCATCACATTCGTTTAAAATAGTGTGGTTAAAACTTGTGTTAATAACATTGTTCATGAGATTTTCCCTAATAAGGAATGAGTTGTTGTTATTCGTATTTACATATCTACATCTGAGTCCGTGAATCATGTCAGTTTCTTCTGTGTACATATTCGAAGCGCTGTAGAATTCGAATGAGCTTTCCATAGGGTTTCTTTTAAAATGATTAATTACGTTCTGTTCATATGTATTTCCATGATTTTGTTCATTATAGTTATTATCTATATGATAATTTTCTATGTAAAAATTGTTATACATATTAATTACATCTTCATCAGTAAAGGGATTAGCATTTTCTAATTTTCCCTCACAGCAGGAGAGTTGGGTATTCAAATGTTCATTATAACTGTTCCCCTCATTCAATTGATAAGGTATGTAATTATTATTAGCATCATTTTGTAATTCGAATATATGATGAGAATCCATAAAATTTATATTTTCCATATTCGTATTAGTTCTATTGTTGTAATTATCATTTTGTACATTCGTCATTAGTGCTATATTGTTATGTTCAAAATCGTTTTTATTTTTGAAACACAGGAATTTATTTTCATTATGTTGATCCCCCATTTGTGGACAATTTTGAGTTATCACAGTATTGTCTGTGTAATGTTGTAATTGATCTACAGCATTGAAATGGTTGTTTATCATATATTTACTAGCATTTGTGTTTTCATTTCGTGCGTAGTTGAAGTTACTGGTTTGATTTTCACTTTTGTTCAATCTTTTGTTTAAAATGTTGTTGGTATGGATATTCATGTTGTTTATCTTTTTGATCGTACTGATAGTGTTTATATTATTTATAGTGTTTATTGTATTACTGGTTGTTCTTTTAATATGCTGAAGATTGTGGTTGTTATTTCCATTGCTACTAATTTTGTTTTTTATGGTGTCTACATTAGTATTTCCGTTTATGAGAAATTCATCTTGTTCATCATTTGGTACAGAAATTGGAAAATGATTCATATCATATGGTTGTAAGTTTATATTGTCCGAGTTGGAATCACTGCAAAATTCTTGTTTTGTTAAAATGTAATTTTCACTATTTTGAACTAACATTCTGTTAATATTCTTAACTTTATTATATTCTTCTTCATTGTTATAATACGAATTGGGGACTTTAAAACAATTTACAGTATTTAGTTTATATTTTATTCTGTTTTGATTATCATTATCATGATTGATTAAAAACAAACGTTTACTCATTTCATCTTTTTTCTCTAATGATAATGGTTGTGATGTTTCATTTATGTTCTCGATTCTACTTTCATGTATGTTTTCAAAGATATTTGTATCAAAAATGTCGTTAGTTGTATTATTACTATGTAATATGTTATTATATATCTCACGACTATAGTTTTGAGTATTTTTTATTTCTTCTCGTATTTTATTAAACTCATTTTTGTCTTCAAGATGTTTTTCACATATTAGTTGATAAGGTGGACAGTTAGGATGACATATTGGTGGAGTAAGCTGAATTCGATCGTTATTACTAATTTTCGTTTTTTCTACATTTTTATTATCATTCTGTTGATACTTGTATAGGTGAATATTATGGTTTTCCAATTTTATACTACCTTCTTGGTTCGACAAATCATGGAAAATATTCCTATTTTGGTTGCATAGTTCATTTTGTTTTTTTATCGAAAATTGTGGATGGTCCGAATGGAAATTCTGTTGGTGGTAATGCTGATAATGCTGTTGATAAAGCTCTTCCGTGTGATCAGCATTAGTGGGGAACAATTGATCGATTCCATTCTCTAATTTGATTTCTTGCCTATTTATTTCTCTTAAATTAGTCTCGTACAAATCCATCTCCTCATGTTTTACGAAATTTAATGTGTTGTTATATAACAGCATATTTTTATCATCGAAAGGATAGTTTGTTTGATCTTCCTGCTGCATATGAATAGGTTGAACTGAAATATTTGATTCTTTATCTTCTCCTGTGTTTGTTGAATTCATCAATAAATAATTTAGTCCTATGTTTTGATAATTTTCTTCGTTATTGGTTTTGCATAGATCTACATAATTATATTCGCTACGATGGGTAGTATGGCTCTTTGAATCCCCTTGTGTTGTTAACAGATTATTATTAGGGCCACCTGCTTGCGTGATCTTTTCCTTACAGTCGATATGATGCGAATGGGTAAAATTTTCTACTACCTCTTTTTGTTCTTCTTTCTGTTTTTCTTCCAATTCTGTTGCTTGGTTTTCCATTTCTTGTTTAACCTTTTTTAGGTAATCTAAATTGGCACTATCGTTGTGTCGACTATAGAAATCCCTTCTGAATTCTCTATTGAATGAACCACTTTTTCCATCATTACGTTCACCACTATTTTCGTTTATAAGGGATAATTCATCACTATGTTTATTGAAGGGAATACTGTGGAGTCTTGAGGGTTCGTCAAATGGTGATATTTCCATTTTAAAAGAACATTTTTTTTCATTTGGTCTATTAGGTAGGAGGGCTTGGATTTTATTTATTTCTTGTTCACGCATGCTTTGAAAATTGGTTATAATATTCGCTGAATTTATTATTTGATTTTCAAAATAATTTTGTTTTAGATCAGAGAAAATCTCATTATGCGTGATTGTACTAATGTTATTAGTATTATTGTGATATGATACATTTAGCAAATGATTAAGATTTGTAATGGATGAATTTTGATATGTGAATTCATTTTTGTCTTTGTTTTGCATATTGATGAGGTGATTAGTACTATGCTCATTAATACATGACTTTGTATTTATACCGTTTGACGGATAGTTTGTATGGTCAACATGATTATACATAGATGATGAACTGTTATTATTAGTTAAATTATTTTCAATAAAATTATGTTTCATATAACTTTTTGCAAAAATGTTTATATGTCTTTGATCCAAGAAATGAATAGCACTATTTGTTATTCTTCCATTTGTATAACTATTGCTTCTGTTATTCATCCTCGTATAACTATTTTTATAATAATTTTGGATGGTCATATTATCATCGTTATTATACTTGAAAATACAATATGGGTTTAAATTATGATAGTAGTTATTATGAGAAAAACTTTTTCTTATATTAAATGTGTCGTTTTTAAAATAGTTAACGTTTAAGTTGCAGCTTGAAATGGTATTATCATTAAAGATATTTCTATCGGCCATAATGCTAATACTATCTTTATTGAAATAATAATTATCGCTATTTGTAAAATATGAATTTTCACTGAGTGTCTTCATATCTGAACAATTATACATATTTGTTAACGTGCTGTTATTTGAATTAAGACTCATATTTTTTATATTGCAATTTACACTGTTCGAGTTCATTAAATAGTTCTCAAAGTTGTTGCTGTTTAGGTAGTTATTTAGCATGCTATTTCCTTTATAATTCGAGTTATGAACATATGATGGGTATGCATTATTTACACATTTGTTATTGTGTAAGATATTATTTTCCAAACCCATATTTGTGCAATCAATATTTTGATTCTTGTAGTCATTTATTAGTGCCCCATTGTAAGAATTTGTACATAAATTACTATCACCCTGATTGTGTAATTTATTCTGCCCATCAATAATAGTGTGTGTAGGTTCACTTTTTACCATATTTATTATGTAACTAATTAAGTTGGTTTCTTCTTTTTTTTTTTTGTTTTCTTCCTCTTCTTCTTCATCTTCTTTTTCTCTATATTTCCCCCCAGTTGTGGGTTTCTTTTTTGTGATATTTTCTAATTGATTTATTTTATTATTTTGAAAAATATATTGATCCTTACATTGGCAGTTATATTTGTCGATCTTTAATTTTATAGATGCATTATTTTGGTTATTGATAATGGTAGTTTCATTAATGCATTTATTAGTAGGAGGGTGGTAACAGCATTCTTTATCTTTTATTTCGATTATAATATCTTTGTCATCTTTTTCATCTTTTTCATCTTTGTCGCTTTCGTTCACATTGTTCAAATTGAGAATGTCTGTCTCGTTTTGATTGCCAGAATTTTTTACACTAGATGTGATATATTGTGTGTTTATGTCAAAAACGTCATTTTGTAAATTCATACTGGTTGAGTAATCACATGTGTTATATATAATGTTGTCTACATTATCAAGAGTATAGGTATGGTTATGCACATGATTGTCATCTTCTCCGTAGCAATTTTGAAATATATCACATTCATTAAATGGTATAAATGAACCAAACAGACTCTTTTCTTTGCAATTCTCTATAGAATTTAATTCGTTAAGATTACTTGGGATACGTGCATTTTCATTTATTTGTCTAAATAAACTTAAATCAATGCGCATATTGTTTAATGGTTGTAATTCCCTATTAAATGGAATGTATTCGTTGGATGCAAATGATTCCATAAATTTTGGATAAAAGGAAAATTTATATTTGCTTTTCTTATCGTGTGCTAACTCATTTTTTTTCAAAGAAAGCATAGTGCCCTTTTTACACAGATCGGTAATGTAAAAACAGTATTCATCAGGGGAATCCATAAATTCGTTCATTCTTCTTCTGTTAATTCTTTTGCTGAATTTTTTGTATGTTTCGTTTTTTTTTCGTGCAGGGAAAATAATGTCTTCTGACTCTCTCCTTGATTTTATGTTTTCATTATAGTGACATTTTTTTGTCTGATTTTCGATTGCATGATTTTTCCCAGTATAACTTGTTTCTCCACCATTTTTATCATCTTCATCCATGTTGGTTTCATTTCTCATATTCTCTCTTTTAACCTCTACCATCAGGATTTGTATTCTGCTTGGATGTTCATCTTGTTGCTTTCCCATTTTTGATTCCTTGCCCTTTTTAGTATTTTTAAATTTTCGTTTCTCTTTTTCTTTGTTTTGATACTGCTGTGTTTCTACATTCTCGCACATTACTTCTTTCCTCATTTGATTCTTATCATTTCTCTCCACTTTGATAGAATTTTCTATTTCTTGTACATTTTTTTTTTTTAGTTCTATACATTTCTTGTTAGAAATATTTAAAATGTTCGGTTTAGGTGGAATGTTGTTATTTAAGCTCATTGAGGTAATGCTACTAATGCTTCTGTTATACAGCTGTTCACATTGCTCTTCAAGGCATATTGGATTTTCATCATTGCATTTTTCTACTTTGAATTTTATATTTTTTAAAATTGCTTCATGATTATCTATATTTTCTATAGATTTTAAGGTATTTTTGTTCATACTTTCGTCGTGTATTATTTCATGAGGATTTTTTATCTGTGCTGGTAGGGTTACATTTGAGCATTGTGTGACAATCTGTGTATCAATGGAATGATCAACATTTTTATTTGCACTTTCAATTACATGATGTTGTTCCTTATTATGACATGAACGTTTTTTTTTCTCTGTCTTTGCGATGAATTTAAGGGAATTATTTTCCGTAACATTTGATTTTTTTTGTTTTTCCTGATTATTTTCTGCATTTGTAGAATTTTTATTTTTGTTTTCATTTTTATATTTTGCTTCATTTTGTATGTTGTCATTTTGTATAATTGGAGGATCTATATTATAGTTTAAGAAAAAAGCTCTTACTTTCTCTTCAAATATTTCTGCTTCTTCTACATTCAGATTATTATCATTCTTTTGCACATTATTTTTTTCATCTTCAAATTTTTTTCTTATATTGTGAATTTTGGTAAGAATAATTAATCCAATATCATAATGCTCAAAAATGATATCTAGGTCATTTTTTGACATAAAATATGAAAAAAACGTAAAAAATACTTTTTTATTTTCACTTCTTAAAAACATTGGCACATGCCTCGGTTTCCCTTTTCTCATTTTTTTATTTATTTATTTTTTTTTAAAAAATAAAAAAAAAAATGAGGGAAAAGAAAAAATTGCGAAGGCTGGAAAAAAAAAAAAAAAAAAAAAAATACACCTTGAATAAATCTGTATGGTTGAAATAAATATATTCTCAGAAATATGGAAATTATAAGGGATTAACGTACACGAAACATGAAAGCGGGTAAATAATAGTTTGTTGTAATGTGTGCAAAAATATTTCTCCTCTTTATTGAACCTGTATAAATGCATATATATACTCATAAATGTTTATTCCATTCTAGGTGTACGTTTGATGATCTTTTAAAGTTGCCAATTGGTCTATGGTTCACTATTTCTTTTGCAATGTTCACTACACGATTCATTATCGTACATGAAACGTTTGAAATAAGGGTATGTTAAAAAGTGAATAAAAGCAACTTGGAGAAAGTGAGATTTGTTCATTTTAGGAATCGTGCTTGTTTCTTTAGTAGATACATGTGTATTTATGTATACATTTATGTGCACATATTTATATGTAGTTATACATTTATGTAATGCAGGGGAAATACGTTTATTTATTTTTTATTCCTGCTTCAGAAGCGTATATGTACATGTGTTTATTTATTTGCTTATTTATTATTATTATTACTATTATTACTGTTGTTACTATTGTTATTATTGTTGCTATTATTACTATTGTTATATTTTATTTTTTTTATTTTATACTTACAAAATATACGGTGATCATTTTTATGTGTAATATGGGTTATTAGAAAATTGTTTACTTCTGCAAAAATAGAATGTTGTTTGACGATCTGAAAACTGTTCTACTTTTGACGGAGTGTTATCAATGGATATGGAAAAAATAAAATATAAAACATTAAGAAGAAACAATAATAAATTATGAATAATTAGGAGGAATTTTTTTTCCAGTGAAAGATCAACATGTAGGTTTGTTTACTTCTCTGTAAAAGTATTTTTGTGGAATGCACATTCTGCAGCGGTGAGTGTAGGCATGGGGAATGCCGTGACAACTTTTTTTTTTTTTTTTTTACAATTTTTAATTAAACGTAAATAAATACAGGAAAGTGTAATTAAGTTTAATTAAATATAATTATGTATAATCAAATACAATTATGTATAATCAAATACAATTATGTATAATCAAATACAATTATGTATAATCAAATACAATTATGTATAATTACGTATAATTAAATATCATTACATATGTAATTGTAAAATAACTATTAATGCTTAAGGAAAATAATACGTTATACATGTGTGATTATATGTAGGCACTTAGGCTTTTTCACTATATATATTTTTTTTTGTTCCTTATAATGTATTATATGCTATTTGGTTAAAATTATAAAAAAAAAAAAAAGTGAAAATATAAGTTCAGCGCTAAATTAAGTACATCATTTGAATTTGAAAAACACTTGTATGATGAGGAAGCAAAAAAAAAAAAAAATAATAAATAAAATGAAAGGATGTTACATAAATGTTTGTTTTAATTATAAACTATTTTTTTTATGTTTATATTCATATAAATATATTTTTTCACAGAATGTTCTACATTCATAAAATCACATTCAATCATATTTATTCTTATATGTAGGTATGTATATATATGCATTCACAGTCATTTATACACAATTTTCTTGAGTGCTTATTTCTGGTTGCTATGATGAAAAAAAAAAAAAAAAAAGAAAAAGAAGGAATAAACTCGTTATCATTTGTACATGTATTTATTCTCCCTATTGTGTGCAAAATTTGCGAATTTATATTGAAATATTTGATATGATTAATTATTCATTAGCATATTTGTAAGTAGATGCAAGTTTTTAAGCACAATATATATTACTAACATTATATACACGAGACCTTGCCCTTACTTATACCTTTATTTTTTGCTTATACATTTCCAGTTTTTTATTTACAAAATGTTAAAAACACATTTCTAATTGAAGAAAAATATTAAAAAAGAAAAGCACTATATTATGTGTAGATGCATTAAGATTATTGCTAAAAATATTATTTAGGTTTAATCTATCATGTAGCGGTAAAAAAAAATTATTCATGCTGCTGTATAAATGAGACCACTAAATTTTTTACAATGAAGGGTGAAGAAAAATAATTCAGCAGCATATGGAAAAATTTTAAAGCAATAAGTAAAATATTTTTACCTATATGCAAAAAAATGCATAATTATGTGCGCATATATATATATTTTTTTTTTCCGCGTTTGTTGCTTGCGATCATTTTAAGCTCCTTTTCCCCTTAAGGCTCTTGCATATATATTTTTAAGTGAACATATATAAATTTACTCATATGAGTATTTATTTATAAATTTATATATACGACGAAGGTGAATAATGTTACATGTAAAAAAGTCCGCAAATGAATGCTTTTTTTTTTTTTTTTTTTTTTTTTTTTTTCTGTAATATATTCTTTCCGTTTTTCTTGCTACAACATCTATGTGAAACATGACATTTATTTATGTTTAAAATATTTCATCATAACACCAACTTATTGCACATGCAAAATTTTCTTTTACATTGTTTATATCACCAGATGAAAGTTAAAAATTATGTCCCCTATTTATTAATTTCATATTCTGCATGCTTAACAGCTTCCTTGGTTGAGCTAAGGAAGTAGGAAGCAAATAATTGGGTGCTTAAATAAGTGAGTAAATATGCACAAGTTGCATACATTTATGCATTTATATATATATATATATATCCTTAAGCAAATATTTAAGCATATTAAAAAAATAACATTGTGGTGTGTTCTGGTGAAGAACACGACATGAAATATTTTTGAAGTGGATGTTCCAAAAAGAAAAAAAAAAAAAACATATATGTGGAAAACTTGTTACAAGCAGTTATTGTTTAAAAAATAGAAGCTTTTAATTTTTCCTTTTGCGCGTATCCATTCCAACACCATTGTGTGAATGACTCTAAATGAATGAAAAAGAAAAATTAACGACGTGGTATACAATTTATTCTAAATAATTACATTAATTATTTTGAATGTCTTTGCTGGTGGTGCAAATATGGTTTTACATTTTTTTTAAGCATTTGATGAAAACTTGCAAGCACTTTAAGTATTTTTTTTTTCTGGATTATTTTCTTTAGTGGCGGAGAAAAAAATTTGGTTGAATAATATGTTTATTGCATTCACATGTGAGGTTAATGAACCAAAGTTCCCATTTTACTGGATAGATATTAAAAATTGAAAATAAATTGATTGCTCTTTTAGTATACCTTTACTCAAAATTGAAGTAGTATATTTAATGCGTTTTCTTCCCTTTTATATGTTTTAAGTAGTGCGTCAGAAATGAGCTAAAAGCATGTATTGATTTCGCCTAATAAACAACACATATGAAACATATTTTCTTTTTTTCCTTTTTTTTTTATTGATACATTTATAATAACTTTTTTTTAAAAATGTTTTATGTAAGAAGATATATTTATTTTCATTTTGTTTTATTTATTTTTTTTTTTTTCACATATAATATCGGTGAATAATTAAAATATTTGGAACATATACCAAAATGAACAGGGAAATGTGGGGAAAGATTATAATATTTCACACGAGTTCTAGAACTATTCACGAAGAAAGAAAAATGTTATTTTAAATTTTGCTATATTAGGAGAAGGATAAATAGAAAAGTGCGACAATGCATTTATTTTTTTGTTACAAAGTTGTATTATTATTTATGTTTTTTTTTTTTTTTTTCAGTAAATTACATGTTATCTATTTCGTGCGCATATATATTGTATATGTATATATATGTACGAAATGCTTTAACTTGTTTTGATGAATTCACATGTTGTAAAAAAGAAATCATTAATTTAGATAAACTTCGAGTAGTAATGTTGCTTCACTTTACATGGATTCTCACAAAAATCTATGTTATATTTTATGAGGGTATATGAGGGTACATGAGGCTATATGAGGTTAAAATTCCTGATTGTAATCTATACATGAATTAAATAAACCACTACAAAACAGGAATATGAATCCTACAAAATGTTGTAAATAAGCATGTACAGCAGTTCGTTAACGTGTAGAAATAAATTAAGGGGATAACTCGTTTTTCCATATGCAAGGGATATATTTACACAAATGCTCAGCATGTATAAGAAAGGTTACACATTCTATTTTAGTTTGTGTGGCTTAATTTTTGTTTAATAAGAATGTATATTATTTCGTTTCTTAAAGGAAAAATTCGCCGAAATTATACATAAATATATATGTACATATGTGTACATATACATTTTTTTTCTTAATTATTACAGTGTTAATACTTTCTTTAAAAAAAAAATCGGACTCCTTGTCACAAAAAAGCCTAGTGGAAACACTGTTATAAAAAGAAAAAGGAAATGAAAAGAATATGTTTAAGGGAAATAACTTTATATTAATGACGTCTATCTGTGTTTAGCGCAACATTCGTGTGTACTTCATACTATTAGGTGTAATCCAAAATGTGTTACAATATAATGAATGGATATGTACATTTTTTTCTACTTTTTTTTATTTACTTTATGCCTTGTTCTTTATTTTCATTTAGAAGAATTTCAACAATAATTTTATATTCGTTTAAGGTTAAGCCTGTATAATTAATTTGTGTATACTTCGTGAAACGTCTTTTATTTAAATATACATTGTGTGGGGGCATCGTGTTATGTGTATTTACAATTTTTATTTTATTTTTTATTTTTTACCTTTTAAATGATTTTTAATAAGATTCGAAAGATTATTAGTAATTTCTTTCTTATTGTCGCAGGTAAAGACAATGTTCTTCAAATCTTTATTAAATAATGCCTTTAAAGAATTGATAATTTTGTTCTTCATTCTTGGAAAATTTTATGTATTTTTACAAAGGCTTTAATTTGAGGTTTAATTGTACCTATACATATAATTTTTTTTTTTTTTTACTATACCTTACTAAACATTTGTTTGCATACTTGCTACTTATTTTAAATAGGTTTCTTTTTTCTCTTTTTTTTTTTTTTTTTCTTATTTTCTACTTGTTTTTTTCCATTTTGTTGAAATGTTGAATTCACTTTTATTTTATGTGTTATTTTATTTTTATTATGAGGTTAAATTTGTAAATATCTCTTGTAAGACTTATGTAAATTGCAGAACGTAAAGTGGACACATAAATATATACACGCAGATGTTATCTCTTTTGCTTCTATTCCTATTGATTATTTTTGTGTGCACATTACGACGAATGCCCTAAGTGCATAATTTTTTTTTCATATGAAGTGGAACTCTGCAGTTTAGTGACGTCGAGGGATGATACACACATATATGCACATGCGATTATATATGTACATATTTACGTATTGCCCATATGTTACTATTTTTGTGTAAGGGAATGCTTAAATTTTGTCTTAATTTTAATTGTGTTTCTTTTCGGAAGTATAAAATTAAAGAGATGTAAAAAAGAAAAAAAAAGGAGGAGAAAAAAAAAAAAAAAAAAAAAAGAAGAAGAGAATTAAACAAAATATATCATTTATTCCTTAAGAGATACAGCACATGAAAAATGTCACGTAAATGTACATATATGATGTATATATTAAAAAACAAGAATTTTACATGTGAATATACGTTCATTTCTTTGTTTCCATTTTTTTTACTTTTTTATTTTTGGGAAAAGGATAATGAAGGAAAAACGTTAAACTGGTGAAATTAGAAGGGAATGAAAGGACTTCTTATCTACAGATTTTATGCACTGTTGTAAATAAAGTACGTGTGCAAATTTTTATGCATTTACATATAAAGTTTCCTTTTGCATTTTGGAAATTATTTACACTTTGAAATTATGAAGGATTTAAATACACGTATATTATAAAATTCCGAAAAATATTTATAAGCCCCCTTTATGCTTTTTTTGATATTCTAAAAATTAAAAAATAATAATGTGACATAGCAGAAAAATTAACAGGATATAAAAGTGCTAACTTTTGGAGAAGAAAAAAAAAGGATATGTTGTAAAGATTTATAATTGTTCTTAATAATTGTGCCTGATGAGTGAGCACTTTAAGGGAGGAAGACTTCCAAAAAAATTGCTTGTATGTTATATATGTATTGGCATGTAGTTCTACACATTTGCGTAAATAATATATATATTTACATATTCAAATGTAATGAGAATGATGAAGGGAAAAGTATATCTATCATCCTATAAGTGTACATAAATATTAAACAAGGAGCGCTACTAGAATAAGTAGTGTAAAAGTTAGGCAACTAATTCATTTCACAATAGCTGCGCAACGCATAAAGATTGAATGTAAGTATGATGTAAAAACTGTAAGTCTGCCCCTACCCTTTTTTTTACCTTGCATTAAGAAAATACGAGTATGCACATTTTTAATTTTCATGAAGACATTACCAATGTTGGGCTTAGACAAAATTAATACATTCTTAAATGTTAATTACTTTATTTTACTTACGTGCTTTCCTACTTATTTTTACATTGATTCTCTTAAAATTTTTTTTTTTTTTTTTTTTTTTGCACTAAATTGCAGGTATATTACTTGTTCCTAATTTTAAATTATCTATTTTTATCTTCAATATTTACAAATAAAAAAAAATTTTTTTTAACTATACCTTGTGGTGTTTCATGGGCATAAATACTCTTTTTATTTTATGTATTTTAATTTTTTCAAAATTATGTAATAGAACACATTTAAAAGAGAAAAATTAGTTTACTGAATGTCGTTTAAAAGAGGTTTATCGTTTTTTTTTTTTTTTTTTTTTTTTTTTTTTTTTTGTTACACTATTTGGTGTTTTTTAATATTGGCATTAAACGTTTTCATTGACATCTAATAAAACGGCATATATTAGCACACATTTGTTACGTTGTTAAAAGTAATATATAATTGTATTTCTTATATTTTTCTCATTTATTGTCAAAATTAAGCAAATACATTATTGTATGTACACGGCTATTTTTCTACTTCATGTCTATTTCTTTTTTTTTTTTTTTTTTTTTGATATGTCCTTGAGGTTTTTACCTATGATTTATGGGAAGCATATATTTTGCACATTTTTGTGCACTTTTACGGATAATATTGCGATTACTATTGTAACTAAATTATAGGGAAGTATTGTGAAGAGTTAATAGTTGTAGAATTAGCATTTCTGTTCTTCATTTTATTCTTTTATGTTGTACGAAAATTTCTCTCATCATGTTCTTATACACTTTGTATATGTTCAATAGAATAGAGCATGGCTTAAAATATTTTTGTCTAATATATTTAAAAGTACTAAGGGTGTGAAATAGGAAAAAAGAGAAAGTTTAATTAAAATTGTTTTAAAATGTATATTGTTTCAACTCGAAAATAAAAGTATTTTTTTTTTTTTTTTTAGGCTTTTTGCATACTTCAAGTTACATGCATTTGCGATGATTGGGCTTGGTCTGGATTTAAGCACTCTAATTCATTTTTGTACTTGTGCACATGTTGGTTCACGAATTTGTTCATTTGTTCATTTGTTCATTTGTTCATTTGTTCATTTGTTCTTTTGTTCATTCGCTTAATTATTTATTCTTTGTTTTTCTTTTTTTCTTGTTTGTTTTTGAGTACTATTCGAACTATTTCATGCATTTGCTTATTTTTTGATGCCCTTTTTGTTTGCACTAAAAGGGCTTCGGGCTTACGAAAAAAAAAAAAAAAAAAGAAGTACTTTTACCTTTTTTGTGTTGATTATTTTAATCGGGCACTTTTTTGCATATTCTGAAGAGTTCATTTAATGAATGCATTAGTTGTCAAGCTGTAGTATTATTCTGTCTGAGACAATTTTTCAGACACTTGAAATGACACTAAATAAGAACACAAAAACAGATAACGATGATACAACTGTTTTGGGAATGTTGTACTTAATGATGCATGCATATTCGCATACATCCTGTTGTGCATATTCGTTACTCTCCTTTTCTGGAAATGTTTAAATATGTAAAAGGGGGTTATAATATAATTAAAGCAGAATTAAAGCAAAATTAAAGCAATATTTTAAATAGAATTAACGCAAAACTACAACAGAATTAAGAGAGGGGGTATTTTTTCTGTTTTTTCACTACATATATAATCTCACGCACACACGAAGGGACAATTAGTTCGTGCAGGACCACACTTTACACTGTTTTCTCAAATTAAATATAGGAAGGAACATATCACTTTTGTGTGTCATTTTGCAAGGAAAGAAAGAGAAGCACACAACATAGGGAGATAGGCATGCACCACGTTATGCTTGCGAATATAGATATGTATGCGTGCACATATATGTATGAATATATCGAGATATAAATTTAGGGGAAAAGGCATTAAGAGAGGAGAAATATGAATGCATTCAGTAAATTATTCAATAACACATATAGCAACGATATAAATGAATTGAAAAAAGGAAATATTACAAAATCTGTTCCAACGCATACACTACTAAAAGGTGTCCATAAAAAATCAAAGGAATGGGAGTTTTTAAAAGTTTCAACACAGAAAAGTATTGATATTGACAAATTAGTCAAAAGGAATGTTAAAAAGGAGGAATGTGCATTATTACTAGAGAATGTAAATAAAAGTGCTTGTTTTTCTAATAATTGTACGTTTGCACAAGTTCCCAAACAAAGTAGCTCATTCCATGGGCAAGAAAAAAGTAACTCCTTTACTAAAAATGCAAAGGACATAAATAATAGTGTGTATTCATTATACAACGGGAACAATTTGTTAAGTTTGTACACAACACAGAACCCATATTACCATTTAAAAAATACTTTTGTCAAATATGATTCTAATTATCAACATGATTATGCCTTATTGAAGGGGAAATCGAATAATACTACTGAAAATGGTATAGGAATTTTAACCCCCGAAAATTATGTTTCGAATCAATACGTATCTCAGGTCGATATACATACAAATGGCAATTGTGATAAAAGGAAAGTAGGACATTTTTATGATAAAGATATCCGATATGATGAAAAGGGTAGTAAATTAATAACTGAAAATAATGTTCCAAATTGGGAACCACATAATAATCTAAATAACTATGTAAAATTATCTTCCCTTGATCTAAATGTGAAAGGTGAAAATTTGAGTAATTATAATTTTTACGAGAATGCGAATATTGGAAGGTCATTAAGTCATATCAATTCGAATGAAAAGAAAAAAGAAATTTCTGCTTATGAAATGGAAATAAAAAATGTAACACATGAAGGGATTACGAACGAGATGGTAGGGACTAGGTTCGAACGATTACCTAGTAGTGCCAGATCTGTTCATCTTGTTGATGGCAGCACAGGTAACAACAACAGAAGTGATAGTAATAAACGTGATGGTAACAATTATAGAAGCGGTAACAATATTAGTAGTAATAAAATCACAAGTACCATAATCTCCCCCAATGTCTCACTGCACAGAAATGCAGAACAGTATCCAAAATGTGAAAATGGGAATTGTCTAAGAAGAACTTTTTCCCTTAAAAATATTAGTAATAAAAGTGTAAGCAATTCAAAGAGTGGGGGAAATAAAATTATCCCTTTTCCCATTTTTTTGAATGAAAATAGGAAGGAAGAAGAGAAAATTTCCAAAACGTATTCATCTGGAAATGTTCTTGAAGAGGTGCAACTATATCGGAAGGGAATGGAAAATTGCCACATAATGAAAAATACAAATTTAAACAATTATGTCAATCTACAATTGAAGACAAATGCTAACTCATGTGAAATGAGTAGAGGGTCTTTAGTGAATGTCAATCAGAAAAAATACATGAATAAAAGTGATGGTCCTAATTTGTTACACAGGAATAGGTTGTTCATATATTCTATGAAAAATGATACATCAGTTAATGATAGCTATGGCAATTCCCTCAGTCCTAATAGGCAAAAACTATTTAAAAATGTGTGTAGTAGTAAGTGTAGTAAATGTGGTAACAGTGGTGGAAACAGTTGTGTTAGTAAAAAGGAGTTCAATAAGGACTACAAAATCGAAGAAGAAACACATTTCAATAGTTTTAAATGTAAAAATAAGAGCTATTCTAACCATATGAACGAGGTAGTAAGAAATAAAAATATAATAAAAAATTACAGCAATAGCAATTCCTTAGCTGCATTGAAGAAAGGAAATGTTGCTAATAATCATGATAATGTATCACGTTTTTATATGTTGAAAAAGGAAGTAAATGACAATGGAAAAAAAAGTAGCACACATTTTAATTATCTTACTAGAGAACCAGTCCCTATGAATAGCACCAAAATATATGACAACAAAGAAGATTATGATTTGATACTACATAAGAACACGAACAATGGAAAGTACAATTTTGTGAATACAAATAAATATTGTTTTAAGAAGGAAGAAGAAGTTGGAGGCGAAAGAGACAACTGTTACATCATGGAAAACGTCAAAAAAAATATTAGAAATGAAGATTTTCAAAAATATCATGTTTTAAAAAAGAAATACTTCTCAAATTTGCATCCAAAATTTAGTGCTACTTCGAGTGATGTTAACAGGATGAAGAATGACTACATGATGAATTACAAAAGAGACAACCTGTTGTTATGTAAAGGAAAGAAACCCGTTCAACTTATTTATACCCCACCTTCTACGCCCAACCATTTGTATACTGCCAAATGTTCATCTTCTTCGAACCATTTATGCCCTGCTATACATCCGTCTTTTACGAACCGGCAGAAAGTTCCCACTATAGCACATGTGAATAAAAATAGCGAAGGAATTATTTCAAAAAATGTAAAAAGGATTAATGGTGGTAGTGTTAACATGATTAATGGGAACGGAATTGGATACATTGTGAATAGGCTAGATGATAAGAACCATTGCGAAAATCATAATGGTAGTGAAAAAATGGATACTCAGTATGATAACCAAACAATATACATGACCAATGGTATCATAAATTACGGGGGAGAGAAAATGACAGATCTAATAAATGCTAATAAACTCCAAAATGAATCAAAAAAAACATATAAAAGAAGCGTTATAGAGAAAAACTATTTGAAATGTGATAATCACAAAGTTAATATTAATGAATGGGATAAGCAAGGTGAAGAAAAGGGAATAGAAAAAACAGTTGCGTATGAGGAACTACATGAAAATATCCCAATCTATTTAAGTAATGTAACATTACTAACAGGTTCGAACAGAACAAGTGAAAAGGTTAGTCCTGATAAATATTTTCTTAAAAGTAAGGAACTTCTCAATAAAAAAGCATATGATAAAAATAGCAACGTAATTTTAGATATATCCAAAGATATAACATGTGCTAATGGGACCAGTAACGCTAGTAAAACAACTGACCAAGGGTATTATTATTTTGATCAAAATGAGAAAGGATTAATAAGAATAGGAAAAAGACAAATCAGTTTTAACGTACCCAGTGAAAATGTGCACCTGATAGGAAAACGACGTGAACAACTAAATTTGTTTTATGAGGAAAAAGAAGTGTCAAGCCCTTTCAGAAATGTTCAAAAAAGCGGAATTAAGGTGGACATAATAAAAGAAAGAATAAATAAAGAAACTGTGAATGAAAAGAAAAAAAGCTTGCACTTAAATAAACCAATTAATGAGAATACAACCTGCACTGTAAAAAGATGTAGCATGAAGACGACAGATGTTGAAGACAAAAATATGATTCCGCTGATGCCACAATGGGATTGTGCAAGTAAAGAAAGCGTACAGAATGAAGAAATCCAAATGCTGATGAGGAATACTGAACAGCAAATAGACGAAACTGTTATCAAGGATAACAATAGTGGTAACAATAATGATAGCGACAAAGGCAATGAGTGGATGAATAATTTAAAAAATGAAAGTAAAGGAAAAAGGGATTGCTTACCAGGAGACGAAAATAATAAACAGTCATGCGATTCTTTTTGCAATTTTGAGAAAAAAATAAACTCGGATAAGGGAAATATGAAAATTGTGGAAAAGATAGGGTGCGTTACATCAAATACGAATTTTTTTTTAGACGGCATGAGAAATAACAGTATTATGGTCGACAGTGACAATCGAAAAAATTGTGGAATGGAAAAAATTATGTCATTAAAAGGTTTCTCAGATGATAAATTTAAACAAAGTATGAACATAGAAAGCACTGAATTGGAAAGAAAAAAAATAGATGAGGATATTTTGAATATAAACATATATGAATTGGAAAACTGTGTAACGAAGTATAGTATGGAAAACTTAACAGACTCATATATTTATCACTTAAATAATATGAATAAGAATACAAAAATAAAAAGCGGCAAGGGGAAATTAAAAATGGGTACATACTCTTTAAAAAATAAAGAAAATAATAATATTTCGTCCTTAAGCAACATTGAAAAGGGTAGTGTGAACAAAGCATTCGTAGAGATTGAGAATAAAGCAGGCAGATACATCAAAAAAAGGGACAATGAATATTACTTAAGTAATGAAAAATGTGAGAAAATGAAAGTCAATAACTTAAAAGTTTCATATGGAAAATTCAACTATCCTTTTAATAACGAATTATCTACAGCAGAAATAAATAGCAATAAAAATGAAGGAGAATGTGATGTTGGTGTAAAGACAAATTGGTATTCTGATGATGGGAATTCAAGTAGCATGATAAATCATAGTGTTAATCAGTTTAAAATGGAGAATAAAGAAAACAGTGATAATTTTGACAGGAATAAGGAATATAAGGAAGAACTGTTTACACTTTCTGCTCAAAAGTGGGATACAGAAAGGTCCTATATGTTAATAAAAGCCAGAGAAAATAGTAACCAGGAATTTTCAGCTAATGGTGATGAAGAAAAGAACTTGAATGATATGAAAATAAGCGATGAGTTCGATGGATTTAAAGAGGAAACTAATCAGTGCAAATTATATGTGAATAAAGACGAAACTGGTAGCAACGATGCGAACAACAGGAACAGTGGTTGTAATAGCCACAAGAGCTGCAATAGTGGTAGTAGAGGCAGTAGCGGTAGTAGAGGCAGAAGCGGTAGTAGATGCAGCAGCGGTAGTAGAGGCAGAAGCGGTAGTAGAGGCAATGGCGGTAGTAGAGGCAGTAGCGGTTGTAGAGGTAATAGAGAAAACTGCTGCAATGCAGGTAATGGACTTAATGGACGTAATATGTGCAAGGCAGCTAGCAATAAATCAGAGGAAAAACTGAGGAAGAGACGAAGGAGAAAAGTGGCTCTACCATGGAGCAAAGACAATATAGTTAAGGTTAATTCGAAAAATATGTACATAAAAAGAAAAAATAATATTATCATAAACACAAAATTGGCTAGATATGAAAGAGTATTAATACATACATGTATTAGCAAACTGAATTGGAAAAAGTGTATTGACAACACAAATAAAGGAGTGTTTTATTGGATAGGATATAATATAACCGATTTTGATCATTACAATTATATGAAAAAGAAGAAAATTATAAATAGAATACCTTCAATGTATATGTATACAAAAAAAAAGGCCTTAACATTTTTACTTTCCCATTTATCCCTCATATTTCCGTCTTTGTATGATTTTTATCCAAATACATTTGTATTACCAGAAAATAAGAATATTATAAAATATGTTTTAAATAGTAATAACAAAGATTATTATATTATGAAGCCAGATTGTGGTAGTATGGGTATAGGGGTAAAAGTAATTCATAAATACAATGACATTAATATAAATATACTAAATGGGTATAACTGCTACATAATTCAGAAATATATAGACAATCCTTTGTTGATGTATAAGAAGAAATTTGATTTTCGCATTTATATTTTATTGCTTCCAGGAAAAAATTATCCTAAAATATATTTGTCAAAAGTTGGTTTTGCTAGGCTGTGTACTGAGGAATATAAAAAAAAAAGAAGATATATGTGCAATACTTATATACACTTAACTAACTATAGTATCAATAAGGATAATGAGAAGTATATAAGAAAAAAAAATATTCATGATAAAAACAATAATAAACAATTATTAAGTGATGTTTTTATTTATTTAAAAAATAATGGATATGATATAGATGATATATGGAGACAAATAAAAAAAATTACGTGTTTAACTTCTTTAGCAATTTATTCTTACATTAAAGAAAAAATAAAGTATAATTTTAATAATAATTTTTACTTTTATCAATTAATCGGATTAGATATACTGCTGGATGATAATGGAAAAGCGTGGTTATTAGAAGTTAATTCTAATCCTTCCTTAAGAATTGATTACATAGATCCAAGCTACACCAATTTTGAAATACAATTAGAAAGCATGTTTGACAGGTATGTTAAGGAACCGGTAATAAGTGAAATGTTTTTAATAGTATATCAGAAAATTTATAAAAAATATTTGAAAAAAAAGAACAAAAAGTGTACAGCCCTATGTATTAATAACAAAATAGAGAAAAAAGACAAGCATAATAACATATTCAATGATAATAAAAATAAAAAAAAAACAGAAAAAATGAACATACGAAAAGGATTCAAACATGACACTTTTATTACCTTGAATAATAGGAATATTAAAAATTTTGTGGACAATAAAAGAAAAATTAATGAAAAAGATACATCTAGTAGCATTTATTTATCAAAGGAGAATCTCAAGTCAGTCATAGATGGTAATAACAAAACAAATAAAAAAAGCACCTCCATTGTGCATAGTGATGTAAGCAAAATTATTTCAAATAATAGAAAGAATTACCCGAAAAGAGAATGTGGTGCCTCACTGTCTCGTAATAAACAATATGATTTATCAAGAAACTGCAACATTAATAGTTTGCAAAAGGGAAATATAGGAAATAATGATCAGCTGATGTGTAGTTCGATAAAAAAAAAAGGAAAAACGAAAAATAATGTATACTTAAAAAAGGAAAATATGAGTAACGTTGACACATGCGTTGATGAAAATGATATCGGAAGTTTCAGTTTGTCCAATGAAATGGATGATGAGGGGGATGGAGGAGTAGAAGAAGAACAAGGAGGACAAGGACGAAGATGTGATCAGTTTAAAGGAGACAATCATGAAGGGTCCACGGAAGGGTACACACAGAAAAAAAAGAATAAAAGTAACGGAGAAACAATATCAAAGGAAAAAACCACATCGAATCAAAAAAATCAGGCAATCGAAAATAAGAAAAACCTTTCAAGTCCGTCAAGCAGAAACAATAATTGTTATGTAAACAAGGCATTGCAGAAAATTGATGTCCATGGTTATGACGATGGTAATGATAATAATCGTGAGAATTTTCTTGATGAAGAACAAAAAATGAATGTTATAAACAATTTAGCAAAGCAGCATATCGAAATGTATGATGAAGGGGAGTGCTCCTTCTCGAATAACAAAAACGTGTATAAAGTGTCAGGTCTGGATTATGAAGATAATGATGTACAAAATGGTAAATGTGGAAAATCAAATTTCGCGGAAGGAATAGAAGGCGATGGAAGTAGTGCTTATGCATACAACTTCTACAATAGCTGCAGCAGCTACAGCAATTACAGCAGTTACAGCAGTAACAGCAATTGTGGGAATTACAGCGGTGACGATAGAAAGGACATCAGTGATAAGCATGTGGAAAACAATTTCATTAACCAGTTGAGTGAAAGAGAAAAAAATGATGCGTTGAGGAATAGAAGTAATAAACGTGGAGACATACGATACACTAGGAAAAGAGAGAAAGATTGTCTTGATGAAGAAATGGAAAAAAAGTGCAGTTATAACGAACTTTTAAAAAGTGAAAAGAAATTAATGGATTCTAGCATTTTAAACAAGGAAACATATGTACAGATTGATAATCAAGAAGATATTGAGTTTGATAAATTTTTACATGATGACATAGAAACATATAAATCAATTTACAGAAACATTAGTGATAGTGTGTATAAAAAGAAAATCGAAAATTTCATTATGATTAGAAGTAACTTATATAAATATATGAACTGCTTGAATGTACTTGGGATTAGATATATTAACAATAATGACATAAACAATTTTGAAGAATTGTACAATAAAAATATTTCATTTAACCTCAAAAAGACATACACAAAGGTTAGAAAAGACATTTTACATCCGTTAAAAAATAATGTGTTAGAAAAGAATGTATATATAAATTTAAAAAAAGAAGCGAGCAAATATTATAACGAAATGAAAATATACAATGATTGTTATTTTTTATTCGATTTTATTTTAAAAAAATATGATAATAATTTAAAGAAAAACAATAAAAAGGTTGAATATTATATTGACAAAAATACATTCCTCTGTATGTGTGCAGATATAAAAATAAATAAAATAATTGAAAATATAGACATTCCTTCTAGTACTTACAACAATTTATTCGAAATTAATAAGAACTCTCATGAAAACCAAATGTATCAAATTGTTAAAGAAGCTTTGAAAAATAAAAATTATGATAACAGTAATAATGGAATGGAAAAAAAAAGGTATATTAATGCTGAGAATTATTCTAAGTGCTTCAGCTTTCGAAATCCCGCTAATTTATCAAATGACGCTATTTCAGAAGATAGTGTTCACAAGCACAAAAGCAAGGATGGAGAAATAGGAAGATATTCTTCTCTCTGCAACAGCGTGAATCGTGTAAAAATGGAAGAAGTGATGCATAATAAGAGGGGAACTCCATTAGTGGATAAAAACAAAGCAAGCGGAAAGGCTACTTGTAATGGCAATAGTAAGGAGGGTAATAGAAGTGATAGTAACCGTTGCAATAAAATCATTGGTAATAATTCGTATTACTCCTCCATGTTTTGCCCGTTTTCCCTAGCTCCAACTTCAAACAATCTGATGAATTTTAACACGATAGGAATTAACAGCACGAAATACAAAGGTAAAAGAAAAAAGAAAATGAACATTTATGACCTGGAATATTTATTTACAAGACAAGTATTCTTCAGCAAGTATATTAACAAAAATCAAGGATTAACAGTTATCGACTTTTTTTTACTAATGCAACAAGTAGCTCTTTTAATATTTCCATTTATTAGCTATGTTAGTTCGCACAATGTCTTATACCCTTATAATAGTGTAGCTTTTGATGAATTAAGCAACCAAGAAAACAATTTATTTGCTAACGGAACTAACGATACGGGGATTGGTAATGTGAAAAAATATGTCAAGAATAAAAAGAAAGGAGAAAAGGATGCAAATAATAATACTCATTTAAAAAGGGAAAATAATTGTAACTACCTCATGAATTCGTCAAAAAAGGACGTTAATAATTTTCTTGAGAAAGGAAGAGAGGTATTATATGGGCCTCTTAATCCAGAATTGAGTAGAACAAACTGTACCAATAATGCAATTCACAATATAGAGGGGAGAAAAAAAAAAAATTATTTATGGCATAAAAATGTTTGCAGCAATATTTACAATTTGTATGAGTATATTCAAATAAGTGTTAACCCCACTGTTAAAAATGCTTGCTTGGAAACTTTTTTAAATTTTATTTTTAATAAATATGGAATAACACAACATTCGTAATTTCTTACAATATTATTTATAAAAAATACAAAATGAGTTGGCGTTAGGTTTTAGCATATTATGGCATTTAAAGTTAATGCTTTATTTTTTAATATTTTTTTTTTTTGGGGGGGGTGCATCATATTTGTACATTCCTTTTTTTTCTATACTTGTTAAATGTGTTTTTGTTTATCTATTTTATGAAGTAATTTTCATTACAATAATGTCCTTTAAGTTGTCATCATTTGATTCTCTATAATTTTGCACAATTCGTCTTTTTTTTTGCCGTTTTATTTTGCTATATATAATATCACTTTACCATCGTCTAAATTTTTATGTTAATTTTTTTTTTTTTTTTTGTTCTTGTTTTTGTGCCTTATCTTCTTATCCTGTTTTTAATTGTGACTTTATTTTAGTTGTCGATATGTATAATTTTTAGGGTTTTTTTTTTTTTTTTTTTTTTTTTTTAAAGAATTGTGAAAGAAGAAATAAAAAGAGTTGTACCTTTATAAAAATGAAATTGAATCCAATTTTTATCCAAAATTTTTTACTACGTTATAAAATTATTTTTATCTTATTATATTTTCCTTTTTTGTACGACAAAGGTGCACGTTTCGTTATTTTGAGTAAGTTATTCGAAAAGAATTAATTTTTAACAGAACTCAAAAAATGATAAGCCTAAATGTGTTAATTTGTGAAAAAGAAAAAAGTTGAAATAGTTTATTTTCTAGGTACGTTATCCAGTAATTACACCATTTTGATTATGTAAGATATTGTATGCATGAAGATATATAATAATGCTTGTGCTCATTCATGTATAATGTGTATGTCTGCATTTTTTTTTTCCATGAACATTTAAAGAATTGTTTCCCATAAAAATTTGGAAAGTTTGGAAGTTCAAAGAAGGTGAATATTTCCCAAATGTGTGAACACACCTTAAAATGGTTAGAAGGGAGGTAAAAAAAAAAAAAAAAAGTACAACCAGTTTTTTTATGGTGAGGAATTGGAAAAATGCTACACACATGTGTTTCAATTTTTGCAAATTTTGGGGTTGAAAAAGATGTACTGCATTACATTTACTCAATTTTATAATTGTTCAGTTGAGTAATTGTTCAACAATTCGATTATTTTTTTTTTGTTTTATTACCCATTTTTGGGTTACACAACTTATGGAGAAAAACACAAATCCATTCGTGCAAAATTTCCCTAGAAAAATACACCACAAAGACTTAGGGATACAAAAAAGTGTTAAAAAGAAAACCAAGAGAAATACATTTCATCATTTTAAGGAATTACACTTAAGCATATTAACTTTTCCCATAACACCTTTTTAATATATTATTTAAAAAACAAAAACAAAGAAATGCTTTTAAAAGCATTCATAAGAACGTTATTTGTCGCACTTGAGGTAATTATTCCAGATAACGAATTCAAAAAAAAAAGGAAAATGATATTTTGATGTGTATTAAGGAGCACATTGTATAAGAGATTATGACACTGCAAAACCATTTGACAATATGTACCTGCATCCATTGCTTTAAATCAAAAAAAAAAAAAAAAAAAAAAAATGCATTATATAGCAAGAACATTTTAAGAAAATAAAATGATAATATTAACAAGAAAGAAACTTTACAATTTCATTTTGTTTAGAAACAAATAGCAACGCTTCTTTCTTTGTAACACCCCGTTGACATGATATTAAAATTGACAACAGTGCATACAAACATATATACATATGCATACACATAGATATGTATATATATAAACATATGCATAATGCACAGAAAGGGAACACTGCTTACCCAAGCAGTATTGTAAATGAAGTTACAAATAAATTCAAACACCTTTTAAAAAAAAAAAAAAAAAAAAATATTGTTTAATACAAAAATATAAGCTTCAGAAGGGCTGAAGATACGCATAATATGAATATTGAAAACAATTACAAAATCTTAACTCATACGCAAAACAGATCAAAAGCAGAATGCACTTGTGAAGATATGAATAAACATGTGTTGAAAGGTAATGACACTAATCCATTAAAAATAAATGAAACATGGAATGTTCAAGCAGGGGATGTTAATAAGAATAGTAACAAGTGTAATATCAAAAATACAGACAAAAAATTTATGGAATATGAAATAACTAAAAAGATAGAAAAGAAAAGCATGACCTTAGATTTACATGAGATTGATAAATTGGAATATGAAAATGAAAAAGGAAAATCTTTTTACATGGGAACGAAAAATGACACCAGTTGTTCGAGTTACACGGAGGAATACTCTAATAAGAACGACAAGGAGGAGGATAGCAATGTTATGGAAAATAATGGCAAAGAGGAAATTGTAAGTTTAAGGGTTAACCGTGCAGAAGATGAAAGTGCTAATTATAAGTGTAATAGAAAAGGGAAAATGTGGAAGAATAACATTTTAGAGGGTGAGATAGAAATATTGACACATAGAGAGGTAGAACTAAATAAACATGTAACCCCAAATGAATTGGACAAAGGTGGCAATAACATAAGTGAAAGTGAGATGGTAGTAAAAATAAATTACTCCAATCGTTATACGAAAGAATACACCTGCGATGAAAGCTTAAGAAAAATAAAAGAAACTACTACATCGCTAATTAACAGTAGCAAAAACGTAAAAAAGAAGAAATGCAAGTCCAGTAAAGAATTCTGTAATAAAACAAATGATGGTAATTTAGAATTGAAATATGAATGCAATAACATGGCGGTTAATCAGATAACCGATCAGGGAAATGTGTGTAATGAAAAGAATGAGAATACATCAAATAGAAAAGGTAATTATGAAATGCTTAATGATGAAGAAAAAGAGCATCGAATGGATGATTTAATAAATAATAAGAACAAGAGGAAACATTCTGATGATAATGGCAAAAATATATATGACACAAATTCTTGCGAAAAAGGGAATAAGAAAAAAAAGAAAACATTTTCACATTTTAAGGATAATGAAAGTGTAAAAAAGGAAAAAACAAAAAGTAATCATAAAAGAGGAAAAATTGGAAAAGTGGAAAATAGCGTCCAACTTATTTATGAAAAGGATCAGAAAGATGTACAGAGTGAAGATGGCTCTACGGTTGAATGCTGTACTCAAGAAAATGTAAATAAGGAGGAACAACTAAATGATGGTAACCAAATAGGTAAAGATGACAAAATCCACAACACATCAGAAGATAACATAATGGCGGGAACTAAGAAAAATACAAGTATGAAAGAAGGAATTAGTCGTAATATAGACGAATTCCATGGTACAAAGGATACAAAAAAAACATCTAATGAAAATGGTGAAGGGCATGTGAAGAAAAAATATGTAAGGCTTTTGAAAAGTCTGGAAACGAATTTATCGAAAAAAATGTTAGAACAGGAATGTGCAAAAAGAATTCAAACATGGGGAGAAAAATTTACTTTAGAACAAAAAATTAATCAGTTTATAAAGAATAAAATAGCTACAAGAACAGAATACAAATACGGGAAGAAGCAAAATACATTATCTATATGTAACCAGTTTAATTTGTATAATCACTTAACCATGTTAAATGATTTTAACAGGTTGCATTATTACAGAGCAGCAATGAGATGGACAGGGCATAAGGATGTGTGTGAATATATAGAGAGAGATGTGATGCCACATTGTGGAAATAGTAAAACGGATTTTTCTCATATGAGTAGTAGTGATAATATATCAGCTCAGAATAACAGTACAATATTAGTTCAGAATTCTTCTTGCGAATTTGAAAAGGAAAATATAGACAGCATGAATAACACCATAAACGCTTATAACAGGGAAAATGTAAAAACGTCAGACGATAAAAATGGAACAAAGAATCCATATATATTTTTTGAAAATAATAAAGAGTGCTATGTTTATAACAAAAACATAATTGAAATTGGAACTGGACCATTGTCTTTGTTATCTATAAATTCCATTTTAAATGGAGCTAAACATGTAGATGCTTTAGAAGTTAATAAAGATGCATCTGAAATGGCCAAAAAGTTAATAGAAGGATATAATTTAGAAGATTTTATTAAAATTATAAATTGTTATTCTAAGATGTATGTATACAAAGAGGGAGAAGATCAGAGGAGATTAAAAAGGAAAAATTCTTTTTATAACTACCTTGATTGTAACATTAATGAACAATACTGTAGTGATTTTAACTACGATTTAATAATAAGTGAAGTAATAGGAGATTTTGCTTCTCAAGAGGGGGTAGCAGATATATACCTCGATTTACATAAAAAAATATTTGCTTACAGAAAATATCAGGAGTATTTGTATAAATGGAATATGAAAAATAAATATAATAAGGATGTCAGTTATGATAGCAATAATCGAAGCAGTGACAAATGTGTGTTACATGACAATGTGGTAAAAACTTCATATGATGAAGTACAAACAGAACACACATATAATGGTAAAAATAAGAATAATGAAGAACAAAATATAAAAAAGGAAAATAAAATGTCATACAATGAATTTGCAGCTGATGAAGAATTATACAATTGTAAAGAGTTTTACAATATGAATGTTAAAAGTATTCCTTACAGCATTTCTACATACTACTGCCCTGTGAAATTTCCATACTATGATAATATAATATATAAGAGTGAAAATTACCCAGAAAGAACAATTATTAGCCCAAAAAGTAAACTATTACAATCTGTCATGCTGGAATGGTCTAATTTATTGTTAAGTGAAGATGAAAATGATAATGCCGATTTTGGAACATTAGAATATATATATTTAGAACAAAATGTAGCTAATCAAGTGATACAAAAAAGGAATCATATTTTCCAAATTCAAAAGAGTGGACCTTTTTGTGGTTTTTTAATAACGATAGATGTTGAAATTCGAAAGGGAGAACATTTTGGGACGAAGTATGGAACTTGTGATAGTTGGTATACCAACATAGTTTTATTAAAAGAAGAAGTAAATGTTAATAAAAACGACTTAATAATTAGTAAAACATATACAAATTTGTTAAATTATAATGAACATGTTATTGATAGGAAAACAGTTTTAGTTTCAAGACCTTCGTACACCTTTTATGGCTACATTTTAAAGTCCATAAGACATAAACCATTTTTGAAGTTAGAATCAGGTAGTTATAGTGATTCCGGCCATAGTTCTTATAAAAATTCTGATGATGAAGACCATACTTGTAATATAAATAAATTCATATACTTGGATGATGAAACTATATTATCGCTAGACCAGATGAATTTTCATGAACAAATTTTAGCAGATATGAACAAACAGAATAGTAGTAAGAACGAATCTCCCATCATAGAAATCTTAAAAAAAAATAATAATTCAGATGAAACACTAGGGGAAAATATGTTAAATGATTTAGATGAACAAGCCGTAGATAAATGTGAAGATCATTCCAAAGTAGACGGTATATTAGCAGATAATTACTGTAGTGCAATGGGAGTTAATTCTTCAGCTAAGGAAGAATCTTACAGTGCATCAGTTTGCAACAATTCCAATATTGATATAGGGAGTAGGATGATGAGTTCAGAAAAAGACACAGATGGACTTGCGAATGAGAGTATGTTTTTGCAAAATGTTGATAAGACGAAAAAGTATGAAGATTTCTCAATGGGAGAAAAGGAAAAAGAAGAAGAAAAAAATTTAGATAAAAAAAAAACTCACGAAACAGACACATCTGGGAAAGACAAAGAACCCAACATACTCAAAGATTCGTCTATAAGTAAACAAAATATAAAAAGGGATAATTTAAAAGAAGAAAAGAACAGTTTAGCAAAAGTCGAAAAGGATAATAGGGGAAAATATGACAACATTAATAACAATAATATTAACAATAATAATCGTAACTGTCAGCAAAAAAACATAGAAAATGCGTCAAGCAAAGGCACCAAGAACTCCACGAATAAAAAAAAAAAGAAAGATAATTCACAAAGCAAGAACAAAGACAGAAAATTATTAGACAAAAGCAGGGAAGAATACGAAAACGAAATATTTGATATCACCAATAATTACAATTCAAACTCGAAATTTTGCTATGAAAACTTAAAAGATAAAATCTTGGTTTACAAAAATATGTTGTATAAGCTCATGCTGATTTACGAGCCCATTGTCATTGACTACGACGAACAAGCAACAGTGATTTATAAAAAGGATGATATATATAACAACAAAGAAAATAATGTAAATAAATTTGTGAATAACGTATATCAGTGAACATTTCATGTGATCAAAGGGATTTTTTTATTAAGATATATCAGTTTTTTTGCTATTAGTGTTGTTAGCAGTAGTATTGGAGACATTATTATTATCATTCGTAGCAGTATTATTAGAAGTATTGTTAATTATAAAATATCCATTGTTGATTCCCAGTGCAAGTGGTACCCACTGACAATTACAATGGTTACCCAATTTAATGAAGCAGATCTTTGTAGACCCATTTTAAACCTGATGATGAATCCTACTATGTTGTTTCTTTTTGATGAGAAATGCTCCATTGCATTTCATTTTTATAAATGAACATATCTCACTACATGTTTTTGTTTTAGATAGTTCATATATGCTTCAATTTTTACCTTTTTTTTTTTTTTTTTTTATTTCAAAATTTTTCTTTGTAAGAAAATAATGTCAATGACACCGCCTACAAAACAGATCTGTCTTATGTCAAATATGACCCAATTTTTTTGGCTCTAGCAAAGCTACACAAACACACACACATATATGTATATACATGTATACTCATATTCCAGATTTGGCATTTAATTTATACTTTTTTCACTTCAATTTTAAACTGCTTTCTAACAATTTTATATGGCTTTTAAATATCTTACACAATATATACACAACGTTGAAATGGCGTAAATTTGATTGCAAAAAAAAAAAAAAAAAAAAAATCCTATATGTATATTGAGCATATACACCGAGGTAATGTGAATGAATAATAATAAAGGCACTTGTATGTATAAGATATGTTGAAATATAGTTCCTTTTTCTTATATTGTTGGTGTAAAAAAAGAATTCTCATTTAATTAAAACATCATTGTTTGGGGTGGTTCCATTTACTTTTTAAGTGTAGATCTGCATCATTACTTATTTATTCTTGATTCTCGAATTATTTCTATGTTTGTACATGTGTATTTATCTCTTTAAAGACATAAGGACAGTAAACATAATAAAAACCATATATGTTACTGTATGGTTATGAAAATTGATAAGGGATTCTGCTTGAGGTGTGGCTGGGTCTACACCACCCATGGCTAATCTCCACATTTTTGGTGCATCACATCTGAGAGGGAAATAGAAAAATAAAATTGGTGCATTTTCAATGTGTAACTCTTAAGTTGCCTAAGCATTGCAATGCGTGAAAATGAAGTTTAAATACACTGTGTTTATACACCCTTTCGGTTCTGTTAAATGGAATAAAGTAAAATTAATATGGGGAAGTCATTCCATTCTTTATTTACGTTTTTGTGTATATCAGTATGCATGTGTTTTTATAATTTATGTAAACAACATAAATATAGCCAAGATGTTATAGTGCGATGAATGTAAGTTAAAAAAAAAAAGAAAAATGAAAAAAAAATTTACCTTGTTACACGAACATTTGGAACTAAATTGTTTTTTAACGATTTAAAACATTTGAATAAAAAATTACTGTTCTTTTCTTCTTGCATAATGGAAAATTAACTTGTTATAAAAATGAAAGTAAAAAAAAAAAAAAAGTGTTTATTTATTAATATGATAGAATTACTATGAATGAAAAGAAAAAAATATATATATAAACATTTTTAGCTCTTTTAAAGCTCAGCATTTAATGAATAGTTTTTTCGTAAAAATATGGAAATTGAAAGTATTTTGAATATTTTTATTGGACATGTATATATATCTGAGGTTAAATATAATGTGTTGTGATTTCTAAAAAAAAAGAAAAGGAATAATATCTGCGTGGGTATGTATATGCACAAAATTGCTTTTTAAATGTATAATTGTATACATATAATGGCTCGTAATTTTTAATCAACTTGTAGCATTTATAATTTCCATGTTTATATATACATAGATATGTGCATGCGTATGTTCACTTAAAGGATAAGGTTTTGCATTTTTTTTTTTTTTTTTTGTTTCTTTAACTTTAATCTATAAAATCTTCTCAATGTATTATTTTAAATAAACTTTTATGTTAATATCATTTACCCGATTTGTTCATGCATATCAAGTGTAACACATGGGCTAAATGTTGAAGTGGAGAAAAAGAAAAGTACTTTAAAGCCATGTTTTGATTGAACAATAAAGGCATATAAAGCCGTTTGATTCATTACATTTTTTCCTCTATATATAAGTCATTGTGGTTGAGGATAGGAAACAAACTGTTAAAAATATTTTTTGACGGATTTTCGTAATTGTATTGAATAAATGTGTCACACAGAAAAAATTAAAAAGAAATCAAATAATAAAGAATAATTAATGTTATATTGCATGAGGTATAATATGGGATACAAAATATGGAACAAATAATAAAGGAAATTTTCTGAATTGTCAATGATGCTTAAAATTTTTTTTTTTTTTTTTTTTTTCACGCACGCTATATTACTATTATTGAAACACTACATTATGTATTGTAAATACACATGATAAAAAGGCACTACATATATACAGAAAAAATATTTTTTGTATATATTGAGGTGTAATTATCAACAAAAGAGTCTTTTCAAATATAAATAAGCACCTTTGCCAACTCTATAATTAACCTTATTTTTATTTAATGGAAAATCGGGAGAAAAGTAAGTGTAGCATTTATAAACTTTTGAAAGAGTTACATTATATAAAATATGTATTTTGTTCAACTGATTCATATTGTCCTGCATGCTTATCTCATCAGCATCGGGCACATGTGATGACATGTAATTTTGTATTAATGACAATCCACTTAAAGCATAACACGTGTGATAATAGTCAACTTTTTCCATTGGTTTGTCTTTCATTCCACCCTTATTTCCTTGAGAACAAACAAGTAAATAAAGTTTTAGATAATTCATATTAAACATTACTTTTTTTTCAATATGCTTATGTTTATAATTTTCAAATTTGATTTGTTCTGTGTGCGTTTGTGTTGTGATTGATTGGTTGTTATAGTTAAAATTGTCAGATTTGAGAGTCATTTTATGTTCGCTTGAATGAAGAAGGGATTCATTTGCATCAGAATAATATATGTTATCATGGTTCTTAGTATATGCATTTTTGTTATGAATGTTGCACGTTTCATGTTTATCCATTAAGTCTATAAAATGGTGTACATTCTTTACCTTACATTCGCTTTTTTTTACATTCCATTTTTCAGAATTGTTTAGGTCATTAGGGTTATGATAACCAGTATTATTCTCAATTTTATCACTTCCGAGAACGTGTTTATTTTTATCTTCGATTTTGCTTTGCTGTAAGAATTCTTTTAAGATATATATCTCATTTATTAAAAAGAAAATGGATCCAATCCAGAATGAATAGCAAGCATCCACCAACTTGTTTGTTCTTCCCATAAATGCACCTTCTAAATTCCCTTGTTTATTAAGTAACCATTGCATTAAGTTATTTATGTTTACTTTTTTAATTTTTCCTAGTATACACAAAGTAGCTAATGCACAATATGTATAACCTCCATGACTTTCTTGGAATTTTTCACTCGTAAATCCTCCTTCATAATTTTGACAAGATAAAATATATTTTTCCACATTCTTTTTTACTTGATTAGTTAGTATATGACACATGGAACATATTGATATGGCACAGTACGTTCCCCTCATATCTATTTCTCCATTTTTATGTAGCCTAAATGAGCCATCTTTGCATTTTAATTTAAGGATATAAGAATGCAATTTTTTTTTATCCAGAAAACTTAGAAAATTGTTTTCTTCATCGTGTAAGTATATGAATACGCATACAGTAGCATAGGTAGTTGCTATGTGCGTATACTGATTTAGTCCACCTCCAAAAGCACCATCTTCATTTTTAATTTTGTTTAAATAGAGGAAGACACAATTTTTTATATAAGTAAAAGTGGTTTTGCCTAATTTCTGCTCAATTTCTATGTCATTATATAAAATGTAAATGCTGTGAATACACCAATAGAAAATCCAAGGTTTAGACGCTTCCAAAAAACTTAGCCTTAAATTTTTTATAAAAAATATATCAGTGCAAAATTTGAAATGTTTTTGTTTTTCTAAATGTATATTTAATACACTGATAAATTTATTGAGCAGAACAGAAGATTTGTTTAACTTGAAATAAAAATTTTCAACAATTAGTGTGTCATCTTTAATGTGAACGTTTTTTAGTTTAGAAATGTCCCAATGTTCATTACCTGCTACGGGTGTAGTGTTTGCATTTTTTTTTTTTTTTTGTAATATTTCGTCTATATAAATGGAAATACTTTCCCCTTCATGCTTCCAGCTTGTGTTGTTCGTGGTGATATTATTTCCCAATTTTTCAGCATCAGTATTGACAACATGGTATTCTTCACTTTTCTGTTGTAACATTTGCTCATGCAGAAATGTGCTTCCTACTGAATTGTTTTGGGCCTCCTTGTGGGGGAAAAATTCCTTTCTATTTTGTATTTTCTCAAAATTTTCTTCTTCATTTTGTGTATTCTCTTCATTACCTTGTCCTATCGTGCAAAGACTTTTAACACAATTTTTTTTAGAACATTTTTCAAAAAGGGTTGAATTGTCTGCGTGTGTGTGTTTATATGTGACTTTATTTAAAACTGTTTTGTCATTACTATATTTGTACTGTTGAATATAGGTATTTATTAGCTCAAAGGTGTAATAGCCTTTGGAAAAAAAGGAACTAATATGGTCAATATTTCCAACGTTATCAAAAATGAAGAATAAAATAATATCTGAAATTTCCACACTGGAATTATTTAAAAGCATATCAATAATAGTGGATAAAAAAGACTTATAGTAGATATTCAATATTTGCTTTTCTACTTTTTTCTTTTCCTTTAATGTTTGTGTATTTTTGTTACATTTTAAATCAAAATTGAAAAAATTCTCATACACATGATTATTATTATTTTCATGAAATGGTTCTTCCAGATTTTGTTTTTTGTGTGCTTCTCTATTTTCATTGACATTTTTCATGTGTCCGTTTCTATGATGATTCTCATCTACCTTATTATGAGAACCTGCTATCGAAGTTGAGTTCAATTTTAAGTTAGACATTGAATTGGATGTTAAACTAGAATTTATACTAGAAGCTGTGTTGAAACTGTTATCAACATTTGGATCTACTACTTTGTAATTTACTTCCATATTATCCCATTCTTCCATTATTACATTTCTGAATTTATCTTTGTCTACTCTATTTTCATTAATACGGATATGTGTTTTTTTTTGCGCATTCATTTCCTTGTGGGGGAAAATGTTGGATACTTCTCCATCGTTCTCACTGGAATTTATTAAAATTTCGCTTAAGTTTTCAGAAGAGCTGGTACAATAATAGTCATTGTGGTAGTAATCTTTGTAGTCAATGTCATTTTCTTTACTTAAATTAAAAACATATTTAAATAATAACAGAATAAGATTTTCTAAATAGTTGTAATGTTCATCATTTTCAAAATCTGGTTTGTATCCATCTTTTTTTTTTTCATATTTTGTTAACTCTAATAACAATTCTGCTAAATATATATTTTTATTGAATCTTAGAGTGTACGTGTCACAAGGATACATCTTCGATTTTGCTTGTTTTCTCGTTTACTTGTCTGTTTGTTTGTTTTTTTTTTTTTCTTTTTCACATTTATTACAGTCTCCTTGAACAGAATGGGAAGCAGAACACGTCATGCTTTAAAAAGAAGTTAAAAATAAATGTGAGAGAAATTACAAGATAAAAATTTCGTGTCACTTAAGAGGTGCTTGTTGGAATAAAGCGTGATAGTGTAGAATTTTTTTTTTTTTTCTTTTCAACAACTGATTAGCATGCTAATTTTCTCGTTATGTGCAAATTAAGCATACGAAATATTAAATGACAAACTTGTACGAAAAAATTTAAGTGTATATCTATTTGGGTAGCATTATGCCGGTTTAACGCCAAAAAAAAAAAAAAAAAAAAAAAAAAAAAAATTATAAAAAAAGTTATAAAAAAAGATATAAAAAAAGATATAAAAGAAGTTATAAAAATTATGAGGTTGCATATGATAATTGCTAAAAAGGGTGGAAACACATATTCAAAGAATATGTAAAACAAATTTTCAATAATTAAAACAAAATAGATGATTAATTAAAAAAGGGGAATATAAATATGTACAACATATTCTTGTAATAAAAAAAAAAAAAAAAAAAAAAAAATGTAAAGAACTTCAAAAAAAAATAAAATTATAACTTTGGTAATTTTTGAAAAAACATTCCGGTGTAAGAAAAAAGGTAAATTACTTTTTTATTCTACATGCTTATTATTTTATTTCATTATTTTTATTTTCTACTAATTTGTAAAAAATACAAAGAATAAAATTATGTCTTCTTTTTATATTTAAAAGAGTATTGTTTGTATATTTCAGGCCTTCTTTTTTAAAGAAAGTTGGCTAACATGAAAAAGGTTCCCTTTGCAATGAATTTTGAGACTTTTGCATTCTCACACATCTGTATAGAAAAATCATATATGTGTTGTGTGTACAAAAAGGTATATATTAAATAGGGGTAATGAAGTGGGTGCGAATAAGGATGCACAAAAACTGTGACATATAATGGGGTTACATTATATATAAAAATATTGTGAATTTTTTTGTTTTTTCTATTTTTACGTTAAGATAATATTTTATTATGTCATTATTATTTGTACAAAGGATTGCATTTTTCTGTATAGCGAGCTCGACAAATAAATCTGTATCTGCGGCAGAAAAAAAAGAAATAAATACAATAATATATAAAAACAAATAATTTCCTATTACTGCTAAAAAAAAAAAAAAAAAAAAAGGGACGAATATTCAATAGAATAACAAAAAATGTGTAAAAGTATCACTTTTCTTTTTTATTCAATCAACATAGTTACCCTTTTCATCCATGGTTAACACAGACGAATCTTTATTTTTACTCCCAACTTTTAGTAATCCATCTTTTTCTAATTCCTAGTTAAAAAAAAAAAAAAAAAAAAAAGGGACGAAAATAGGAATGATTTAAATGTGGTATATATTCTCTTAAATATTATAACATTTTTGGAAAAAAAAAAATTGTTGAGAAGCAATTGTGTATATGCACATTCATGTACAACAAAAAACATTACCTTAAAAATATGTAGGTGAAAATCTCCTGATTCAATGATATTATTTTCGCAAAATGCTATGTTATGGTACCACCAATGGGGAATATATATCTGCATTGTGAAAGAATTAAAAATGTGTATTTTGTTATACACATATGTATACATTTATGTATGTACTTTATAAATGTTATATAACCGGTTTGTGTTACAATGTGCTCTCGTTAATGTATGAAGTATAAAAAGGACTAATCTGGGTGGTAACTCTTTCCAGATTTATGTATTTGCATATATGTAAATATATGTATATAAAAGTCTGTGAGTAGTTCATACACGAGAAGTGTGAGATATATATTAATTGTTAATTTTATTTTATCATATTTATTTTATTTTTTTTCAAAGTACAATTGGATGCATCTGGCTCTTCAGCAAGGATGTAACCGCGTGTATTAATCGGGTGATAGATAATTTGGTTTTATATTTTACTAAGTAAGAATATGCATCATTTATCAAAACATCAAAGTTAAAATTTTCTCCATCAATATAACCATCCATTCCAGAACATATATTTAATGCATCTAGCACAACACATTGTTTTGTTACATTTGAATTATTTAAATAATTCCTCCATGTAATCATTGTATGATATTTGCTTTTTTCTATTATGTTTGTGTTAAGCAGACTGTTGTTAGTTCCTTTCACAATCTGATCATTTGAATCATTATTCTTTTCTTTTTTGTTGTTATTTTTAAAAGTCCCTTTCGTAATGTTCACATTATTATGGGTTTGATTGTATATATTGTGATCATAACTTATTGTAGTATTATTATTTTTATAAAAATATATAATTTCATATGAATATCTTAAAAGGATAATATCATATCCCCTGAGTATTCCGTATTCATTACTGCCTAATTTTTTTATACTTTCATTTGGAAAATGTTCTGTTATTTCATTTTGTGTGCTAATAAAATTATTAAATTCTTTTTCATCTGTTGAATTAACTAAAAATAATATAGAAAAAAACTGTGGCTCAAAAATATCATTTATATAAATCATACTTTTAATATTTTGTTTTTTTAAATAATTAAGTGTTTTAAGTTCGTTTTTATCTATTTTTCCGTTTGTGTTTATTTCTTTTTTGTACATAACTATTTGTTCTATGCGTTTAAATGAGTTATTATTAAAACTAGATGTAAATTTTTTTTTCCTATTTCGCCTATTTATCAGTTTAACTGTGAGAGTTGACTGAACCAGTAGTATATTACGTTTATTACTGATATTGCAATTGTTCGAAGGATTGGCCATATTACTGAGTAGGTAGTAGGAGTAATTCAATATCTGGGTTACAAAATTGTCCAATTTTAACACAAGATTTTCAAAATAATAAAACCATGTATAGTAGTGTACTTTTTTCTTCAAGTCCTCATTAAATAATAATTCTTCGAAAATAAAATACATATTTTGATCTTCATTTCCTTCCTGACGTGTGTGTAATTTTTGGTTACTCTTATTAGATATGTACGTCTCTTGGTTGATGTTTCCATGACAGTTTTGATTTGTCTTTTCGTTTTCTTGTTCCATAACAGTATTTATATTTTCCCCGTTTTTTTGTTTATCCTTTTTAACATTTCCCCCATCATTTTCGTTGCAAGGATTATTTTTTTCTTTATTGCCTTTTTTTTTTTTTTTTTGGTTTTCACTTTTTTTTTTCTTTATACCATCATTCATCAGAGTGAGGTAGGTTTTTATGTTTACGAAGTTTGGGAAACAGTTCTTATCTTTTTTTTTTTTTTTCTTTTTTTTATTTCTTTTGCACCTCTACACGCTTTAGTCTATTTGTTTCTTCCTATGTAAAGGTTTATTTTTTCATACAGTTTGTGTCACAAAATAAAATAATGTAAAATCAAATATCCCTTTGAAAAAATTTGCTTTTAAATGATACTTTTACATATATGAAGAATTTGAAGTATTATGTTGTGACTGACATTGCATAAAAACGCTTGAAAATTGTATGATGCGACTCTAGAGCAATGACGTGGGGTTCAGTTGAAAATTGGAAAAAAGTAAGGGAGGGGAATGTGTGTATTTATTTTAGATGTATACTTATATATTTATGTAAATATATGTACATTTCTGTGGAACCGTAAGAACACTAAAATTTCAGAAAATTCAATTTTTCGTATTTTTTTTTTTTTTTTTTTTTTTTTTTTAAAACAATTTTTAATTTACAATTACGCCTGAAAGTAGTGTAAATAGGGTTACAAATATATGTATATATTTATATATAATCATTTATGTATATGTATTACAGGCATATAATCCTTTATATGCTTATAATGCCATCGACCTAACACCTGTGTATATTTATATAGTTCGTTTTAAACACATCACAAAAATGCAAATGTACCATTTTGCGAATTAAATCACAATCGTTATTCACCCTATGTCGCTTTAGTGCTATATTGCTTCACGTCATAATTTAACGCATTTAAAAATTTGAGAATGTATATATTTATATACACGTACATGCATATATAATTTGTGAGGTTAGTAAGATGACAAAATTTGCTTTCATTTACGTATAAAAATATTCTTTTTAGTATATCTTCCATTGCGCTTAATTAAATTTTGCAAAAAAGGCCATTTTAAAAATAGTCCATAAAAAAAATAAAATAAAATAACACAGCCCTTTGATCTGTTCACAGGTGAAACCACATCAATAGTATCTTTCAGCATAATTTATTTCTCATTTCCACAATTATTTTTTTATATTTTTTGTGGAAATTTTTGAGGAATTTAAAACATCAGTGTGTCAGTTGTTAATGAAAAAAGAAAAAACAACATAAAAAATTTTCCATCATAATAAAACGTATTTGCAAAAATATGCGAGATCTGGAAAAATATATATATAAGTTGCTTTATTAAAAGTAGTGAAAATTTCCACCCTTTTTATACACATTGTAGAGGAGTATATAACACCGTTTTTATTGTTAAAAGTAATTTTACCAAATCAAATGGAAAAAAAAAAAAGTAGCTCAATCATTTAACATACCATGAATATAATTTGAATTTGTCATGCCGTTTGTATTATTATATATGATTTATACTTTTTTTACTTAAAATGCCGCCAAAAAAAAGTATAGTGTAAAACATTAATGGTTAGCAAAAAGAGTTATGAAAAATTGGAACAGAAAAAAAAAAAAAAAAACTAAAACAAAAAAAAAAATCAGGTGATAGCGAAAAACAATCAATCAGATAATATAAGGTAGGTTGAATTAGGGTAAATAAAAACTCGAAATTTCCAGACATCTTAAAAGACCAATAAAAAAAGAAAAATGTTGAGCAGAACAAGAAGGGTTTTTTTTAGCACAGTAAAAAGTAGCAACTTATATCTAACCATATCTTCCTCTAGTGAATCCATATTTAGAAATCAAATAATTAAAAGGGCTTCGTTTCCAGGTTCACTAAATAGAAAAATTAATTTAGAAAAAATATATAGTAAATTAGTAGTAACCATTACTAATGTAATTTTTTTTTTTTTTTTTTTTTTGGTGTAGGAATTGAAGGATATTTCACTATAACCAATAACCACAGTCCCCTAGTTACCTTATTAAGAAATGGGTTAATTACTGTCGAATTTGATGATAAAGAAAAGAAACAATTTTTTATATCAGATGGAATATTTATATATAAAAAAAGTAATGACAACAGTAACAGCAATAATGCTGAAATCGTAGGTGTTGAAATTGTACCACTAGAATATTTGGACAAAAATAAAACAGTTAAAGTCTTACAGCAGATGTGTGCAATAAATGACGCCACTGATGATAAATGGAGAAAAGTTAAGACCATGTTGGGGTAATACATATGTGCTCATATATAACTGCTATTTATTTGTAACAGCTATTATTGGGGTAAAGTGCAGAAATGCAAAAACGTAAAAACTCAAAAATTTTTTTTTTTTTTTTTTTTTTTAGGAAAGAGTTATGTTCTTCAATTCTTCGCTTTGCTTCATGAAAGTAAAAAAGGTAGATGGATTTTTATATGAATTTTAACATGTGTCAAATTGTGAAAAGGATCTTTTTGCAAATTTAGGATTAAAAATTGTTTACAAGTAGTGTGTAACAGTGGTTGTAAATACAAATTTCCTTTTTTAAAATTGAGCTAATAAAAAATGTAATGACCTAGTTATGCACATTTTATATGTGTATATGTATATATAAATACATTTGAGCGTAAATGTACATGAACATAAATGTATGTAAGCGTAGATGTACATAAATACATGTGCATATTTGTGTGTCTATCTGTAGTTTTTCATAACTGGGCTCAACAACGCTAAATATAAAATATAAGAATAAAACGTTAATGTTTTGGTTTCTTTTTCTTTTTCTTTTTCGTTTTTTTTTTTTTTTTTTTTTTTTTAAATTAAGTTCTTATTTATTTTTTTTTTTTTGTGTGTTTTTTTTTTTTTTTTTTCTATAAATGATGTGTGAGTTTTTTTTTTTTTTTTTTTTTGCTTGAAAATAGAACATTAGAACTAAAAGGAATGTCAAGCAATATGAGTGAATATTGAGACAAAAAATATAAAAATTATGCATGTGTGTTCATAAAAGAAATATTATACTTGTTGCACTAAGGTTCGTTAAATTATTTATTTTTTTTTTTTAAAAATAAATAAACTCGAAATAAAGGAAGCCCGAATAACCATCTTTTGTATAACAATTAGCTTAAAGGTTTATTTTATTTTAATTGTTTTTTTTTTTTCTTGCAAAAAATTTGAGGTGCTGTTAAGAATAAACTTATAAATGTACGAGTATTTTGTGTCTACATTTTATTTGTTAACTTTTTTTTTTTTTTCTTGCAAAAAATTTAAGGTGCTGTTAAGAATAAACCTATAAATGTACTAATACTTTGTGTCTATATTTTATTTGTTAATTTTTTTTTTTTTATTTTCTTTTGATTAAAGATAACTTTTTCATTTAAAAGGATTTTTATACATTTATTTTTTTCACATGCTATAGAATCAAGTTTATGCATGTTGTTCGCTTGTACATTCTTCTAATTTTTTTAAATGCTTATTAAATTGATTAGATGTGTTGTGTAGTATATCATATTGCATTTCTTTTCATGCAAAAAGTGTATACACAAATGTATGTGTATATGATATCTTATTTATTTTCGTATATAGCTAAGTGAATTTTTCTTATTGGCCACATTTTGTGCTGTGTAGAAAATTTTTAAGTTTTCAAAAATTTTCTGTATTATTTTTTAACAAAATTTTATTTTTTCTTGTTTCGTCACACTTGGCTCTTTTTCTTTTGACATTTGTTTTTCTTTTTTTTTCTTGTGAATAACTCTATTTATCTAACTTTTAAATGAATTTATTTGAATTTTCTTTAAAAAAAATAAATGAAAATTCAATATAATTTGTATATATCTTTTGCATAACTTTTTATTTTTTTTTTGCTAATTGGTCATGATTTATGCATGCATACAAGTAAATATATTTGACCTAGTTCTTTAATCTAGAATTATTAGGATTATTCTGTCTGATTAAAATTAATACCTAAATGTTTTTTACACCCATTAGAGAGTGTCTAAAATGGTGATATGTGGCTTATTAGCACTTGTAATATCATCGTGCATTTATAATGCGACGCATATAGCGAATCCGCAGGAGGCTTTTATGGACAGATTTGACATAGCTAAGAACCATTTAAATATAAGGTGGTCTAGCAATGGTTCTCTAGGAGAGGGGAGCTATAAATTTGTTGTGGGTAAGCAAGGAAAAATGGAAAATAATATTATTGGAGTTTTTAAAACACATTCATGCTTCCGATGGTTTATTACTGCACTCTAAAATTTGTTCTTGTAGCACATTAGATTTTATGACTACATATGCTCATTTAACAATGTGATTTTTTTTTTTTTTTTTTTTTTTTTTTTTAATATATATTATGTAGATTATTCGTTTTTGCAACTATAGAAAAAAAATATTTGTTTTTTATATATTTATATTTTCTTTCGATATTTCTTCCATTTTAGGTGATGAAAAGAGTGAGTCCTCTGAGCTTAATACATCTGACACCATGGAAACCTGTCCAAATCATGAATCCCCAGGAATATATAAGGGAAGATGTCCGGATTATGGAAGAACATTTGTAATGGATGTACAGGGGGATAGATATAATGAAGAATTTTTAAACGAAATTAGTTTTGGTTTGTTGAATAAGAAACTGGATCTTTCAATAGAAATTCCAGTCGAAAAAAGTGGATTAGCAATGTATCAAGGTCTTTTTAATAGTTGTCCTTTAGACGAAAATCATAATTTATTAATCAAAATGGAAAATGAATATAACATGTGTTTTACAAAATTTTATGATAATATGAGTTCAGCTAGAAGATATACAAAAGGTGCGTTAAGGAATAAAGACTTACACTTTAGTTCTCATGGATTTGGGGGACGATTCGGCTCTAACATGAGTCTTCCTTTACATGATTATGATCCATTGGATAGCCATGAAACTAAAAAAATGAGATATGCCAATTTAATAAATAATTTGTCCGATTGTTCTAGTTATTCGCATTGTATTGGTCCATGCTTTGACAAAGATTTTGATAATAAATGTTTTCGTAATTTACCTGTTGTTTTCAATCATAAAACGAAAGAATGTGTTATATTAGGTACACATGAAGAAAGCAGAAAAAGAAATTGCCTCTCTGATTTTTCAGATGGTTATGATAAATGTTTTATACCAGTAAAAAAGGAATCAGGAAAGGAATGGACCTATGTGTCCTCATTTTTACGTTCGGATTACGAGACAAAATGTCCCCCAAGATATCCTTTGAATGATACAGAATTTGGATATTACAATTATAGTACTGGTGAATGCAAATCTTCTATAAAACATTATGACAATAGTTTTAGAACTACGTTCAAAAGCTGTATTGAAGGACTATTCAATTATCATGAGGGTGATAATGAAACTGGCAAAACTAATTTTTTCTGGGGTGTGTGGGCTTTGGAAGATGGTTCGAAAAAATTAAATTCAATGGATGATATTGGGAGATGTACCATTCTTAAGAAAAAACCAACTTGCGTATTGCGTAAGGAAAATAACTACTCCTTTACGAACCTATCGGTTAATTATTTTGATCTTCAACAGAATACAACATACCCACATATTGATGAAATGATGGGGCATTACGATGAAACAAGTGAATTCTTAGATATGACATCAAGTAGTAACGATAAAGGAGCATATTTAAGCGAAAATGGTAAAAGAATGAGGACGAATAATGTGAGAAACGAGAATAAAGAAATAAAAGAGGTTACAACACGTCCAAGTTTGGAATATAAGAGGGGGGGAAAAGGAAATGGAGTTTCTGGAATATATATTAACACTTCTAAGCATATGTCTTTTGTACAACAGAGTTACAGATCATCATTTCAAAATAAGCAGGATATCGTGTTTGATAGGAAGGATGGACAAGCAAACAAAATGATTGAACTAAATGAAACTTCAAAGAAGCTTTCACACAACTCAGATTTTCGTAATACAAGGAGATATCGTCCATCGTCTCATTTGTATCCTACACGAAATGAAAGGGAAGGTAATTACAAAATATCAGATGATAATTCCGAATTTGTGATAAATCCTCAAGGTACATTTATGGAAAGATTTGATATTGAAAAAAACCATATTTTTATTAACTGGAAAAAGGATGGAAAATTAGGAAGGGATCATTTAAAATATGATGTCTTGAAGAATAAAACTGCTGGTACTTGTCAATCATTATTAATTGAAGATTTTGAAGATATTTGTCCAAATCATGCTATTCCAGGAAGAGCACAAGGAAGTTGTCCTAACTATGGTAAAACAATTATTGTTCAAACACTTTTAGACAAAGTTAGTGATGTTCACTTTAATTATAATTTTTTAAATGAAATACATACTGGATATTTAGACTCAAAATCCAGAGTTCCTGTTGAACTTCCTTACGACAAAAGTGGAATAGCTATGCATCATGGTTTTTCTAGTATGTGTCCAATAGATGCCAAAGAAGAAATGCTCTTCAAAAAAATGAATGATTACAATTATGATATGTGTAAATCTAAAATATTTTCGTCTAAAATCTCTATGAAAGAATGGGATTATAGTAATCAATCGTTTAAATATTATGGTCTTTATGGTTTTGGTGGTCGATTAGGTTCGAATATGCCATATAGAGTAAAAAAAGGGGGAAGAAACACAACTAACATAACTTTACCAATGAAAAATCCAGGTTTGATAAAAAATTTGTTAGATTGCTCTCTATACTCCTACTGTTTAGGACCTTGTATTGAAAAAACATACAAAAATAAATGTTTTCGTAACTTACCAGCTTATTATAATCATTTGACAAATGAATGTGTAATACTTGGAACACATGAACAAGAAAGATCTGAAAAATGTAGAAAAGAAAAAAATGATTTAAGTCAACCTAATTGCCAGATTCTTAGAAAAACAGAAAATTCTAAAGAATGGACATATGTCACATCATTTATTAGGCCTGATTATGAAGAAAAATGTCCACCTCGATTCCCTCTTAAATCTAAAATTTTTGGAACCTATGATAAAAAGACAGGAAAGTGCAAAAGCCTTATTAAAGAAAAAGATCTAATTGGCATTATAAGTTTCGAATCCTGTTTAGAATATTTGTTCTTAAACTCTCCAAATGACTTTTATAGTAGTGAAAAGGGAAAATATTGGGGTGTATGGGCTTCCGATAATCCGGTTAATAAAGATAATATTCATATGACTAAAGGAAAATGTTATTATATCCTTCGAAAACCAACTTGCGTTATCCACAAAGAGAATTATTTTTCATTTACGTCTCTCACAGCCAATAGTATTGATTTTGATCAAAATTTTAACATAGAATTCGTTGAAGAATTAATTACGAGAACATACATAAATGGTTCAGTTAAAATAGAAAATTCTAATATAAATACCAGTATAGACTCGTTAGGAAAGGACAAAGCGTCAAACACTTTATATTATAATTCTAATTCGATGCATAAAAGCGATCTAGTAGATGCGAAGGAAATTGAAGGCGCAAGAAAAGCAGATATAGCCAGGATGTCAGAAGAATCACGAAGAATTGAAAACAGCAGAAGGGAAGAGGATGAAAGGAAAATACTGGAAGCTTTAAGGGCCAAAGAGGAGAGAAAAGCAGCGGTGGCGAAAAGGGTCGAAGAAGTGAGAAAAGAAGATATAGCAAGATTAATAGAAGCCTCGAAACGGGACGAAGATGCGAGAAAGGCAGAAGAAGTCAGGAGAGTGGAAGCAGCTAGACAGGCAGAGGAAGCAAGAAAAGCTGAAGCAGCTAGAAAGGCAGAGGAAGCAAGGATAGCAGAAGCAGCTATAAAGGCAGAGGAAGCAAGGAGAGCAGAGGAAGCAAGGAGAGCAGAGGAAGCAAGGAGAGAAGAGGAAGCAAGGAGAGCAGAGGAAGCAAGGATAGCAGAAGCAGCTAGAAAGGCAGAGGAAGCAAGGAGAGCAGAGGAAGCAAGGATAGCAGAAGCAGCTAGAAAGGCAGAGGAAGCAAGGAGAGCAGAGGAAGCTAGAAAGGCAGAGGCAGCTAAAAAGGCAGAAGCAGCTAAAAAGGCAGAAGCAGCTAAAAAGGCTGAGGAAGCTAAAAAGGCTGAGGAAGCTAAAAAGGCTGAGGAAGCTAAAAAGGCAGAGGCAGCTAAAAAGGCAGAAGCAGCTAAAAAGGCAGAAGCAGCTAAAAAGGCAGAAGCAGCTAAAAAGGCAGAAGCAGCTAAAAAGGCAGAAGCAGCTAAAAAGGCAGAAGCAGCTAAAAAGGCAGAAGCAGCTAAAAAGGCAGAAGCAGCTAAAAAGGCAGAAGCAGCTAAAAAGGCAGAAGCAGCTAAAAAGGCAGAAGCAGCTAAAAAGGCAGAAGCAGCTAAAAAGGCAGAAGCAGCTAAAAAGGCAGAAGCAGCTAAAAAGGCAGAGGCAGCTAAAAAGGCAGAGGCAGCTAAAAAGGCAGAGGCAGCTAAAAAGGCAGAGGCAGCTAAAAAGGCAGAGGCAGCTAAAAAGGCAGAAGCCGCTAAAAAGGCAGAAGCAGCTAAAAAGGCAGAGGCAGCTAAAAAGGCAGAGGCAGCTAAAAAGGCAGAGGCAGCTAAAAAGGCAGAGGCAGCTAAAAAGGCAGAGGCAGCTAAAAAGGCAGAAGCAGCTAAAAAGGCTGAGGAAGCTAAAAAGGCTGAGGAAGCTAGAAAGGCTGAGGAAGCTAGAAAGGAAGAGGAAGTTAGAAAGGCTGAGGAAGCTAGAAAGAATGAGGAAGCTAGAAAGAATGAGGAAATTAGAAAGGCCGAGGAAATTAGAAAGGCAGAGGAAATTAGAAAGAATGAGGAAGCTAGAAAGAATGAGGAAATTAGAAAGACTGAGGAAGCTAGAAAGGCTGAGGAAGCTAGAAAGAATGAGGAAATTAGAAAGGCAGAGGAAATTAGAAAGGCTGAGGAAATTAGAAAGGCAGAGGAAATTAGAAAGGCTGAGGAAGCTAGAAAGGCTGAGGAAGCTAGAAAGAATGAGGAAGCTAGAAAGAATGAGGAAATTAGAAAGACTGAGGAAGCTAGAAAGGCTGAGGAAGCTAGAAAGAATGAGGAAATTAGAAAGGCAGAGGAAATTAGAAAGGCAGAGGAAATTAGAAAGGCTGAGGAAATTAGAAAGGCAGAGGAAATTAGAAAGACTGAGGAAGCTAGAAAGGCTGAGGAAGCTAGAAAGAATGAGGAAGCTAGAAAGAATGAGGAAGCTAGAAAGAATGAGGAAATTAGAAAGGCAGAGGACGTAAGGAAAGAGAAAAGCGATAATTTAATACTAAATAACAATAAAATGAATCAGGATTCTATGACAAGAAGTGTCACTGATTCATCTGATATAGCAAAAGGTGAAAAAAAATACTTCCAAAGGCATAGTTTCAATTATGATACTCCAGGTAAACAAAGAAATCATGAAAATAATTCGAATTTTGGGGTCGGTAATATAAAAAATTTAGAAATCAAGTTAAGGAAGAAAAAAATGAAGGAAGAGGTTGACAATTATGATAAGGGGGATGAAGTTCTAGATAAAAATTTACCAAGTAATAGTGAATCTGGGAATAACAAATTAGATATTGATGAGTATAATTCTAGAGATGTTAATAAAACACGGGAGGAAATAATAAAATTATCTCAAAGCAATACATGTATTAATGAAATTTCTTCAAAGTATTGTGATTATATGAAGGATGGTATATCTTCTGGTACTTGTACTGAAGAAACGAGAAAAATTTTGTGCTGCTCAATTTCAGATTATTGTTTAAAGTTTTTTGATCATAATTCAAATAAGTATTATGACTGCACGAAAAGGGAATTTGCTGATCCAAAGTACAAATGCTTTAAGAAGAGCAGTAATTCAAGTATGTTGCATTCATATTGAAAATATGGAAAAGGAGAAAAAATAAAATAATAATTTGATTAATATAATATACATATAAATTTAATTTCTACAATTAACAATTTTATATATATTTTTGTTAAGTTATTTTTTTTTATAGACATGGTTTATTTTGCTGGAGCCGGCATAGCACTGATACTCCTGTTTGTCATCGGTTCAAAGATTATTCTGGGAAAGTGGTAAGTAGAGAATTAAAAAAATGGAAAAATACATAAAGTTCTTTTATAATATTTATTATCTCTTTTATAAATACTATAGTAATAGGAATATAAACTGTTTGCATGCACAAAATACACACATTACATTTATATTTATGCACATAGGTTTGAAGAAGCTACCTTTGATGATTTTGAAGGAAATTATGAAAAAGTCTACACATTAGCAATGATAAGTAATAATTTTTCATAAGACATAAGGAGTTCATCACATTAAAAAAGCATATAAAGAAATAGTACATATTTGAAATATCATTTTTTTTACTTTATTTTATTTATTTATTTCTTTTTCTTTTTTTCTATTTTAGCTAAGGAAGAAATTCAAGATTCGATGCCGGTAGACGTTTCTGAATAAGTATCAAGTAAATGACATATTTTGATCCATCTGTTTGGATATCTTTAAATTGCCTATATAACATTTGAAATATATATTACCGTGTAACTTATATTTTCCTAGCGATTTATACAGGTTAAGTATATTGATGGAATTGTAAAACTTTACAATAAATTAGAATGAAATTTTAAAATATATTATTTCTATTTTGAATAATAAATTTATGCACATAAATTTTGCTCCATCTTAGTTTTCATTTCTTTCCTTTTTAATGATAAGAAATATGTTTATTTGAATTTTTTTTTCTAGTATATTTTTATGTGTCCATAATGTTATTAAAGTTAATATAAAATATTCTACAGATAGATAACGAATGACATATGTAATAAATTGAGCTTTTTCCTCATTAAAAATAACTTTACGAAATACGTAACAAAACTATTAATTATTATAAAAAAAATTCTCTATTAAATTAGAAATTGAGTTGTGTTTTATAATAAAAAAATATATATAGTAAATCTCATACATTGTTTTTATTTTCCGATGCTTGAACTTGAGGAAATGCAACAACAGAAAAAAAATATATAGGATTACTTGTTTATAACGAAAGGATGTGCATAAATATTCTTAGTGATGTATACATTTATGTAATTTATTATTTGCTTCTTCACTGTTATTCACCAAATGTAAATTCACTTTAACATAATGAATTTTTTTTTTTTACTTATGTGCAACGTAATTATTAGCCTATCATATCTCCTCCCTTGCAGAATTTCACAAAATGGTATATAGTTAAATGTGTTTGCCTTTCAATTATATAAAAAGAAATAAGCAATTCGTTATATCATATAAATATTCATAAATGTAAAAAAAAAAAAAAAAAATTCCGTTTTTACAATAACTCAAATGAAGTGGAAATTAAAAAAAAACAAAACACAAAATTTTAAAGATTTCTTTGGATGTTGTTTTTTTAAAATCTTCATCTAAGTTCTGTTTCATTTTAACGCATTTAACATGGATCTATTACAATATTTTAATATATTTTTTATGTTTAATGAATGCAAAGGTTAAAACACAAAAACATATAATTTACGATAGGAAAGACAACTTAAAAAAAGAAAAAAAAAAAAAAATATGCATATGTATACATGTGTACAGTTTTTGTGGATTCATATATGGAGCATTGTAGAAAAAAAAAAAAGAAAAAAGAAAAGGGATTATTGAAAAGAAAAAAAGTTGCACTGCTCGTGATATGTATATATTTTTGCACGTTTCATTGAATTAATAATTAATGATTATCAACATATAATCTTCGCACTCTTATAGATATTTTCCAACAAGTTGCAATTGATAGAAAATAGATAAACACAATTTAAGCTAATTTATACCTTCCACAGTTGCAACAGCACATATAACTTGAGTAAAGGCTTGTAGGGAAGTAAAAAAGTTGGAATGGTCAGGGGTATTTAGGTTTCCATATATTTGAACAACATTTGGAATTTTCCCTGTTAAGGTTTTTATTACAGTTTCATCATTATCAACATGAGTAAGTGGGCATAACTGACGTATCATTGATGCTCTTCCATTTGACGTTGTGCAAAACATTAGACGATGTTCTTTTAAACCTTTATCAAACAAACCCAATCTCTTAAAAAGATCAATTATATTTCTTTCTTGTACATCATTTGAAATTTGAGCAACTACAAAAAGTTCTGAAATTAAACACAGTTTGTTAAATGGTTCTATGGCGCTTTCAACTACATGTACACTATTACCAATAACCTTTATCACTATATCATTTAAGCATAAGGAAATGATGGGTTTACCGCTGGTGTTTTTGTTATTTATTTTCCTTCTATAATTTTCATTATTTATGTCATATCTTCTTTTAAATATACGAAAGTAAAATATATAAAACATAAAAATCATTCCAACCAGCAATATTGGCTGAAAAATGGAAATGTTTTTATCTTCAACACTTTCATATGATTTATATTTTCTACAATCTTGCCCATTTTTGCACGTCCTAGGCATTTTAATTGAAATTACGCTTAAAAAAACATATAGGGTGATGCGTTATTTATAACTTGTTAATTTTCAGGTATAATTCAAAAGGACGACGTAAAAAAAGAAAAAACGAAAAAACGAAAAAAAGAAAAACTAAATATTTAAGAAATTTTAACTAAAAAAATACAGTTTTCTTTTAAATGCTATGTAAGTTTGAACACAAAATGTTACAAGTAAGAGCATGCGCTGGTGCGAACATGATGCCTTAACACGAGCAATACATATGTAATACGTGAAAATTGTAAAAAAAATATTTTAAGTATATAATATATACATATATATATATATATATTCAAACATTTATACATTTATGAATATATATTTAAGAGTCATTTAAATAAGATAAATTCTTTTGAAGAAAAAAAAAGGGTGTTAGAGTGCTTAGGTGGTTTGTTGCTTTTATAATTCCAAAAAATTCCCCACCAACGTTTATATCCTTACGATCACATTTATATTTTTTTTTTTTTTTTTTCATGTTCTACTTTTGCCAGGGTTGTAAAAAGAAATAAAAAATAAAATAAGGTAGGGGAATAAAACTTATGTAAAAATGCATGTCCAAATGTGTTCGGGTGATTTTTCATTTAAATACGTCAATGTCTGTATATATACTTTTATAAGTAAAAATGTGGAAACCTTTAATTTTATTCAACTGATTCATTTACAATTAGTGTCAATTACTATTTTTAGCTTTTTTTTTTTTTTTTTTTTTTTTTTTTTCATTATTTTTGAAATACCAGTTGATTATGTGTATACAAATGTTCCAAACATGTGTCAATTTAATTGAGTAAAATTACATGTGATTGCATGTAGCATATATATTTATGCATGGATATAAATGTTTGGTACAAATGCTTCAAAAAATATATTCACATTATTATATTTGAAAGTTGGCGCACTCTTGCTTCCATGACAACTTTAAAGAATCATCGATTTATTTTATTTTTTTTTTTTGGAATATTTTTCATAAAATCAAAATAAAAGGGAAATTAAAAAGGAAACTTCTGCATTTTATTTTATGTCATGGATTCTTTAAGTCGATGATATTTGTTTATTTGTAAAAATTTCGTAATTTTATATTAATGAACTTTTGCTATAGCGTAAATTTATGTTTAAATATATATATTTTTTTTGATGTTTGCATACAAATGGAAAACAGTGTCTTTATGCATTGTAAGCACAAGTATATTCCCGCTCATGTGCATATGTGCACAGAGTACAAATGTGCTTGATTTAAGGCCAAAAATTACGTACCATTTTTTTCTATTTGTAAGGCTTAAATTATCGGCATTTTACTATTTTTAGAGGCTAAAACATTATAAATGAGGATTGAAATGGGTTGAGGTACGGAATGTATATATAGTGATTTTTTTTTTTTTTTTTTATGTTACAAAGGAATAAAAAAAAGAAGCCATTTTTAGTAGGTGCCTTATATCTTGCGAAGAACGAATATGAATGGTCGACGTTTCACAGGTAACTTTTCATTATAATATTAAATTAAAGAAAGATATTATAAAATTAGAGGAAGTTTAAATTGTAAAGTGTGTGATTGTTCATTATATGAGGGTTAATGAAAATTATATGAATATGCATATACACATACATAGCACATATATGCATGGTTACCCACATAATAAATATCTATACGCGTATACACACGGATGCGTTTAGTTCACCAGAGAAGGAATAGCAAAAGGTGTGTCTCTCTTTATATAAATGCACATATCAAAACACATTGAAAATTGAAAAAATTATTTAAAAAAAGCTAGAACGGTTCAAAATAGCAGGACTAAGCGGGATTATTTAAGGTATACGAAAAAAATTAAATATAGGATAGCTCAAGGCCTCCTCTATGGAGGGCCTAAACTCATAATCAAAATTTAGTAAGTACTGTATATAATTTAGGGTTACTTCTGAAATTTGTTGATTAATTTTTGGATAAGTTAAACCTCTTTTCATTTTATTAACTAATAACTCTTTTGAACATTTTTCAAGATAATTAAATTGAAAAGGTCTTTCACAGAAAAGCATTTCATACAAAATACATCCTAATGACCATATATCAATTTTGTCCGTGATAGGTATATTTTTTTTGTTTTTTAAGCACTCGGGTGGTTGATAATACAATGTCCCACCGCCGTTATAGTATTGATATGTATCTGGTAAGATGAGTTTAGCTAATCCAAAGTCAGATATTTTAATAATTCCATCTTTTATTAACAGATTAGCTGGTTTTAAATCACAATGATGAACTTTTCCTGTGGGCAAAGTTTTCATATATAATAAACCAAGTAATATTTGTTTAATCCAACATAAAGCTAAAAGTTCATTAATTGGACCATGATATTTAATATATTTATCCAAATCTATATCGCATAATTCCATTCCCACTAGTAAGTTTGTTGCAGATCCAAAAACAAAAAAAAATTCTAATTTTACAATAAAAATATGTCTATGACAGTGGATATGAATATTTATTTCATTTTCTGCTCTTTGAATTATTTTATTTTTGATTTCGTTTGTCATGCTGGGTTCAATTTTATGAATTTTCGCTGCGTATATTTCTAAATTTATAGAATCAAAAACTTCCCATACTTCAGCAAATCCCCCTCTTCCAATTAAATTCATCATACGTATATTCATTTTTAATGGATTATAAAAGGAAAATTCGGAGTTTTCCTGAAAATTAAAATGGTCTAATCGTTTTTCAAGTATGGCTCTTTTTTTATCTAAATTTAGTTTCATACTAAATAGTTCAGTGTTTAAAAATTGAATATTTTTTTTCAGGTATTGTTTTAAATTTATGTCAATTTCACCCTTTGTTAATAGGGACAAAAGTGACAAAAAAAATTTTAACGTGTGTTCCGTAGCACGACAATTAGAAAAATGAGTGCCGTCTCTAAATGTGTCTCTGCTTGGAGGTAAAATAGATTTATTGTGATTTTTTTTTTTTAGCATTGTTAGCCATGATAATTCAGATTCTTCCTTATTTTCATTTAAAATTAAATTATAATTTTTGACAGATTTGGAAAAAAAGCTATATGGGTATTGTTCAAATACCTTGTAAAATATTTCGTTATTTATTTTTTCCTGTTTTTCTTTGGCAAATATGAATTTTTTTTTTTCACATGTTGACCTAATGATGTCTCTTTCGTATTCGCTTTCATACTCACTTGGAATTTCTTCTTCATCATTTTTATATTTTTCTTTTAAATTCGGTTGTTTTCTGTTTTCAGAACTGTTCGACTTTTTATATATTGATTCTTTTGCGCACTTATTTATGTAATTTTTTGCAGTATCCCTTTTTATCTTTTTTATATTATCCTCTTTGCTTGTTGTACTTTTTTTTAAATAATTATTTGTTGTGACAGAATTCTGCGTATTTTTGTTTTCAATAATTTTGCAACAATTTATTTTCTTATCATATTGATCTTTGTATTTTTCCATTATAATAATATCGTCCTTCTTTGCTAGATTTTTATCATCATCCTTTATTTTTTTAAGTTTGCATTTGTAATATTCTTCCTGATTGTTGCATTTATGAGATTCTGTTTTTTTTTCATTTTTATATTTTTGATAAACAGCGTCATGAGTGTCCTCAACATTATCCCCATTTTTATTCGTTTCCTCTTTATTTGCACACTGATTTTCTAAAGGCTTATTTGCGTTACATAATGAATTATTTTCACAATTTTCATTATTATCTACTGAATTTAAGCACTCATTTTTTTTATTTTTATCTGTTCTTTGATTTTCTTCGTCGCCTTGAGTTTTTAATTTGCAGCCTTCACAGGAATTTCTGATACTTTTATTTGCTTGATTGTGACTTGAGGTTGTTGCATCGTGCTTCAAAGCTTCATCTTCATTTTTTCTTTTGTAATTAAAATTTCTTATGTCATGATATGCATGTTTGTCGAGGTTTCTTTTATTTAGAATGGTATAAAAATTTACTGGCTCTTTGGAAAAGTTTTCCAGTAGTTTTCCATATTCAGTAGTGTCTAAAGTGTTATCATCACTCTGGTCAACTTTATAAAAATAACCATATTTTGATTGTTCATGATTTAAAAGTAGTCTATTTACTGATCTTTCTAATTGTTTTTCTTTTAATATAGATTCCAATATTAAATATTTTAAGGAGTTAATTTTTGCATCTATTTCTTCACACTGTTTTTTATTTTTTTCTAAATAATTTAGATCGTTTTGAAACAAATTATAAAACTCCTCGTTTTTTTGTTTTTCTTCTTTTTTCTTAAATAATTGGATTAAATTTTTAAAGTCGATAACAGATAAATTTTTATTTTGAAAATAGGTATTAATCATGCTTAAATAAAATTTCTTAATATTTTCATTTTTAATTTTTTCTACAGATCTAGCAAAAATTTGAACTGTGTTTTTTATTAAATCGTCTAAATTTACTTTGTTAGTTAATTCTTGATACAATCTTTTTATTATTAAACTGTTTTGTATCTTAGACATTAACTCAATAATAATTAAATGGTTTCTCTGCTTTCTAATTTTTTCTATTCTAAAATTTGGAATAATCATTTTTTTAAATCGTTTTATAAATTCAATTTTATCTCTGGATGACTTGAATGTTTTTTTGTTTATTATTTCTTTGAAAACATTATTTGGTTTTTTCAATTCTTCTAAATTTTTTTTTAATTTTTTCATAATATTCAAATTTTTATAACAACTCTTTAAATCAAAAATTATAAAACATTTGACATTGTTTATGTATATTTCATACTCGTTAACCAAGTCGTAAAAGAAATGCGTACTTTTGTTGCTATCCCTGTCGTTATTGCAGCTACTTTCATACTCTTCTTCTTCATGTTCATAACTCTCTTCCTGATCTTGTTCTTGTTGTTCTAGTTGTTGTTGTTGTTTTAGTTGTTCTTCTTCTTCTTCTTCTTGTTCTTTCTCTTGTTGCTCTTCTTTACATTCGTCAACTGTGGTTACTTCCATCTGTTCCCCCTTTCCTTTTAGTCCATTAGGGAGTGAAATATCGTTGTACATCTTATTTATAAGGTTGCTAACATTATTATTTTTATGCTTTTTGTTATAATTAGTATTATTATTACCTTTGGGGATGGAGATCGTGTTAAGGCTCTTTCGTTTTCTCCGTTCCATTTTATTTGCAAGATTTTTTTGATCAACATTGTTATTATTGAAATTTTTGTCATCATTTTGTTCCATGTGATCGCATATTTCGCCATTTTTCTTCTTTTCTGAATTATCATTAATACGGAAAACGTCAACTTTGTGTTTAATTTCATTGTTACAGTATTCCTGGCTATGAACATTTAATTCATTCACAGAATTATTTTCTTCTTTAGGAACCAAATTCGTTTTTAATTTTTTGGTGTTGGACAAAGAATTCTTTTTTGCAAAATAGTTTTCAATATGCTGTTCACTTTGTCTTATACTTTTTTTATCGTGTGGCTTATCAGGTTGCTTATCATATTTTTTACCATTCTTTTTGCCATTTCTGTCTGTTTTTCGATTAACTTTGACGATACTTTTAAAACGATCATTATGCAATTTAATGAAGCATGGATTGTATAATGTATTGCTTTTAATATCTGATTTTCTAACAAAATATTTATTGACCTTTTCATCATAATTGTAAACCTTAAATTCGAAACTGATGCCTGGTATTATTAATAATTTGTTAAGTGTATCTACAAAAATTAACGGGTTTGTTTTTAAATAATCTACATAATTTTTGTTTTTATGTTTGTCTCTAAATTTAATTTTCTGTTTCAATAGGTATACAAAAGTATTTTGCTTAATATTTGAATTGCTGTAATCATTATTGTCGTCATACGAATATAACAAGGTTAATTTCTGAAATGTATCTATATTTTTGTATATAATACCATTCAAGTAATGTAATAAATCATCTATTTCTGTGTAATTTGTTTTCAATTCATACTTGAAGATTTGATCAATTTTAGGCATTTCATTTTCCTTAATTAAAATATTTTTCACATTTTTTATTCTTTGCTTTAAAAAGCTTCTTGATAAATTATCTTCGTTTTCATCTTTCATTTTATTTGTTTTTTTCTATTGTGTTTTTTTTTTTTTTTTTTCCCAAAGTGTTAAATGGAAAATAGCAATTTGTGAAATCTTGCTCTTCAGTTAAAAGTGCTATGATTATTTTCCAAAACAGAGCTTGTATTTCTAGCCTTTTTTTTTTTTTTTTTTTAAATCCTTTTATGGACGTAATTTTACAATTTTTTAGAATAAGAAAAATTACTATGTAGAACTATTTAAATTGAAATTCTGAAAAATTGTAACAAAAGTGTAAGAGGGAAAAGGTACGAATATATCGACATATGTATACATATGTATTTTTTATTTCTTCAAGTGCGTGGGTTATAAGGAGATCATACATGTTTTGATAGCTTAAAAGAAAATTTTCACAACAAAAAATATGCGATATTTTGTATTTAAAGAAAAAACATTTGTTCGATTATCTCGTAAAAAAATGGAAAAAAAAAAAAAAAATGATCAAGGAACATCTTTGCTTGACTAAGTGTGTATGGGTACGTAGGTATAAGCGTTGAAAATAAGTTGAACGTTTAACATTACACATGGGTATATAACAATACAAAAGGTCATTAAAGAATCTTAATTTTATCCCGTTTTATGTTACATTTTAATATCTTTATATACGTTAATATTTGAAGCAATGTTTTTTTCACACATTTTAATGTACAAATAAAAATGTACATGTACATGTATGGGTTAAAAATATAATGTCCAATTTTAAATATAAGACTACACAATTATTATTATTTTTTTTTATTATATACATTTATAACTAAATTTTTTTTTTTTTTCAATCCAAGGAACATAACACTTTTCGCAAGCTCAGTTACGGTACACTAGTGTACGTTATATATATTTTTTTTTATTTATATACATTAAAATTTAGAAGTTTTCTAAAACATGAATCGATACAATAAAGTTTCTTAAAATTATAAAAATTATATAAATTGGTCAAAATTTTATATCTAGTGTTATTTTTCGTTAATTGATTTTGCTTTCAGTGGACACATCGTAGAATGATACTTAAGCTTTATTACTGTTTAATTTATCATAAAACTTTGAGGAAAATGAACGGACATGTAAATATCAACTGGTTTAACAGGAAAGCCGTCCACCTACCAAGTAGGACAATTTTTTTAAGGCATTTTTACTAATATCATTTCAAGTTCATTAAAACGTTCTTTCATGTAAAGAATCTTTTATATTTTGTTTTTAAGAATTTATTTATTTTTTTCTTTTTAAATGTTACAAAATTGATAACCAAAAAAAGTTACATCTTGAAAAGTATCTATAAAAGCATATCGTATATTTGGAATTATAATTTAATATTGGTTGCGAATACAGAAAACGTAAAAAAAAAAAGAATAAAATTTTGAATCTTCCTTTTTTCATCCATGCGTGTATTTAGAAAAGTGGGACTTCATTATAATTGTATAAAAATATTATATAAAAAGATCTTGTTTGAATTATCTGAAAATTAATTTTTTACGAATTACATATTGCACATGATCTTTTGAATTTTTCCCCTCTTTTTTTTTTTTTTTTTGTTAAGGGCAACTTTTTTGTATAGCTTAGGCGAGGTTAAAAATGAACTTCAGAAAACATAATACTTATTAATATTTTACGTGTTACAGCTTAAAAGGGGGAAGAATTAGGAGAGACAAAATTTAAACACATCTGTGTGTACAAGAGGTAACTGACTCTTCTGTTTTATATTAGTGTTTGCAACAAGAAAAAAAAAAAAAAAAAATACAATAGCATATTTTTTGATATCTAAATTTGTTGCGTTTTTTTCATTATCTTTGTTGTTTTTCTCAATTATATATAAAAAAACTGGAATTTTTTGTAATTATCGTAAAGTGTTTTAAAGATAAACTCCGTGACAAACTCAAAGGTAGATAATTTAAATTGATAAAGACTAAGTTGGAAAAAAAATATGTAATTGTGTTAGGCATAGTTAAAAAAGTTTACAAAAAGTATTTTTTCGAGCATAAAGGGTAATTTCTTTTTTTGCAGTAAATCCTTATCAATCTTGAGATATCATTATATCTTATTAAGAACTTTGTGGAACTATGACAACTATGAGAAAAGAAGCACTTTGATAAAAGTGTCCATAAAAATACTTTTTATTATTTTTTCCCAAATAATATTTCATCATTGAAGTAATGATTTCTTTTGTAATTATTCTTTTATTTGATATGATATAAAAAATATGAGTAAAATTTCACTGATGTGAAGAATTATTTTTAAGTCTTAGATTTTAAAAAAGTTAATACATATACATTTACATATTTATGTAAATAATAACATACTTATCTGTAATGGGTTTTATTAATATACCTCCCGAACAAGTTGAATTTTGAGCTTCTACGTCTTAAACAAACATAATTATGCACGTGTATCATTAGATAAGATTTTATCTACTTATTTTTCATTACTATAATGAGACAATTTAATTTTAGGAAGACTATCTTTTATTATAATTCTGGAAAATTGACAAAGTTTTTCTTTTGTTAAAATTTAGATCATCCTGTCCTTGAATTTCTTCCCATTTTTTTATTTGTTTTATGTGAATTCTCATCATAAAGGAAGATGAATACGAACACAAAATGATAAGGGATAATAATGGTACGAAATATTATTTTTTTTATAGTATCATTATTAAATGATGTATACCTAATGTTAACCAGGGAAAAACTAAGAATTCTCAATAGATGGGAAACACATTTAAGATAATATAAATCTTTATCAAAACAGGAAAATTTCCTTGTGTAATTTTTTATTCGTTGAGAAACATAAATTTATATATGATATATCACAAACTTGAATGAAAACACATTTTCATAAAAATGAAAAAAAAAATACTGAATTTTTTTTTTAACGAAGACATAATGCAAAGGGGTCTTTTATAAAATCACAGAGATATAAAATCATATTATATAATATAAAAATTTAATTGTATATTTTAGAAAATTCTAATATAATAGTTGTAAAAGAAGAAAATACTCTATTATATTTATATAAGGAATTATGTTTTGTGGGATACTTGAAAATAATACATATTATTATAAACATTAAAGGATATAACAATGTATTGCATGTCTTCTTCTTCAATCGTTAGAAAGAAAAGGTATATACAAAGTAATAGATGATTTAATAATTTATAAAAATTGTACACTATATTTAGAATATTATTACTTGTGATTATGGTTCGGAAAGCTAAAATTTTATAAAAATTTGAATGAAGTTAAAATTATATTGATATATGTACTACGATTGCATTAATATAAATTAGGCATAACTTTTAATTATGTTTTTTTTTTTTTTTTTTTCCTATATCACATCTAGAGTAAAGTTTATAGATATTATCTAATGTGTTTAGCATAATACGGATGTTAACTGTAATCACTTGGTTATGTGAATATAATATTATTTGCAATTTAAGTAAGTTTAAAAAATGGTATAATGGTGTAAATATGTTGACAAAACAGTCACCTTACGAAGATAGTAATAGATAAATTACATACAAAAGAACAAGAGGTAATACTAAAAAAAAAAAAAAAAAAAAGGAGCTCCATAAAAAGGATAAAATGAAATATAGGACAATAATGTACCTAAATCAATAGGTATAAATTACAGGTAATACAATAGAAGTGACTTCTTTGTTTAAATATGCGAAGATAGTAAAGGAATATAGTAATGAAGGTTCTTATTTAAATTTCATGAAAGTGTAAAATTAATAGAAAAATGAATATATATGAAATGAATAAAATTATAAAATTATGCGCACATGTTATAACTCGTATTAAAGTATAAATTTAGGAATGATTACAAAATGTAAAATCCCCTAAATATGAGAAAATAAAGCAAAAGGGCTTCACTAATTTAGACAAGATTAAACTTAAAAGTATATTAAAATGTCTTAATGTTTAATAACAAAAGAAGGACAAGTACACAATTTAAATATCTAGTGCATTAAAATATAAAATGTGTCCAAGTGAAATAAAAAATAGAATTTATAAAATAGGATACTTGAATTGGATGGTTAAAACGGTATTCAAAATAGATACTTCCCTTGAAGATATTGGGCACATCTGTAGAAACGATTATTATGTTGCTTCCCAAAAATAAATTTTAATATTCCATCCAGAAAAATAAAATAGGTGAGTACACGGATAAATCCCATATTGAAAAAAAAAAAAAAAAGTCTTAAAATTATTTATTTATTTATTTTTTTTTTTTAAACTAGAAAACATTACTTCAAGGACCCAAAAGTGTGACTATTAAAAATGTAACATAATTAGAAAAAAGAATGGCAGATATATTCATGTTTAAATTGCAAAGTAAAAATGTTTTTCATTCAAATAGAGGGAATAATATGTAGAAAGTCAGGTAATGATTAAAAAAAAATTATTAACTAAAATGTGAAAAAAAGGTTAGGCATAATATTATTGTCACATAAAGTAATTACCTGCAGACTAAAAGACATAAAGTCTTTTTATCGCAACGAATTATCTATAATAGATGTGCCAGTCCACCCCTCCTATTACAACCATCCCCTCCCAATCCTGTTTCTCCCAACATAATAATTAAATGAAATAATAGAAATAACGAAGAACAGAAGAAGCAAAAAAAAAAAAAAAAAAAATTTTCCCCCTATTCTATACACTTTTGTGTCAAACACATAATACATATATATATTTAATTATTATTTTAATAAAACGATACAATGGATGTGATTATAATTAAAACAAAAGGATAAATTGTCTAAAAGCCAAATTAATTTTTAATTATATTGTTATTTTAAAAAATTGAAAAAGCACATTTAAAGCTGTGTGATGGAAAGCATACTGTTTATTATTATGTAAATAATCATAAATTAAAAAAGTGTATGATTATCATGAAAGTACATATTTGTTAATTTATTTTATTAAAGAACATACAAGTATATTTGATCACGCATACAATTAAATTTAGGAAATTAAAAAATTAATTATCAAAACGCCCCTTTGTCCAAAAAAAAAAAAAAAAATATTATGACGATATATGAAAACAATATACGCATAATAACTAATAGTAACTTTCTAATAAATAAATTTTAATGAAAAACAACATTATTTTAACATATGAATATTATTAATAATACATGAAAAAAAATATTTTTTTTAATTAATAAAAAAAAAAAAAAAAAAAAAAAAAAAAAAGGAAAAATATATATTTCAAATATTAAACAAATGTCATATCAAAAATTGATAACGTAGAACACACTATTATTGTTTCAATACAAATGACATGTAATATACATGATTTAATAATATATGCTTATAAATTTGTTTCAAAATATACAATAAAATATTCTTCAATTATTAATTATTTCAAATAAAAATTTACACATATCTGGTAATTTTATTAAAAATGGGTATTTTTAATTATTGTTACATATTACTTTTATATCCATAGCACTAATCTACGATGGATATATAATTATACATTAAACAATAATATACATACACACTACAAATAACATTAAGAATTTATGTGTTTTATTTTATTTTTAATATATATTTTAAACTATTATCTGTTTAATAAATGTATCCCATTCTTCTTTCGGGACACGCTTTGCAGATAATGTTTCATAAATTGAATTAATCATAGAGCTTTTAGCCTTTTTCCATTGTTTCCACTTATTCCATCCTTCTATTAAATAATAATTTTCTTTGTATAGGAATAATTTCATTAATTCCCTTCTTTGTCTATTTATTTTGGGATCTTTATTATACCAACGTTTAGTCCTGGCTAAAATTACAAATCTTGAAGCTGTCATAAATTTAATTTTCTCAGGAGCGACACCAGCTTCGTTGTTTTTCCAGTGATACATCATCCATTCTTTAATTTTCTTGTCTTCAAAATTTTTTATATCCTTAGCAACCATTTGAAATACACTGGAATGAGTATCGTTTAACCATTTATCTACGTTCGAATCAATTCTTGTCTCTAGTTCATTTTTATACCAATTGTTCCATGACTGATCGCTCCATTGTGATGGATTTTGCGAATCTGTAACAGCTCTTAATTTAGCTATTTTTCCACTAGATATTGACCATTTCATTTCAATTTTTTTCATCCATCCATCCCATTCATCATTTCTTATTTTCATAAATTTAGCTACTTTCTGGTTCATGCTATCTTCCAAAAGGCTCCATTCCTTTTCTAATTTATCAACAAATTCCTTCCATTCTGGAGTATACCAAAATCGGGATAATAAATCTTCCTGTGCATACTTTTTGGTTTTTACGGCGTAATATAAAAATTCTTCTGCTTCTGTAAATCTTTTTGGAATATCTATCTTTTCCACATCGAAAACTGGGATCATTGCCGAAGGTAACTTTTCGTGTATTGCTGATTCTCCTAACTTTATCATGATTTCTTCTTCCGATGGTATTACTAATTTTAATTGTGGTACTTTTTCTACTAGTTCCTCTTCTACAGGTTCCTCTTCTGCTGGTTCTTCTTCTACTTGTTCCTCTTCTACTTGTTCCTCTTCCACTTGTTCCTCTTCTACCTGTTCCTCTTCTACTTGTTCCTCTTCTACTAGTTCCTCTTCTACTTGTTCCTCTTCTACTGGTACTTCTTCTACTGGTACTTCTTCTACTGGTACTTCTTCCACTGGTACTTCTTCTACTAATTCTCCTAATTTGAAATCGTCCTCTGGTGTTGCATCTAATTCCTCTTGTCGATATACTGGTTCTTCCTTTGGAGATTCTTTTGGAAGAGGTTTTGCATCTGGATCCTTGAGAATATATTTAAATAATGGCTCAAATGCTTTAACGTTAGAATATTTTAAATTGTCATCTAAAATTGCAGCAAATAACTGTTCATCATTTAAGATCATAATTGATGGTTTAACAAACTTAGACGGTTCCACGACTTCTTCAACTACTTTTTCTTCTCCCTCTATTGGCTTGCCTAATTTGAAATCATCCTCTGGTGTTGCATCTAATTCTTCTATTGGTTCTTCTTCAGTTGGTTCTTCTTCAGTTGGTTCTTCTTCAGTTGGTTCTTCTTCTGTTGGTACTCCTTCTTCTACTATTTCTTCTACTGGCTCCTCTTCTACTACTTCTTCTTCTTCTCCCTCTATTGGCTTGCCTAATTTGAAATCATCCTCTGGTGTTGCATCTAATTCTTCTGTTGGTTCTTCTTCCGTTGTTTCCTCTTCTGTTGGTACTTCTTCCGTTGGCTCTTCTTCCGTTGGTTCCTCTTCTGTTGATTCTTCTTCTTCTTCCTTTAATGGTTTTCCTAATTCGAAGTCGTCCTCTGGTGTTGCATCTAATTCTTCTATTGGTTCTTCTTCCGTTGGTTCCTCTTCTGTTGGTTCTTCTTCTACTGGTACTTCTTCTACTGGTACTTCTTCTACTGGTACTTCTTCAACTACTTCTTCTTCTTCTTCTCCCTCAATTGGCATGCCTAATTTGAAATCATCCTCTGGTGTTGCATCTAACTCTTCTATTGATTCTTCTTCCGTTGGTTCTTCTTCTGTTGGTACTTCTTCGGTTGGTTCTTCTTCCGTTGGTTCCTCTTCTGTTGATTCTTCTTCTTCTTCTTCCTTTAATGGTTTTCCTAATTCGAAGTCGTCCTCTGGTGTTGCATCTAATTCTTCTATTGGCCCTTCTTCCGTTGGTGTTTCTTCCGTTGGTGCTTCTTCCACTGGTTCCTTCATTAATCCTAATTCTTCGTCTGTAAAATGTGGTGATTTTCCTAAATAGAAATCGTCTTCTGGAGTTGCATCTAATTCTTCCATTGGTGGCATCTGTTCCTCCTTAAGTTTAGAGGGATCTAAAATAATTTGCTTAAACATTGGTTCATATGATTTAATACTATCAAATATTATATCTTTATCCAAAATCTTCCCAAAAAGAGAATCGGTACTACCAGCACGATGCAAATTTGTGACAAGATCAGCATCTTCTTCTGCATCAACAGTTTCACCACCTTCTGCTTCCATAGAATAAGTTGCACCATCTTTTTCTTCCATACCAACAGTAGCATCACCGTCTTCTACAACATGAGTAGCATCACCTTCTTCCATACCAAGAGTAGTAGCATCACCTTCTTCCACATCAAGAGTAGTAGCATCACCTTCTTCAACATCAAGAGTAGTAGCATCGCCTTCTTCCACATCAAGAGTAGTAGCATCACCTTCTTCCACATCAAGAGTAGTAGCATCACCTTCTTCCACATCAACAGTAGCATCACCTTCTGCTTCCATATCCATGATAGACTCATTTTCTAATGGCATATCTTCATTAACATCACCGTCAGCTTCCTCATCAGTAATTTGCACACCTGATAGGGCAAAATCATCTTCAGGGGTAGCTTCTAAAATGGATTGGTCATCATCTACATTCTCATCCAAATATTCTTCTACTTCTACATCATCGCTTGAAGGATCAATAACTTCTACAGCATCTTCATCAGAAGTGACATTTTCCAATTCTAAATCACTCTTCAGATGAAAAGAAAAAAAAAAAAAAAAATTAAATATTATTTTTATATAATTTTAAATGATTGGAATTAACCAATACAATTTATAAATGTATATATATTATGTTTTATTTATTATTTTTATCTTACTGTTGAAGCATGAATTAAAAGAAAAGCAAAAGATAATATAAACAAGGTTATATATATATACGAAACCATAGTTGTTGTTTTACTTCTTTATATAATAACGCTGGTTCTTATTTTTTATTATTATATTTAAAAAAAAAATTCTTTTATTATATAGCAGAATTATATGCTTATTAAACTTCCTTTCTTCTAACTATTTTTAATAAAAAAAAAGAACTCTTTTTATGCTGAATATTATAAGCTCTTTTTTCTTCCATACAAATGTTAGTATAATTAAAAATAGATGCTAAATAATTTGTATATAAATTCATTATTTCTTAATTTTCATTGTAAAATAATAAAAAATGAAAATAATTAAAAAACATGAATTATAACATAATTAACAAGTACATAAATATGAAATAACAATAATATATAACTAGAAAATAATTATAAAAAAGTTTTTTAAATTAAATTTTTATAATAAAAAATCTATATACAAAGTATCTAATAAATAAAGAATTTAATAAAAAAAAGAAAAAAATAAAAACATATTGAAAAATATAATGGTGACTGTAGGAAACGATCTTTTTTGAAATGTTTGTGGACGACATAAATTAAAAATATTTTGTATGCATTTATACTTTTAGATATATCTAATAAATTATATTCTAAAGAAAAATAAATTTATATTTAAATATTTACGGTACCTATTTTTTAATTGAAAAAATATTTATTTTTTTTAAAAAAAAAAAAAAATGCAATGTAAAACAACAAAAAAAAAAAAAAAAAAAAAAAAAAAAAGAAGCATAAAATTAAATATATATGCATATATTTTAAATTTGTTTATAAACTAATCCATATGTTGTGGTAAAATAACATGCTTTTTTTTCGACGTGAAAATTTTTAATTAATTTTTAAGTTCTATTTAAAAACTTAAATTTTCATCTTTGCCACCACAGGTAAAAAAACATAAAAGGGAGGCTTCAATAACTGTTTTCTTTTTGAGGTTATTCTAATTTTAAATGGGTGGTGCAAAAAAAAAAAAAATACATAGATTGAATTAAGAATTGAATCGCGGGAGATCTGTTACAAAATAGAACCATTATAAGTTTAGAGACCTTAAATTAAAATAACAGTTAAATGGATGGGTTAATATATTTTTCTAAAGTATATATAAAATAAAATTTTATAAGAATTTTTTTATGCGAAAGAAAAAATATAAAAAATTAGAGTAAGAAGAAACATATATATATATATTTTTTTTTTCCTAACTTGTTCCTTTTGTTTTAAACATCTTTTTTTCTCGATTTTTATTTTATATTTTTAATGAGCATATATAATGAAGAAGGATTCCGTTCCTTACGAATGATTCAGAATTCCAAAAAAAAAATTCTTTATGATAAATATTTAATGTTGTAAATTCCGTAAATTTATGGTTTATATATTAATTTATATATTTTTTTTTTTTATTGTGTTTTTTTTCAATCCCAATTTTTTTTTTTTTTTTTTAAATTATAAAGGAAGAAAAGAAAGAAATACGAGTGATTTATTAGCAAAATAAAGGGTCTTACATTCTTTACATAGCTCGCGCGCTTAGTGGGTAGTGGTGGTAAAAAAACTTTAAAATAAAAAACAGAGCTGCATAAATATATATTTTTTATTATTTTTTAATAATATAAAATTATTAGATATAAATATTTTGTCAAAAAAAAAAAAAGAAAAAAAATGAAAGAAAAGGAAAATAAAACAAAGTAAAATGAAATAAAATAAAGTTACTAATAATGAAATTTGCCATGTTTTAAGGAAATTCGTGAAAAGGTAAGGAACGTACTAATATTTCATTTATATTTTTAGGAGAAAACAAGGGGGATAATAATTTTGTTAAAATATATATTTATTTTGCATGTAGTAAAATAAATTATTTACATAAACAATAGCTTTAAGCACAAATATTTTAAAGAGGGTGTACACGATAACAAATGTTTTTTCCCTGAATGAAAAATAGGTTTAGGTAAAAAAATTAAATTATAGAACATTACATAAAAATAAAACTCATGTAAAAATGAGAATGTAAATAATTAATAGCTATGTGAATTTATACATGAGTAATTATCGTTAATCGTGTTCTGACCTCAGTGGTAAAGAACAATTTTAGTGTATTTTTTCACTATATATATACATGCATGACAAGAACAGAATTATATTTTAGTGAAATGTGTTAAAAAATAAAGTGCTTTAATATTCTTTCAAATATAATGTATATATATGTACGTGTGACATTATTGTGTACTGGATTTTTCAACAATTCCTTATAAAGATATATATAGTGCTTCCTTTTGTTTCTGGAAAATTCCATTGTGGAATTGTGAGATTTGTACAACTAAAAATTTAACTGTTTAAAACTGTTTTATTATGTATTTTTCATAGATGTAAAATAACAAATATGAAAAAAGGAGAAAAAGTTGTTATGTTGTATTGTTGATAGAGTTGGTTCATTTAAATGAAATAGAAAAACGAATTCAAAAAAAAAAGGCACACTTAATAGCAAATATTTACTCTAAAAATATGTTTTTACATCTAATAATTTATTTATGTAGCAAATAGGGGAAAATTCATTACTCTTATTTATCATTATTTATTCCATGGACTCATATTTATCATGTATGCTTTGTTGATGCGAAAAGTCATTAACATATTTTCTGTGAAAAGCAAATATTTATTCGAGTAAATAAAAATTTTTTATATGTTTATAAAAAAATACACACAGAGAAAAAAAAATTATTTGGCAAATTTTAGCTATCCGTATTTGTATGGATATTTTTGTTGCAACATAAATAAAAATAATTGTTCTTTATATATAGGTGCAAATGTGGTGATATATATAACAGTTTTTTAAGTTGGAATATGTGTGGTAAAATAAAAATAGAGGAGTTTTAACACTACATTGTATGAGGCGTAATTCTTATGGTTCTAACTTTCATTGTCGGTCTACTGTGCTTTAGTCTTTCCTTAAGCTATCCTTTATATTGTTCAATAAAAACATAACTAATTTCAATAATTATTAACAATAATGACAACAATAGTAGAAGTTGTATAATCAATTCATTTACAGATATGCTCCATAAGGTAAAGAAAGGCTTAAATAAAATATACTCATCATTTATTAAGCACTTTGATTCATCCATAAAAAATGTTAACATCTTAAAAAGTATTATAGAAACAATTATTAATCATAGAATAATGAAGAAATCTTTGAGGTCTACTAATTTACTATAAGGCATAGTTTTGTAATGCGGGAGAAAAATAGGAAATCATATCAAGTTTCGTGTAGTTCATACAGAGATTTATAAGTAAAATAACTTATTGTATATATATTATTTGTGAAAAAAAAATATTTGATATGAATGTATACTAAGTAAAAACTGTTTAATATGAATAAATATTAATTAGATTCAACAATTCCATATAAATGCAAATGAAATGAATGCTTTAGGAATTATCCTCAAGAATTAAAAATTCAAAATAAATATTAGATGCAGGGACAGTTATAATATTTAATGATCATTTATATATAATGAGGAGACTAAAAATAATATTAAATATATAGAGTATTCTATTTTGATAATGATTAAAAAATTAAAAGGAATTAAAATAGTAGAAAAAAAAAAACAAAAAAGGCATAATGAGAAAGATGCATTACGTTCATAGAATATCAACATGTATAAGAAAAAGCAAAAGAAAATTGAATTAACTTCACCCTTTATAAATGTAAAAAAGGAAACATGAAAATTCGCATTATAACAATTTTTATATAAAAGGAAAATGAAATTTTAGTGGAAATAGTAAACAATATAAAGTATTTAATGAGGAGCATAACACATTTTAGTTATGTCTAATAAGAGTTAGAAAACTAGAGGTTACTTATTAATGCAAAAAGTTAAGAAAAAAGAGATATAGATTATTAGAGTGAAAAAATAAAAGATTATATGAAATTAATATATATTCTATTAATATTAGGAACATTGATACTAGTACAAAAATGTTGACATAAACACAGGCATCGAAATTTTATTAAAAATGGGACTATATAAAATGTTTTATTAAAAAGGTTCAAGTAATATATTATGTGTACAATTAATTATTGTAGTCGCAGTTAACTTATTTTTGCTGTTCAATCATGAAGAAATATTACTCGAACCTTATTTGTTACATTTTACATTGGAAAAAGGCCAGGAGATGAATAATAAGAATTCTTGTTTTCTTTAATATGCGTGAAAAAAAGATTACCTGTGTTTTTATCAGCCAAAATCAATACATGATAAGATTGAGACATTTCTATTTTTCATAAAAAGAGAAGCGGAAAATAATTAAGCAAAGGTGATAAATAATATGTCAGTTATAAAACATAAAAAAAAAAAAAAAATAAAGTAATAATATCCATAAATTACGTTAAAAAGAAAAAAATATATAATAAAATAAATAAATAATAATAATCATAAATTATGTTAAAATATATATATATATACATAAACATGATGTAAAAGCGAATATTAAAAAAATAATTAAGAATAAAACTGAAAAAAAAAGATTATATTCTAACTGAACATAAAACAATATGTAAGAAAATAAGCATTATTAATAGACCAAAAAAATGTTTAGTTTTATTCAGATAAATCGGTACTGCACTTAAAACACATTAATTAACTTAGTATAACTGCATATTTAAATTAAAATTTTTAAAATTGATAATTTAGTTATTCTACCCTTCTTAAGTTACATAAAATAAGAATTTTCCTTTTATACTGTAAAAATTGCAGCTATAATAATGTTACATATATAAGTATAAATTTTAAAATCCGTTTTGTACCTTTTCAATGACTGCTATTTGGTTTTCTTATTTTATGGAATTTAAATTTAAAGACCAAACTGTCGGAAATTAATTGGGTGGGTAAAATTAAATAATAAATGAATACTTTTCATTACTTAATTTTTCTGAGAATTTTTTTAAAGTATGTATTGTGCCCTTAAAACGCTTTTTAATTTTACTACCCAAGCATTTCACTATTTAGGTGGTATAGGCTTTTTTTGGA